GCCGCGCTTCCCCATCACCGAATAATAAGGAGGAAGGGGGAAAGGTCTCAAATCTCTCGCGTGATGAAGGAACGGCAAGACGGGAAGTGTGCGAAAGTGATCCACAGGATTGGCCAGTCTCCGATATCGCACTTTTCCATTTCTGGAATGGTTCGGGAACCATCCGCCGACCGAGGCCGCCTCAGCGAGGTGTAACGATGAACCATGGTGGACGGACACCACGGGCGCGAACGGCCTCTGCTTCGGTCGGTGTCCGGCTTGTAAATGACTTGATGAGACAACCCTTCAGTATCAGTCACCTGATCAGGCCCCAACTCCAAGGACCCGTTCCAGTGCTGAGACAAGCCACGCCATTTGGTTGCAAATGCGGGATTCAGATGCCACTGTTTGTCTTTGGTCGGTGTAGAGTGTCGCACAAATCTGGACAGACGAGTCGGTGAGAGGTTCTGAATATGAGGCTCAAACTTACCTGGTTGATGAACCAACCAGTTTACTGCCTTTGTTGGCTTGGCTCTCCCCTCACTGCAGACGGCGCAGCGCCGTCCCAGAGTCACAAGGTAGGCCTACCAGCGCTTTCTACTAGAAACGCGGGTGTAACCTGCTGCTGGCGGGGACTAAATAATATTGGGTAACACGATTGATTGACTTTCATCTCGAACTGACAAGGACATTGACCGGGCGGTTTCTTCTTGCCATCACATGGCTAGTGCTAGCACCACTTGATAAAGAACTTTCGCCAGACGAGCTATCACGTCGCAAGCCCTAACACTAGGTGCAAAACATTTCGTCTAGCCATCATGCCGACTCCCTACACTCGATTTCGTTATAGGCTTAGGAGTCAAAAAAAAAAAGAACTCACAACTTTTTCATTTTGTGTTTCACGCGGCCGTCGATCCGGGATTCTAGGCCAGGGAGGTGGTCAGATGGACAGAAATCATGAAAGGGGGGACGACAGGTTCATTTATCATTTACCAGGGACAAACATATGCCTTTGTTGCTGTGCACCTGTCAATCTTGCTAATCCTGTCATCTTGGCTGGTAGCTTATCTCTACGACTCGGTGGTTAAATTGAGAATTTAGCAGTATTCAGTGGGCCAAGGCCTTGTTGGGGCGTGGTAGTTTCTTCATGGCCCGGACTCGGACTAAAACAAAGACGTTTCCCTTAGTAGAGTCACATGTGTTTTGATGGCGAAGGCATCGCTCGTCTCTAAAGGTAAATAGCGTGGGCAAGGGTTAGTAGAGCTGGGAGATAGCGGTGATATCCCCTCACAAGTGCCATCTTTTGGATACTTGTTCACGTGAATACGTCTCTTGGTCCATCCGGACCTTTGATAGTCGGCAGGATCCTCCGAGGCACGTTGCAGTAGTCTCATAGAGGATGCTTGGCCATGTGATTCGGTTCTCAACGGCTAGCTCTTAAGACATGTACTAAGGACTACGAGAAGAACTGAGAGTGTCAGAGTAGTATCTTGCTGTCTGATGCTTGGCCACTAGTCTCTGTCTAGTTGGAAGGTACATTATTTGACCTGGCAAGTATTTGGATATCAATCTCGTCTGCCAGGCGTAAGTGTGTTAACCTAGAGCATTGTTTATTCGGTGAAATAGTGGGAGTAGTGCTGGAGCGAAGTTTTTCGCCCTAGGAAGAATATGAAAGACAAATACTTTCTTCTTCTCAATGTCACTTATCAAGGTTCTTGAAGTATTTGAAAGGGTGCAGCGACGAGCTCTTATGTTTCCCTTGGCCTAGGGGTCTTTTGGGATTCCTTTCATGCCCTCAAAGCCTTCAAACTGTACAACACGGTGACTATGAATCCGTCATGACTGGTTTGAATCAGTTTAGTAGTTTAATCGAGCTCAATTTCTTCCCTAGAACTTCTTTACTCAGATTACCTACTGTTAGTACAGACATTGGTGGTTGATATTGAGAACAACCTGTCTTGGGGAGACCACGCGTCTTCCAGTCCTTTCAACACATACCAAACACCTACAAAAATGAAGACTAAGAAAATTCCTACGCATATGCTAGCGTTATTCTTTCTCCAATTCTCAACTGATAGGTACTTGTGACATAGGAGTATGTGTCCAAGTTTCAGCAACCTCGTGAAGATACAATGCGACGAATCTGTGGCCTGTGTCAACTCTCGCTCTGCACTCTCCTCAGTTTCAAAGGGCCGATTGATGATTCGAAATTCACAGAAGAACACTTGTAATAATTAATCGCCAGCCAGGCTTCGAGAAACTGGACATTTTAGAAGCCTGACGGGCCTTTGCGAAGGCTAGCCAAGAGATGTTGATTTTAACAACATTCATTGACAAACCTGAAACGCACCATGATAATTATTAACGTATGACATGTGCGCTGATACTGCTGATCTCGATAGTGGCATCCATATGTTTATCACTTGGAAGCCCTCAAACTGGGTAACTGTACACCCATGGGCGAGATATGTAACTCTACTTTTGGTACTGTGCTTTTTGGTGACTTCAGGACTGGTTACGAACATTGAGTTGAGATATGCCGCCTGTGCTTGGATCCAATCAGTAGGACAACTGGACTTGATATCAGTCGCTCTCGTACGTCCGCCGAGAATTTTCATGCAATGTAATCGACAACTGGTTCATTTTGTTCAACACAGTATTTTACAGCACCAAGCCGAACCAAACGTTTAGTTGACAGATTCTGCGGAGAATTAAGGGAGTTCAGAATCGGCATTGTATTTACGGATAATATCTCACCTCAATTGAAGTATTGTCGGTGTGAGAGCCTTTATCAGTCACGCCAACTTTCATTACGAAGTTCTATTGGCCTTGGTTCAGAGGGCACACCACAGGTTTCTTAATGCGGCCTGGTCTATTCCCGCATTTCCACCGAATCTTAACGGGACGGATACGCCAACTCCAATCTGCACAGGGCTCGCAGAGCCCCGGCGCCATTGAGTTTAACCGGAAGAATACAGAAAAAACACGTTAAATACTGAGTGTTAGCCTAGGACATGATAGCCATTTGAGTATTCACAAGCAGTGGTCTAAAAGCCTTAGCATTGAGGTGCCTTCAAACGCCCCAGCACTGGCAATTGGAGGTAAAAGGTCTACACACAATATAGCCTTCGATAAACCACCCTCAACGTTCCAGTTCGACCCTCCTTGTCCAAGCATTCACGAAGGCGAGCCTTAGATGAACCACCTCATGATTACCATCGGTGCCTTGTGTTTAATGCTTCAATGGTAATTCCTCCGCCAAAGCCCAGGTTGTCGGTGGTTATCGTCAACATCAGCACCCAGGATTGTACGTTCTGCCTGACAAGGATAGAGTCTCCGAAACAGATGCTCGCCACAATAGTCTATTGCCATCAAATCTGTGTCGATACGTGTCAATTAGAAGCCAAATGGCATAGTCTAGGAGTCATCAGACGAGATGCACCATGCGTTTTGGCTTCGATGCTGCCGCCATCAAGTCTGTCTACTCCCAAAACCACACCTTGCAAGGGGCCTTTGGATTCATTTTAAATTGGGAGAAAAGCCCTAGTAACGTATGAAAGCTATGTGCCATGAGGCTTTCTGCGCTTTTGAGCACCACCCTTTCCGATTGAGAATGAAGCCTGCCAGGTATATTTGAATACTATGAAGTCAGAAAGGATGCTGCTAGAATGACTGCCAAGAACTTAAAGCTCATCGGAACACGTTATGATACACTCATAGTACCATTTCCTCATAAATCACTTCTTACAGAACCCAATGCGAGCATGCCAAATGGTGAATATAGGTGGCATCTGGTGCTCAAAAAAAGAGCCAAGGCACGGCTAGACCGTTCAACAAACACAGCATACAAATCGGCCACGCTACAGCTCCTCCATCCCATCTGATACAATTAATGAGAGATGGGGGAATAGAAAAAGGAAACAAAAAAGACAGCCCAACATCCCCCGCATCCAAAACCACAACATAAAGAAAACTAACCCAACGCTCCGGACCCCGCTCCAAATTCCCCCCACCCGGCCCCGGCACGGCACGGCAACCGCCGAACCTTCTCTATTTTTAACGTCCCTTCAAAGACAGGCCTTCCCTGACACACACGCACACTCACCCAATCCCTCCCTACCTTTCCCAAAAAGCCGTATGCAACAATCCGATGTGCTCAGTTTCCTTTCCGCCAACGATCGACATGCAACGGAATAATTATTACTCTCCACATCCAGTAACACACCGCTAATGGCCCGGGAAGGAGCAAATTCTCCGGGCCGTAAACAAACAAACAACCGGGCTCGATCATGTGCTGGCATCCAGGTGGAGTACAGCAACAGAGATGAGTAAAAATGGCAATCAAAACGTCAGGGCTCTCAATCCACACTGTATTCATTCTCGATAGCTCAGGGTGCCGCTGAAGGGCATCGAACATGAACCTCGCAGCCTCAGGTTACCAGATCCGATTTCAGTCACACAAGCTCGTTGTCACCGTGAGCATTTCACTACAATCTGAAGCTCAAGAAGGAAGGAAGATATCCAGGTGCACCAAGAACATCACCGTCAATTCAAAAAAGCCTCGGGTGGTAAGCAGCGGGCGGCAGAGAATCATCACTGCTGGATAAGAAACTTCGCAGAATCGAAAAGAATCGTTAAATAACGCCCGTGCCGTACAAGATCATCACCCCGCCATCTATACCGGTTTCCCCGTTTATGTATAAGCCCCAAGCCGTTCCCTCCCTTGAAGAACTTCCAGCATTTTTTTTTGGACCAATCCGTTTAGCGAAATGTATATACAGATCCTTGGGCGCCGATCAAAATGCCAAATTGCAACGTGATGTGCCGCGTTTCCTTTCCCGATCCAGTTCCCGTTGTTTTCCGAGGGGTATTCATTTATGTACACAGCTCTGTTGTCTGATTATCGGAACAGAATCCCACTAAAAGTATTGAAAAAGCCCAGCACCTTGCGCCTGGCTGTACTTAATGCGCCCGTAATTGATAAATATGCTCGAAAGAAAGCGATGCTGTGAAAATAACTCTCAAGATCTCCGATTCTGTTCCTCCTTCTCCAGTTTTTCGACATTTTCTTCCGTTAATGAGTCGCCAGAGACATTTGTCTGGAATGATGCCCCACGTCGGTCGAGTTTCTTTCCTCCAGCGGCCGCATCCATCAGTTTCCCGGCTTGGGCCTGTAGCGCAAATTCGTCTGTTTCTGAACGACGAATAGGCTTGATGGACTCCGCCACATGCGGCGAATCAAATGGCGATGGTTCGTACGAGTTAGCCCTGGTCAAAGGCCGTGGTGTTACTGGATCTCCCTTTTCCTCCTTGTCCTGATCCTGGTCTTCCTGTGCGTCAGGTTTGACAGTGCTTATGCGGTCGGTAGCCTCGGTGTGATCGTGCCTAATACCTGGGATGTCTGCGTTGCTACATTGTTCAGCGGTGTCTGAACAGTCGGAAAGAGAGCTGCCCGAACCCTTCTGCGTCGATGCTTGAGTCCTTTTGGCCAGGCTCCACCTCACCAGCATCCTTTCTAGCGTCTTGCTCTTGACTGGTTTGGCGAGATAGTCGTCCATACCTGCCTTGGTACACTTCTCTTTATCCCCCTGAATTGCCGAGGCCGTCATCGCTACGATGGGTATGTCCCGCACGTACGCCTTATAGGGCACATGGTGACGCAATAAGTGTGTGCACTTGTAGCCGTCAATGACAGGCATTTGTACGTCCATGAGGATGATGTCCGGCTTCGCGTGTTTGCCTTCTTGCGCTGCCGCCATGTACTCAAGAGCCTCTTTGCCGTTCCAAGCTGCCGTTACAGTAAAGCCAAGCTTCATAATGGTCTTGGTGGCAATCTGCTGGTTAATAGCACTGTGTAACGTTAGTTTTGAACAACGATAGTACGACGGGGGGCCAAACTTACTTGTCCTCCACCACTAACACATGGATCTTGACACGTTCCGAGTGCGGTAACAGTTCCTCTTCTGAAGCCGGCGGTGTCCGAACAGACAATTTTCGGGACGGTGATTTGTGCTTGTCGTTAAGAAACTGCGAAGATTCGCCAGACGGAGGCGGTGTGTTGATCAGCTGTTCAAACTCTGAACTGTTGCAGGAGACGCTCATCTCAGACTGCAATCGGTCTGGAAGGGAATCAATCTCCACTATCGGACCGCCGCCTTGTCGACCTTGAGGTTTGTTGAAAGGTACCCAGAACGTTGCGACGGTTCCGTTGCCGAGAGATGACTCCAGTGTCATGTCGCCATGCATGAGGTCAAGCAAGTTCTTACAAATGGTCAAGCCAAGGCCTGTTCCACCGAACTTCCGTGCTGTGGATGCGTCTCCTTGGCTGAACGGTTGAAAAAGCTTTTTCCGTACTTCCTCCTCGATACCGATGCCACTATCCTCGACGATGAACTTGACGACGATAGTGTCTGCTGTCTCTTTCTCTTTTTGAACCGAGAATTTTACATAGCCTTGATTGGTGAACTTGATACTGTTCGTAAGCAGGTTCGTAATGATCTGGCGGACACGACCTGGATCTCCGATAACCACCAAATCATTCTCGATGTCTCTTGAGATATCAGATTTGAAATCAAGATTTTTCCGTTCGGCGGCGAAGCTGAGCATCTTCCTGACGTCCGTCACAATGACTGACAGAGAGAATTGAACCTCCTCGATATCGAGACGACCTGATTCGACTTTGGAGAAGTCAAGAATATCATTTATGACAGTCAATAAAGCGTTCGCAGATCTTTGAATGTTTTCCACATATTCCATTTGCTCTGAATCAAGTGCCATGTCACGGAGCAGTTCGGCCATTCCGATTACACCGGTGATAGGTGTGCGGATTTCGTGAGACATCTTTGTCATAGGTTAGCTGGAAATGCACATTAAGCACATGGGCCGCACTCACATTGGCGAGGAATTGGCTCTTTAGCCTGTTGGCCTCCTTGGCAGCTGCCTCATTTGCGATGGCCTGCTTCTTCTCTCGAGATTCCTCCTCCAAGTCCTCGGCCTTCTCTTTCAGCTCAGTGACGTCCATGATGACACCAATAACACCTTCGATGCAAGCCTCGTTGCTGGCGATGCCTTCCTTGGTCTTCTTACCGAAAATTGGGAGAAATCTGGTCCTGTACCATCGGCCGTCTATGCCGTGTTCTGCCACCTCCTCCGTCTTCCCGCCTGCCAAGATGTCTTCGATGGGTCGAAGGAATTTCGGGCGCTCGCCGGCTTTGAGTTGTGTATTGAGACGGTTGAAAACAGTGTACATGTCCTGGCCAATAAACCAGCTGGAGTTGTTCGAAGTGCTTTCTTCCCCATTGCTATCCCATATCAAAGCACCCTCAAGCATAGTAAGTTTGCGATTGGTGTCGACTGTGAATATCGTGACCTGGGAGTGCGCAAGGACGCTCAGGAGCTGTTGCCGTGTCCTTCTGGCAGTCAGTTTGGCCTCGATGCCCTCGTTCACGTCCGTACACGTTCCAAACCACTTTTCGACTTCCCCCGTCTCTTTATTCCGCAGCGGAAGAGCACGCCCCAACATCCACCTCCATTCGCCAGTCTTACTGCGGCATCGATACTCGGTAACATATGGATCTCCCGTTGCCAAGGAGTGCTTCCATCTCTTCGCAGTTTCGGGCATATCGTCCGGGTGGAAGGGGTGTTTCCACCCAAGGCCCAAGGACTCCTCAGGCGTAAGACCCGTATATGTATACCAACGGGTGTTGAAAAAATCATGATAACCGTCCGGTCTTGTTGTCCAGACCAATTGGGGCATCGTATCGCAAATTAGCTTGAACCGCTCCTCGTCCCGTTCCTTGATCTCGGTAATCTCTTCAGACATCTTCGTGACGTCCCGGAAAGTGACAACACCAGCCAAGAACTCGCCAGTACTGTCGTCCCTAATGGCTTCACCAAGGGCATCATAAACATGTCTCTTCCCGTTCTGATCGATCATCCCAACAAACATATTTGTGAATGGTGTTTCGGTTCGAAGGAGGACTGAGATGGGATATTCTTGAACATCCAACTGTCTGGTGAACTCCGAGTCATACAAAGTCCAGCTTGGGAGGAGATCGAAGCCGTCGTTCGATTTTTCTAGATCACTATCCTGACGCAGAAGATCGCGGGCTGCCTTGTTTGGAAACGTCACGCTCCCATCTTTCCACATCGCAAGGATTGGCATGGTAGTGTTGTCAAGGAGTGCATCCTTCATCAACATCATCTTCTGTAAAATTGAGGGTGTACTGGCATGAGCTGCCGTTGACGGTGGGCCCATGGGCGGAAACGGACTTGAGGAGAGCGATACCGCGCTCGGACTGACACGAAAGGATGGCGAACTCGAGTCGTGGCTGGAGCTGACCGATGGTGGGTTCGAGTTGGATATCGTCTTGCGATCTGCTTGCTCTAGGATGTTTGTTCTCGCCACAGATTTGCGGTTGGGAACGAGGCCGGAAGGTGGTGACTGAGAACTCGTGAAGGTGAGTGTGAAGTAGACCTGATGGTCTTCGATCTCCCATATTGTTACAATCATCTTGGCATAGACTTGGTGTTCCGAAGCCCAGGTTTTGTTTCTCGGGTCAAACCCAGGCTTTGCCATCTCTCGTCTTGTGATGATGACATCCACTACGGCATCCTTAACAGCGGGAATCGTCGGTGACTGATCCGGAAATGGCGGGGCCAGAGAATCGGGAGTCGGGGTGGCTTCTCCACCTTGACCGAATACATCGGCAGCATCTTTTGAAGTTTGCCTTGCGCCCATCTCGAGTACAAGAGAATCGAGGAAAGCCTCCCAGCTGATCCAAACCGGGCGTCCTTCTTGAATCATGTCGATTCCCACTTGAGAGAGGGACTGCCCCCTCAACCGATCGGCAACAAAGACGTTGCTATCGTCGCAGGCGGCATCGGTGCTCATACCGAGCATTCTGCCCATGGCTTCGTTTGCAAGCACTACGGTCTTCAAGTTATTTAAGACTAACATCGGTATAGGTAAGTATTGCATGGCAGAGAAAGCGAGCTGGCCCGGGGTGATGTATGGCATTGAGAGACGAAAGGGACTCGTCGAGTTGGACCTCTTGCCGTCGCCAGCCGAAAGGTTGAGGTTTTCGCGAAAAAAGCGGCTACTGCTGCTGGAAGAGCTTGGAGGGCCATCGCTGCGTAATGAACCAACTTCGTGTTGCGACTTAATATCAAAGTTGAAGCCGCTGTCTTCAGATGAGGGACGTGAAAGTTGCCGGGGGGTCTCTTCAGACGGTGCCGACATTTTAGGAGGAATGATTATAGGGCTGTTGCCTCGAACATGGTTGTCGGCAATGAGAAGCTCGGGGGGTGGCATTTCGGTGTTCGCTTGCGCATGAGAAGCCGTTGGTCGCAGAGAACCTCGATTTTGGTGAGTAGCGACGGAAAGCGTGCAAACCAAAAATTGTATGTGGTGAAGGAAAGCTACAACCCAAGTCTCCGGGGACAGAGAAGTTGCGGAGGATCAGTTGAGAAGACGCAAAAGCAGCAGGATAATTCCTAGAGTATCGTTGCGGAGAAGAAAGCGAAGCAGACCATGGCGCGGCGCCTGGAGTGTGTCGCGGACGTGCGTTCTGGACTACTGCCAGGTTCTAGGCCAGTCTCCGGATGGGCGTCTGGTAGGGAATGTTCTCTGATTGAGAGCGGCCTAGGCGCAGTCCGGCACTGAGTGAATATCGAGCGCAAGCGCCTCTTCCGAGCCTGTTAGTCTTCAAGCCTCCCGAATTTCCTATGGCTTGACAGCCAACAGGAGAAAAGCGACAACGGCGGTTGGGGCTGGCAAGGCCGGTGAAAGCGCAAGCAGCATCCGACGTGTTGTTCGGCAGGGGCAAAGCGGGGCAAGACAGAAAAAAAGATCGAGACGTTGTTTTGGATGAATTCTCGAACAGCTCCTAATCGACTGCAAACGGTGGCGTCGAGGACAAAGAAGCAGAGGGACTGGACTGGGGACAAGGGGGGAAGGGCGTGTTTGTGTAACGACGACAGTAGGAGTAGCGGAGAAAGCTTAGTAAGAACAAAGTCTTGCGGGTGAGAAATCCGAAATCAGTGGATGGTAGGCTAGAATCCGGAATCGGCGTGGTGTGGTCAGGTCGAGTTATCGAGACACAAGTGATCCAGATCGGTAGGAGTGGGAGGCAGAGACAAACGCCTGTTTGGACGCAGATGTAACAACGGGTCGGATAAGACGCTTGTTCGTCATCAGCTCCAGGCGCCAATTATACAACAGCTCGTAGTAGTGGTAGTGGTAGTAGTAGCAGCACGATCTTTGGTCCCAAGTCCGGAGAGGAGGAAGGAAAAAAAACAACAGAAAAAACCAGAAAGTAATGAGATGGTGAGATGTGAGAAGATGGGAAGAGGGGGACAAGGAAACGGTAGACTGGACGACACCAAGCTAAAGATTAGGGACTAAGCAAATTGAAGGAAGAAGATGGAAACAACTAAACGAAGAGATCAAGGGTGGTGTAGAGATGCTGACAATAGCACATGGGGAAGCAGGTCTACAGCAAAGAAAAGACGAGGACGCGGGAAGGCACCGTCATAGTCCAAACTCTGTTTAAGTGAAGGTGCTTTCCTTGTAGGCTGGTGAAGCGTCAGGACGCAGGAGAGCTAGTTGGACCCATGCAAGTCTGGGGGGGTCCTTGCAACCGCAGCTTAGGGACCTGGGCTTTTCTGGCGAGGGGGGGACTGGACTGGAACTGCCCGCTGCTGTTGCGCTCGTGGCCTCCCAAGGATGACGGTAGGTAGAGTGCGTCTTCCATCCACCACCTCTAAGCAAGTACAGATACATACGGAAGTGTAACAAGTGTCGACAGGCGGGGGAGGCGATTTGGCAAGCCCAATAAGGCAATAGTTATTTACCACCTCCTACGACGTTCCCAAGCAAAGTGCGCAACAGAAGGCACAAAATGAACATGTGGTAAAACAGGGTACAGAGTACCTCCAGCAAGAAATTCTGCGGAGGGTGGTACTCGTCCCTGCCTGCCTGTGCATGTCGCTTGGGTCACACTACATAAGATATCCTTGTATCCGCCCTAAAGGTAGTTCTACTTGTAGAAATACGGATGCCACAGGATGGGAAAGTGGGCGCCGATGCACAAGTCCAGTGCACCGTGAGATGGCGGAATGGATTTTGCGACACGATGACGGCCCAGTAACGAGAAGGTACCTACGTACCCGCCCTTGTCCTATACCATCACATCTCCCTCAACCTTGCGGTGATGGTGGTGTGTACACTAGGGTGAAGGCCTGAGGTGCCAGGGGGCGACACGTACAGTGGGGCATTATGAAGCGGTCTACCGAGTACGGTAGAATTAGAGCCCTGGTGTGCCCACTGTGACGCCTTGTTCGGTCGTTGTGGTGCAGTGGGCCAGACATACCAAAAGCCTGTCTCTTCGCGCTGCGCTGTGCTGTGCTACCAGCGCAGGCTGATGAGAGGGCTTCTTGGCCCAGCATTACCACAATCTTTTACTAGATATAATACCTCACCACGAGGTATTTCCTTGAAGTATCGGCAGCTCAGGGCACTAGGTGTCTGTCCAGCTCTTGCCTCGCGCAGGTCAATCCTCTCCTCGCCGTAACAGCCCCAAGCTCCCACGAATGAAGTACCTCGTCATACGGCGATTACAGTACCCACTTGTAGGTACCCTGCTTTGTGTTTCCCGGAGATGTTGCACTCCATCTCATCAATTGCCTTGGGTTGAAGGTAGCAAGCAGACATGTCTATCCCAGCTTGTCCCATGCTGCGTGATGGTGAAGGCTGTACACCTCACCTCCTTCATGCGCTAAACCGCCTCACCTTTGACCGCGTCGCAGCGGTCAGTCTTTCTTGGTAGCTTCCCCCTTTCTGGGTGCATGGAATCGGCTGGGACGCTGTTGTTGGTAGAAACTCCACTGATATCCACTGGACAGTTGTAAAAATAAATGACAGAGAGAAGAGACCACGACATTTCCCACATCAAGACAGAGCCGGGGATTAGGTTAGTCGGCTTGATGAGGCCCATTCAACTTCCTTACGCTTTCCGTTACCTCCGACGCAGTCATGGAGCACAATATGAACTGCCGTAAGGCATCATTTATTGCCCATGACGCCTTGGGAGCTCGCCTTGCTGCACGGGTACGAGAGTCTCGTGCTGCAAAAGTCGCCAGCGATGACGGCACGAGAGCGAGCGTTCAAGTCAAAAAGGCAGCCTCAAAACGGGGTTCTCCGGATGAAAAGATCAGGGGGGGGATGGGTTTTCTGTCCGCCTTTCCAACCCCGGTAATGATGGGCGCGTCCTGCAGCAACGGGGCTCTGCCAAATACAGATAGAGACAGAAAGAGATGCACCAAACACTGGCCAACCAGTCGAACATTCGGGAGTTTGCCATTCCATGGGCGGCACATTCGCTGATCTTCCCTTTGTCTCGATTTGACGTTCCTGGCTTGACTCCGTTGTGTGTGTCTTTAATCGGCAGCCCGAACCGGTGTAGTCTTCCTTTTATTTCCTTTTCGTGTTTTCTGGGTTTTCAGATCTCCCCGCCCTTGACCTGCCCCCCTTTCCCCCTCTTTGTCCGTTCCTCGTTGTCAGTAAAAACAAAAAACTTTGTAAGGAATGTCTTCTTCTTTGAAGAAGAGACGACTCTTTGTGGCTTTGTACTTGGTTAAACATGAAATCAATAGAACCCAAACGCTAAGCTTCTTGTCTGTGGTTGCGCCAAGACCATTGCTTAAACGAATGCCGGTGGTTAGCACAGACCGATAGTAGGAGAGGGGGGGGAACCGCCTTGTTTCTGGGGCACAGTACAGCCATGACCTGCACTAGGCTAAGGAAAGAACTTGGTAACGAGTCTGCAAAATTGGTTTTAGCTCGTTACCCTTGTCACGAATTGCTCTCTCAATTCAGAGATTAACGATGGGGATCCTTAGCCCTCATTTCCGGCGCCTTTCCCTACAGTACTTTTTGGATGACTTTCCTCACTTTTCGCATTTGCCGCGACAGTATGGGGCCACTATGATGGCGGCGATGGTGATGGTGAGGAGGAGAAGGAGGTGAACGACGGTGGCCTCATAATTCATCTCAATAGCCCAGTGACCTCGAGTGCCCAGTTGATCCTGTCAGTTTGGCCTCTGGCCTGCCGCCGTGGCCGCCCTTCCACGTCAATGCATTATCTTCTTATTGTACCCTTCTGTAGTTGTCTGAATACATGGACTCTCATGGTGCTGAATATTGCCCAATTGCATATTACGGTGCTGTTGCTGCCGCGTGACTGTAACGCCCGTGATACGGCTAGCTCTCGGTTTGAGTGCTTTTCCAACTTTACGCACCCACTCACACGCTCTGACTTGCCTCCCATGCTAGATTCGGATAAACGCAAAAGATGGCTCTGATCATCCTTGACCGGTATAGTTTGGTGACAAACATGCCCTGCGTCCAGACCTCACGGTCGCTCCATCGATCGAAGATCTGCTACTTAAAAAGGTTAGTGTGCAGGAACTCAAGACGCCTAGACCGGGATGGCCACAAACCCGACCAGGGTCTTCTCCGTATCAGTGCGCCATCGGTACCACTAAAGCTCCGCAGAGCAACGCAGATCATCTGACCCTGGCTCTCTGTCAGAGCCAATCATTACAGATGGGTGCTACTCCGTTTTGGACGAGCTTGGCTACTCTGAGCGTGTCATATCCGACGTCATGATGCCATAAGCAGCCAGCTGGCGGTCGAGCGGCGCAATTGGCTGTGAACGCGCCACTCGCTTCATGAAGCTTGTCGAATGTCCTAAGCAGAACCTCTACTGGACGATTGTGCTCGCTTTTGTTTTACATGTGCCCGACGCATAATCGCTCAGCCGTTCGTACAATGACTCGACGCCTCATTGGTATGTCTGCATTCTAGTATTGCTACATGTAAAGCAAAGGGACATCATCCACTTCGTCACTTTCGTGGACACACATTATGTCACTGTATCCGAAAGCTGCGCCGTATCCCTCCATTTTTCGCCCGATTCTAACAGCCGAAGCGACGTAGGCTTGGCGGCTCTCGAGAACTTGCAAGGGTATCATCAGCCATGTCGTCATATGGACCCTGAAGGATCCAGAGGACCCCTTCTCTCTACGGTTTAGGGACGTCGTGGTTTGTGTGCGTTTCGCCTCTTCCCATGCCCCCGCTCTTTCATCGCGAATTGTCTTTCATCACTCCGCATGTTGAACATGTCCACCACTGCCTTTCCATAATCGTGCCACAATAAGAACATGCCCAAGTCAAGGGTTTCGCCGGGCTTGCTGCACCATCGCCAACGCCCCTGCTATTGCCTGTTCTTGGCGGGCTACCGGTGAGGTCTATAGTCACTGCCTGTGGTCTTGTTGCCCCTGTTGCAGCTGCTGATGCTCGCTGACGCTCACGCTTCTCGGCGTTGGGTGTCCACACCTGGCGCTGAGGGTTTTGTCCCTTTTCTGTTCCACACACGTCGCAGCAGAGAAAATTTGCAGGATTGTGAAGAGTGCAGATCCCACAAGTCCAACCCCGTTGCTGAACCGGCTGAAGCTGGGATGAAGAAGCCGAGATCACTGGTGGCCGAGTTTCGGGCCTCGGTACCGGCGGTGGTCTTGACGCCGGCCCTGGAATTGGAGGAGGTACACTGCCGCTTCTTGAGCCATATTCTCCCCTGACAGAGCCACCTCCGTTTCCAGTGGGGTTCTGCGCGCTTGGAGGGACGTAGTAATTTCCATAGCGCTGTTTTTCCTCCTCCTGCACTAGCTCCCAAAGCGCCTGGGCAATAGCTGCTTCATTCGCCGCATCTTCTTCTGCCTGAGTACGGAAGCCATTTCTCGTGGCTGTTTCTGATATTTCTTGGATCTCTCGATCGTTGTGGTTCATGTTTCCGCAGCCTTTCAAGGTGTTGTTTCTGCGCTCAACGGCGCCAACAATGGTTCGTCGTATATCCGACCCTGGCCTGGGTCCTAGACCACCAAGTCGTTGCCCTGAACCAGCTGATAAAGAGCGGCGTTTCTCAGCAGCTGCTCGGGCGAGACGACGAGCTTCATGCATAGGAATCAGGCCGCCGCCTAGTCGACGGCCATCGGAGAGGAACCCTTCACCAGTATACCCCTTCCGGATGAGCGCCTCATGCTCGTCTCGAAGTTGGTTCCAAAGAGCATGAAAATTACCATCATGTGGCCCAAAGACAATGTGAGAGAGCTCGTGGAGCATTGTATCAACAACTTGCTCTATGGGCAGAAACAAGGATCGATCGCCAGGGTATCGTAATCTGATTAGGATTCGCTGTCCTCTGTTGACGTTAAGACCTGAAGGCGCTATTAGTGCATGCATAACCACTTCGAGAATAGGTTTGTGTACCAAGCAAATTTGCCTGATCCGGATAGAACTCAGCAAGTTCCCTGACCTTCCAACCCCTGGCTCGCATGATGGGCTTCACCAAAGAGGCCACCTTTTTGAGGATCTGTAAGGCATCCTTGGCACGTGGAAAGTCCGGTAAATGAGAGTACGAAAGCACAAGAGCATCGTGTTCCGGCATTTTGATTTCGAACCTGCCGGTTACTAAGAATCCCGCGATGTTTTGTTTGCAGTGAAGTGAAGAAATTGGCACGGTCGGCTCCGATTTACGGAGAGAAGGAAGAAGATACAGTCAAAACTGAACATTAACAGAGATATCAAAGAGAAGGTATTCCGAAAAGCACATCGTACTTCTGAGTGGAAACATGGAGAAAGAGAACCATTCACATTGTAAGCAGTGGGCGACACGTACTCAGACGCGTAAGGCTCGATGCCTTACGATGCTAAGTTTGTTGCTAGTCAGGCGGTGGCCGTTGGGCGGATGGCTGAGTCTACTCAGAGGAATATTCCAGGCGGGGTGTAGCGGGGGTGCGATGACTAATCCATGTCCTGCAAGCAGACCGGTGACATGTCTCCCGCATTCCGCGTGGTAGATTGATTCAGTTGTTAACTGCCATTCATTCACCTTACCCACGAACCTACTTTGTTGATGGACCCTGAATCATCCAAAATTCCGACCACCATTGGCTGCTTGGTTGAACCTCTCGATGGAATGATAAGTGTCAAGCAAACCTGGTCAGACCAGCCAGATGACGGGGAAAACAAGGCAGGAGTGTCTTGAAGAGATTTACTCGCAGCGATCGGCCACGCCAAGGGCCTACGCGCTGGCTCACTTGCTACTTATCTCAAGTTGAAACACCCTATCATTGAGTTGAATTCCGTGTTGAATGGTTTGATTTTCCGAAATTCAGGGCCAGTTCCGGTCTTTAGTCATCTCGCTTTCGGTTGAAATTGAGAACGGAATCCCAATTTCGGAAATCCTTGAGCCTATCGCACTAGACCATCAAACGCAATTGACCAGCCATATCCATCAACAAGGACATTCTCTCACAACAGTTGGAATTTGCGAGCAAGTTGTTCAAAGTACACCAATTAATGACACTAGAAAGCTGAACGAATAATAGGTGATAATGGTGTGACACATGATCTGATAGAATGCAGGACTGGAAAAGCTGTTTCAGTTATGCATGGATCTTGGTGCATCCCGACGAGTATCATCGTTGGGTGCTCATAGCCTACTGCATTATACTTTAAACTTACGCTACAGCTCATCACCACGAGACGCATCACTGAAATCAACAGCTGCCATCGGATCTCATTCACAACTTCAGATGATAGTTTTATTTGCACACTGGTCTACAGACTTGTGCAACTGACGATTCTCATCCACAAGAGAAGGAACGGTCTCTAAGTGAGGCTTACCACGAAATGCCCGGAATTTCGGCAAACGTAACATGGTCGACTTTGCGAGCAGGGGTCGCATGCCCGACTCACAGTGTTTCGGAAGCCGAGCATACGGCCACCACCGCACTCGACTTGTCAACCCAAGAATACAGTGCAGGTGGAAGAATCATGGTTTGAGGATGACACGATTGATCGCTGTCGCAGATAGTTGACGGATACGCCGCCTCGAAGGCAGTCTATTCGACGCCTGTCAGAAACTCGGCCAGTTCTGCCTTTGCCGTTGGCTTTCCAAAGCCCCCACCACCATACTGCGTGAGCGGACTCTTTGCTTGGATGGTGATCTCCCACCTGGTGCTGGGCAATGGCGCATTTCGAAACGGTCCCCACGAGGCTGATCTATGCATGGACACAATGGGGAAGTGAACTTGGCAAAAGCTTGTGTGCATATCTTTCGGTTGTCCTCGCAGGGCTAAATCTTGCCGTTTCCCGTCTCCTTTTGTCTAACAATCCTCATTGATATTCTATACTTATTTACAAAAGCTCTGTGAGCAGTTTTTTACCTGGCTTCATTCCTTTGCCGGGTCTCTTTCTTGTCGACACGTGAATATGTGGTTTACTAATTATGCTGCAGTCGCAGCATTCGCTCCCTTCTTCGTTGCTCATCTAGTGTATGCGGCTCCTTCGAAGAAATCAGGTGCCTTTGAAATTGCTACCTTGGGTGGAGCAGCCTTTCGAATTGAACAAGTCCCTAACCCGGACTTTTACTACGGATCCAGACGAGGACCAGTTGCCCTGGCCAGAGCTTACTCCAAGTTCGGACACCCAATACCAGACGATCTCCTCGGGCTCATCGATCAGATTCTTGGTGAAGCTGGCTTGTTGAAAGGTGGTCACAGAGGAGGAAAGGGGAAGGGGAAAGGGGGCAAAGGAGGTGGAAAGGGCGGCAATGCAGGGAACAATAACGGCGGCGGAAGTTCCAAGGGCAACGGCACAACTACAACGCCAGGGTCGGGAGGTGGTGGAAAAGGAGGAGGAGGAGGAGGAGGAGGAGGAGGAGGAGGAGGAGGAGGAGGGTCGAAAGGAAATGACACAGCGTCTCCGCCCAATGGTAAGTCGAAATTATCGTTGTGTGCAACCACGCGGTCAACGCTTACATGTATAAGGCGAGGTTGCCGCTATCCCGGCTGAGTTTGACAGTCAATACCTCTGTCCCGTCCAGATTGGCACGCCACCCCAGACCCTGAACTTAAACTTTGACACTGGCTCGTCCGACTTATGGGTGTTCAGCAGCGAGACCCCAATCACTCAGGTTGCGGGGCAGACCACCTACAACATTGGTGCCAGTTCAAGCGCCAAGGTCGTACAGGGTGCGACATGGTCCATATCGTACGGCGACGGCAGCTCATCCAAAGGTAATGTCTATATGGACAAGGTAAGCATCGGAGGAGTGACGGTCGACAGTCAAGCCATTGAGTCGGCCAACTCAGTGTCGGCGTCCTTCTCCCGAAATAAGAACCAGTCTGGCCTCGTTGGTTTAGCTTTCGGAAGTATCAATACCGTCAAGCCTACAAAGCAAAAGACTTTCTTTGAGAACGCCATGAACAATCTCGCAACGCCACTCTTTACTGCCAACCTCAAGAAGGGTGCCGGTAAGTCGATTGTCTCCTCGAAAGATTTGGCATCATCTAATGCTGAGCACAGCGGGCAATTACAACTTCGGCTTCCTTGACACCACAGAATTCACGGGCGATGTCACATTCATTCCCGCCAATACAACCGCAGGCTTCTGGCAGTTTACAGCGCAAGGCTTCACTGTCGGTTCTAATGGAACCGCCGCTCAACCTGCACCTCACCAAGCTATCGCTGATACCGGTACCACACTGATGCTCCTTCCAGACACCATTGTCTCAGCGTACTACCAAAGCATCCCCAGTGCCCAGTTTGACTCAACTAATGGGGGGTTCACCTTCAACTGCAAAGACCAGGTACCATCTTTCACGGTAGACCTTGGGAAATACAAGGCTGTGGTGCCTGGAGAGTTTATGAAAATCGCTCCAGTGGACGGGCAGACGATTGAGACTTCGACTAAATGCTTCGGTGGAATACAGAGCGCAGGAACATTGCCTTTTGCGATTTATGGGGACGTCTTTCTCAAATCGCAGTTCGTAGTGTTTCACGGTGGGAACAATGAGCTTGGATTTGCGAGCAAGCCACTGTGATTCATCATTCCAAAAGACCAAGTGCGCAAAACAAGTTAAGAGACATTGTGAATTCCGACACATAGACTTAAATGGCATTGGAGGTATACAGTTTCCTGTTTATTGGCTGGGCATTCAGGATCCTTGACGGACTTGAGATGTTTAGGCTACATATAGATAACGGGCTTCATAAACATATATACTTTCTTAACCCTAATTTAACACAAATTTGAGCTGGATGGCGGCAGTCCCAGCTACTACGGATGTGGCCTCTTGAAACGAGTTATTCTCCTTTGCCCACATCTACCTGAATCCCTCCCAAAAATGCGACTCTACTGACTACTACACAAAGTTGACGAAGCGTATTCAGTAATCCAACAGACAGTTTTAGTGACGAAGTATTTCATGGGGCGCCACAGGAGGCACACGAGGCTGTAGGCTGGTCTAAACACCGCACGTTAGAGGCGTCGCATGCAGACCCCCCGATAGATAATGGCATGTACCATTAATGAGCTGATTTGCGTCAACCGTCTTACGTGTGGGAAACGGAGAACTAGTGGGAGGCTACTTTATTGACAAATTCATTATCGATGCTTCGATTATTGCATTTGTTCAGTTTCTGCCTTTATGACTTTTCCTGGTACAGTATCGACCACAAATCCAACGACCATGAACTATTCAAGTCTATTCAGGAAGAAGCATAAATGAAAGAATTTTAGATGAAGGAAATTTGTTACACATCAAAAGGCTGTTGGTGTCTTCTCTGAAACTTCAGATACGGCAGTTGCTTGTATAGACCACATGTTTGGTCATTCCAAGGAGATAAAGATGACGAGGGCGGGCTTAGATTCATGACATGAAGGTGATTAATCTCAACCTCACGTCCTTTTTGGCGGACATGGCCAAATAAAGTCGTGCCATGAGCTACGTCCTAATGAACACTCGACACACAATAGTTAGTTTGATGCGCCTGTTATAAATGATAGACATATAGATTCATTCATACCCTAAATAGCCGTAGTGTCCTCGATATCGGTGAGGGTAGCAGAATTGCACGACTATGATGTTCACCAACAGTTCAGCGTTGGTGGGATTGCGTGGAGACTGAATAGTACTTGGATTGAAATACACAAACAAGACCAAGCTGACCCTGCTCGTGCAAAGATGAGTGGTGCAGTATATCCCATCCGGCTCTGATCTCAGCCATATGTAATCACTCCAAACCGGTCTATATCATGCCTCTGATCCTCTCAATAAATCCGAAGCCATGAAACAAAGCGCAAATTTTGATCCTCAATGCAAATTTAGGCGGGCTCCTTTTCCACTCCTGCTCTCTCGCCATTCTTGTTACCACGCTTCAGAAACTAGCGGAATACAATAACCTATGAGCTGTTCAGGTAACTGAGGTAAGAGTTCCATCCAATACTGATGACGTTGACGAACAGCACACGGTGGTGTAGCGGGACGAGCTTGAAGTTGACCATTTGCACAAAGGGCCAGAGCATGTAGTTAGAGGTAAGGGCCGTCGTGTAGTTCTTCTCAAGCTTATCCTGCGGAGAACTGCCCTCAAGAACGGCCATAGAGGACAGGAAGACACCAATCATGACGGGTGCAAAAACACCCTGGTCGGCGCCGACGCGGGCAAGAATCTCAAGGTTCTTATTGCGGAGGACGACGTTGTGCTGGAGAAACTTGAACCAGGTCGTAGCGGCGGGACCGAAGACGGCTGGTGAACATTAGCACCCTCATCCATTCACTGGGGGACCTGGCGATAAGGTGAAAGGCAGGCAAAGTGGCTCAACTCACCTCCACCGTAGAGGGCCATGCGGGCTGTACGGGCCCACTCATGCTTCTCAAAGCCACGCTTCTCGACGAGCTGCTGGGCAGTGAGGTCACCGGTCGCAAACAGGATAGCGGTGGTAATGCTCTGGGTGAGCAGCGGACGCGCCGCAAGTCTTGCCTGATACCTGGAGACGTAATTAGCGACCCAATGCGCCAAAGTCAGAGCATGTAGCGAGAGCTTACCAGCCGAGCATTGTGATAATCGTATGAGGTTGGTGAGTAGTATCGAGAATATCGCTGGCCTAGATAGCCGATTCAATCTAGGTGCAAAATCGAGAAGTGAAAAAAATCGACTCTTGAGTAACGTCAGGCAGCTAACCAGGGCCGTAAAGCAAAATAAGTCGTGAGCGAATGAATTGGGGTTGGGCGATGTGAGTTGGAAAGTACGCTGGGAGAGGGTGCCTCAAGATTTCAAGGGTGCCCAGCAAGGAAGGTGGATGATGATCGCCAAACCTGCACGTGACGAAGGAGCTTTATCCTGACTTGAACAGATGGCAACAGTCGAGGGAGAGAAAAGAAAAAATCAAACAAGACTTAGAGCATTTGGAAAAAGAAACGACTAAATGCGACAGCAAGGCTGGGACTCTGCAATTGAACCTTGGCACAGGAAAACATGGGATTTATCAATTAGGGGCTTGCAACAAAGCAGCTTCCGTCATAGCCAATATCCAGCGTCGTTCGGGATTTCCAAAGACAGTACTCCGTTCCAGCGTCTAATGCAATATAGGGGGACGTTTCATTCGGCCCCTGTTCCCCGAGACTCCACGATGTCCACAGTCCGGGGTGCAGGAATGGAATTTGTCCAAATGATCCCGTCTGAATTGACTTCAGTTGTGTCTTTGAACCAGGAGAGCGACCATACTAAGTGTAATTTTGGAGAGTTTACTATACTGAATTCTGTTTGCTTCTAAAAATGGGTCGAGCGACGATAACTGCAGGCTTTTATTTCCCAATATTGACGAGCACATAATTCCGTATCATTTTCATGGTCATGCAGCGCATCATGTCTCGGACTCAGAGCATCACCGAGATCCCGGAAGCTCCAGGCAAGGGTCACTACCCGCCTATGTCAAAACATTTAAGCGTCTTCGATCTTTTTGTATGAGAGCCACATCGAGCTCAAACCTCACGAACATTATATTCGTCGCGTTTCTTCTCGGTGACGCCTATGGCACTTCCAAGACCTCACAAAGGCAGCTTGACTCACCCAGTACTCAGCACACGACCGCCGGGGGCAAGGTTGCCAACTGAGAAACCTTGCGATTGCTTCATGAAGGGTTTCCAGAGTCTTCTTCGTACCGCTGCATATAAGCAAGCGGACACAATGAAAACGAAGAGAAGGGCAAAATGCCAAACCAAAAAATTACACCCACGATGGTCCCGAAGGACAACCGAGAAAGGCAGACTCCGCGATGTGCAATGCAGGCCTTCCCTCCTGCGAGGCGATATTCTTGATCGTCGCGCACGCTGGATAAGGTAAGTATGAAGAGGAAAAGAAAAAATCAAAATCAAAAGTGCGAGCGGAAAGGATCTTTATATAGCTATCCACGGGATGGCCTCGATCAGTACAACGGTACGTACCGCAGCTGCCTGGGAGCCAGGTGAATGGGGAAGGAAGGTACGGAACTGCTATAGCTACAAGAAAAATAGAAATAAAAAAGCAGGTACAGCCAAATGCTTCCCTCCCTCTCTGGTAACCTTAAGGACTGGCTGTCTTATCCCACGCAAGAGCAAGTTGATGAATCAGAAACCTAGTTGCGCTGCGAGCTTTGCTTACACGGTGTTTTGCCTTTTGTTGATGAAAGTAACCGGGTTTACTGTTGATGCGCATTACGCAGTATTGTACCCTATCAGAACTGCTGAAAGATGAAGCAAACGAGATAAGAACTAGCCTCAGGTTGGTGTTTAAAAATGACCTGTACCAGAGGTGCCATCACATGAAGGAGAATGAAGCGTCAGCCTGATCGCACGAGCACCAATCACCTCGCTCTTATTAACTGCAAGAGTCTGCTGTAATGTGATAAAACAATAACATGATGCAGCGTATTAGACGGTTAAAGAGTTATCTTTCTATTCCTCGACACATCATAGGCAGTCATTCCCCATGCCTGTGCCCATGAACATTCACACAAACACCTCTTGGATTGATGTACAAGAAGTATCTTGCTTTTACATTCAGTTAAGCCACCGTCAATGAAAAAGTTAACGAATGGAACGAATATAGGAGTGCGCCGATCTGTCAGCTGGCTTCATATGGGCACTGGCACAATGGACGTGACATGTCTAAGCTAACTAAACTGTTTGCGAAGAAAAGATACATTTACTATCGACTTCACTGCCTAGATAGCATTTGTTCAAGTGGGCGTGACTTGAAGGCGAAACATGGCGTACCGACTTCATTAGAGAACAAGATAAACAATTTGTAGAAAGGATGGGTCATAGTGTCAACAGTGGTCTGGTGTCATGGCTCTTTAAATTCAATCCTGAACTATATGACATCGGCATGGCCAATAAGCTACGGGTGTGGGGAAGATGAGGAGAAGCTCCGGATGATCGGGGAATACGAGCCAAACGGCTTGACTTCATCTTTCTCCCCTCTTCTTACGATAGTTCACGGTCGGATATTGTTGCAGAAGTCGAACAAGACTCACGACTAGCGCCGAATCCCGCGTCTCTTATCGTTGAATCGCACCACTCGCGGGATTGGTATATCTACTTTGTGGGTTCTAGTCTGGCCTGACGACTCCACAAGCTGGGGTTCGACGAGGACGGGTTCAAACCGCTGCAACGTTGCAACTGGTACCTGGCATAGCATGTCTTTCAACTTTTGGACTTCTCATCATCATTAATTCGACTTTCAAGGACACAGGTGCGATCAGAAAAAGGCTCCTGCCTACAGATAGACTTTTCAACCCACTTGGCCTGACACGGCAACCCACCGGTCAAAATGACAGCTTCAAGTCTACTAGAGCAACTCAACCGCGACGGCTACGTTATCGTACCCTCCATCTTGTCAGAGGATCAGCTTACAAAACTCCGGAGAGCAACTCAAGCGGCTACGGTTTTGGCCCGGTCCGGCAAATGGCCTAATGTACGGACACTTCCAAAGCAGTTCCCGCCATGGCCACTCGCCGGCCCTAGTCCGCCCTCAGAGGGCATCTGGGGTGTGCAAGGAATGATGCATCCGGATATGCCCAACCATGAAGTCTTCATCGGAACATACTTTTCTGATGCCATCATCGAACCGACGAAGCAGCTTCTACAATGCACTGACGACGACCTCGTTATGGAGCTCTTCAACTTGCTCATCCGGCCAGACCACGATTTCGAGTTGCGGTGGCACCGCGACGACATCCCTGCAACCGCCACTGCTGAAGAAGAACTTGATCGGCTTAACAAGCCGGCATATTCAGCACAGTGGAATCTTGCCTTATATGATGATTCCAGTCTCATCGTCGTTCCCGGATCACATACCAGAGCCAGGACCGATATAGAACGTAACGCAGACCCATGTGAGAAAGCAATTCCCAACCAGCTCTATGTAGAGTTGAAGGCTGGCGATATTGTCTTTTACAACAACAACATCCTACACCGCGGGGCCTACAAAGCTAGCACAGAGCGAATGACGCTACACGGCAGCGCTGGTCATGTAAAAGGAAGTACATTACGGGCTCGTAATGTCCTCCAGCATGGACTAAAAGGTTGGGCAGACAAGATCAATCTCGAAGTGCTGAGTGAGAAAGAAAAGGCGCGGGCTGAGAACATGCGGAGAAGTCTTGTAAAAATGGGCCAGGAAGCGGGGGAAGTGGGATACTCCCTCGAGGGGTGAAGAAAGATGGTACTCCGTAAGAAAATGGATATTCTTACAAAGGCCAATGTGCTATGCTGGTCGAGTTCATGCATAAGATTGCGGCAATTCCAAGGACAAGAGGCTTGGTTGTTTTGAGGGGCTGGCGGTGTGTCATACTAGGCGGTGAAATTGCGTGAGTCTTGGTCATGTGTTGGTCGCATCTACGGACCCGTGACCGTCCGACATGAGTCCGTCTCAAAAGAAACACAGAAAGGACCTAATTACTAGTTAGCCCTTCTAGAAAACACATTCACGTCATTTTCGAAATTTGAAAACAGACAGGCTCTCGTAGACCTAACGTTGTTTCATCTCAAATCTAACACTCATTCACCAAGCGCTTAGCAAACCGGGGAAAAGGTACTGAGTGGACCGTGCACAACTGATGCCTAAGTAACAAGGTGTCTGTGGACCTGTGAGCTTTTCCCGTTTTGCGGCCAAATTCGGGTTTGCCAACCATCAACCGATACTGTCAGCGACGCTCTCAGTCACCTCAACACCTCCCAAACCCTCCGCAACCTCCTTCGATCGCTCGATACCGCACCCTGGCGACAATGTTGCCCTCATCGGTGCGGCGCGTGGTCGCCTCGACGCCTCAGTCCCCTATCGTTGCCTCCCTCAGCGCATCCGCTCCGAGAGCGGCTGTTGCAACCTTTACCCTGCAGCAGGTCCAAAGACCCGGTGGACACCAGAGACGATGGTCCTCGTCCAGTCCCTCGAGTCCCAATAACAACGGCTCCAAGGAGACGCCTGGCCAGAACGTCCATGCCTCGACCTCATCGAGCTCAAACAACAAGGCCAGCGGCGAGAAGCGGAAACGAAAGAGCAAGGATAGCGCCGAGAAGGATGTCGCGCAAAAGTTGCCCAGCGTGCCTAGCACACAACATCTGTCTCAAGAGGGTATGTGGCATGCAAATGAACGGGTGTTGTGGAAAGTATGCTGACTGAACTCACATAGCCTTGGGGTTGTCGACCTTTTTCTCGCTTCACCGGCCGATATCTGTGACCCACAGCATGCCCAAGACTGTGACCGACGAGGCTTTCGCCACCATTTTCAAGCCCCGAACCAAGGCCAACAAGACCACTGACGTTATCTCCACGCTATCACGGACGACTGACGACCTCGAGGGTGCCATGGCTAAGATGACCATCACAAACCAGGAGGCCGATGCTTCAGGCGAGCCCGTCCAGAAGATCGATCTTAAGCATCCCGATGGCAGCGAGTCGAGCGTATACGTCCAGCTAAACGCCATGGCTGGCCAGTTCATTCCCTTCCGCCCGCCTCCTCCGCCAGAGCAGATGGGTGCCGCTGACGCACACGCCGAGTCTGCTATCGAGGACATCGTTGAGGAAGTTCCTCATCACCGTGTCTACAAAGCTATGTTCACTATCGAGGAGACCACCGATGCCGACGGCCAGGTTCAGGTTCTCGCACACAGCCCCAAGATTATGCAAGACGAGGCCCCCCGTTCGTTTCTTGAACGGATGGCCCTGCGTCAAATGAGGTTTGACGAGGCGCAAGGCCACGATACCATGCAGGCCATTAGCGTCAAGCGTCAGCGCAAGATTAAGATGAAGAAGAAGAAGTATAAGAAGCTGATGAAGCGCACGCGCAACCTGCGCCGCAAGCTGGACAGAATATAAGCTGGGGGTGGCTGTACATACAAGCCCGCGGTTTCTCTTTATTCTTCTCGAACATTTTCTGGGCAAACGGTCTCTCATAATTGGTGTTCGGCCAGGCATTACTGATGGTTTCATCTCTTTCCTTTTGATCAGTTCTCAAACTACATAGAGAGAGACAGCGTTTGCATCAGATAGCAATCATGAACTGTTGCATCTAGAGCCATCACTCCATGACTGTGCCGCATTCCTTTGAGAAATTCGGTACCTAGGCGACGCAAGGGAGACATCCTGTACAACACAACAGTGTATTACTAGTTAAATGAGGAAGGAAGGAATTCTTGGCATTGAGATTCCCTTAAAGAGCGCTGCATCTTGAGTGACCAGACCATATATGAATTAAGTGATCATCGTCCGGGGGTGTTTTTTGTAATACGGAGTGGGGTGATTGTAGCGGAAAAGTTCCTACACCCCCACATCTGCGCCGACTTCTCCACACACCGCCCGGCAGAAAATGTTCTCTCCGCCAAAATTTTGGATTTCTTGAAGTCTGCGACATCCGCGACTTTGCGCCGAGCACAGCAAGCCCGCACTTGTCCCTCTCTGCAACCTCCGCCGTCTGCGAGCTTTCCAAGATGTCGCGAAAGGCAGTGTAAGTCTTGATATTTCTTAACGTTCATATGACTACATTGTATACTAATTTAAATGTAGAGATCAGCGGATTCCCGCTCTTATCCGCAATGGCTTGCAGGAGAAGAAGCGAAGCTTCTTCGTGGTCGTCGGTGACCGGTCTAAGGATGTTATTGTCCATCTCCACTACATCATGTCTCAAGCAGACATAAAGCAAAACAAGTCTGTTCTCTGGGCATACAAGAACAAGCTCCTTGGCTTCACCAGGTATGATTGATCTCATTATACTTACCAAGGTCTCAAGCTAATTTCACTTCTTTACCAGTCATCGCAAGAAGCGTGAGACTAAGATCAAGAAGGAAATCAAGCGAGGCATTCGCGAAGCCAACACCGAGGACCCTTTCGAGCTATTTGTTTCTCTCCACAACATCCGATATGTCTACTACAAGGAGACCGAGAAGGTGCTGGGAAACACCTTTGGCATGTGCATTTTGCAAGACTTCGAGGCCATGACGCCGAACATCCTCGCCAGGACGATCGAGACCGTTGAGGGAGGTGGTTTGGTCGTTCTCCTGCTCAAGGGCATGACCAGCTTGAAGCAGCTGTACACCATGTCTATGGACATCCACTCGAGATACCGGACTGAGGCACATGATGATGTGGTGGCCCGCTTTAACGAGCGCTTTATCCTCTCGCTGGGTAGCTGTGAGTCGTGCTTGGTCATCGACGACGAGCTCAATGTCTTGCCTATTTCGGGTGGCAAGAACGTGAAGGCACTGCCCCCAGCGGAGAATGACCAGCCAAAGACGGCTGCGCAGCAGGAGCTGGAAGAGATGAAGGAGTCACTCCAAGATACCCAACCAGTTGGCTCCCTGGTTACCCTTGCGAAGACAGTGGACCAGGCCAAGGCGCTCCTGACCTTTGTGGACGCCATCGCGGAGAAGACTCTAAGGAGTACAGTGACCCTGACGGCTGCCAGAGGTCGCGGAAAGTCTGCGGCTATGGGTGTGGCAGTTGCTGCTGCTGTAGCTCATGGTTACAGCAACATTTTCATCACTTCCCCTTCACCCGAGAACTTGAAGACACTGTTCGAATTCATCTTCAAGGGCTTCGATGCCCTTGGCTACGCAGACCACGCCGATTACTCGATTATTCAGTCTACGAACCCCGACTTCAACAAGGCCATTGTCAGAGTTAACATCCACCGAGCGCATCGCCAAACTATTCAGTACATTAGGCCCCAGGACGCCCACGTACTTGGCCAGGCAGAACTTGTCGTTATTGATGAGGCTGCCGCCATCCCTCTGCCCCTGGTGCGCAAGCTGATGGGTCCCTACCTTGTCTTCATGGCTTCTACGATCAATGGTTATGAGGGAACTGGTCGTTCGCTCTCGCTCAAGCTCATTAAGCAGCTGAGAGAACAATCAAGACCCGGAGCCAAGACGAACGGCGATACGGAGGTTGCTGATCGCTCAACGGGCAAGGCTGCCAAGGACCAGGGCTCCAGCCACCAGGCCAGCCGTACGCTTCGTGAGATAACCTTGTCTGAGCCCATCAGATACGCTCAGGGTGACTCGGTTGAGAAGTGGCTGAACAAGCTGCTGTGTCTTGACGCCACACTCCCCAAGGCCAAGGCTGGCAGTCAGGGTTGCCCTGATCCCTCCCAGTGCGAGCTTCTCAAGGTCAACAGAGACACTCTGTTCTCCTTCCACCCCATCCCGGAGAAGTTCTTGCAGCAGATGGTGGCGCTTTACGTTGCCAGCCACTACAAGAACTCCCCTGACGACCTCCAACTGATGAGCGACGCCCCTGCCCACGAGCTTTACGTCCTCATCGCCCCGACAACTGATGGCAAGCTCCCCGAGCCGCTGTGTGTTATTCAGGTTGCACTGGAAGGAAAGATCAGCCGACAGAGCGTTATTAACAGCTTGAGCAGAGGACAACGGCCTTCTGGTGATTTGATTCCCTGGCTGGTGAGTCAACAGTACCAGGATGAGGAGTTTGCTTCTCTTTCTGGTGCGCGTGTCGTCAGAATAGCTACAAACCCGGAGTACGTGTCCATGGGATACGGTACTAAGGCTCTGCAACTTCTCACCGATTTCTACGAACAAAAGTTCACCAATCTGTCCGAGGATGCTGATCTGACGATGGAGGAGACTTTGACGAGAGTTACAGATGCCGAGCTGGTCAACACCTCTTTGCTTGAGGACGACATCCAGGTGAGAGACATCAAGAAGCTGCCGCCTCTGTTTGCCAGGTTCTCTGAGATTCGACCTGCTGCTCTGGACTATGTTGGTGTTAGCTACGGCTTGACGCAGCAGCTGCACAAATTCTGGAAGCGTGCCCAGTTTGCCCCTGTCTATCTGAGGCAGACCGCCAACGACCTGACCGGCGAACATACGTGCGTCATGCTCCGGCCCTTGGAGAACACCGCCGACCAGACATGGCTGGGTGCCTTTGCCAGAGATTTCCAGCGTCGTTTCCAGTCTCTCTTGTCCTACCAATTCAGGGAGTTCCAGTCAGTCGTTGCGCTCAGCATTGACGAGTCCGCCAACGCCGGCGCCAAGCTTGACGGTGTTGAACCTACGGCTCTGACCAAGGTTGAGCTGGATAGACTTCTGACCCCCTTCGATCTGAAGCGCCTTGAGTCGTACGCCAACAACATGCTGGACTACCACGTCATCCTGGACCTTGTCCCTACACTAGCCAGCCTGTACTTTACTGGTAGGCTCAAGGCAAACATCAAGTTGACAGGAGTGCAGCAGGCCATCCTGCTGGCTATTGGTCTGCAGAGGAAGGATATGGATGTTATCTCCCAGGAGTTGTCTCTTCCCTCATCTCAACTCCTTGCTATGTTTATCAAGATTCTCCGCAAGGTCACGTCCCACTTCAGCACTCTGGTGTCTGCTGCCGTTGAGGCTGAGCTGCCAAAGGCTGATGCTATTGGCGTTAGCCGAGAGAATGCCTCTGGTGCCCACGATGATGAGGTGGTGGATAAGAGGTTTGTTCCTCTCGAGACATCTCTCGAAGAGGAGCTTGAAGAGGGAGGCGATGAGGCTCTTCAGAAGCTGCGCAAAAAGCAGCGTGAGCTCATCGACTCTCTCCCCCTCGACCAGTAAGTTCATATAACTAAGGAGCACAAAGAACACCCTTCTGACAACCATTACAGATACGAGGTCGACGGTGACGCCCCCGCATGGGCAGAGGCAGAGCAGGCGGTCAAGGACGGGAAGTCTGGCGTCGTGAGCGTTAAATCGAGCAAAGCGAAACGCAAGGCCGGGCCAACAGCAGCGGATGTGTACGAGGAGGCATTCGGAGAGAAGACCCACAAGAAGGCTAAGAAGCACAAGAAGGATAGGAGCTGAGTGGTCACAACAAGGTATAAATAAAAAGTGTAAAAGCATTGTTGCCGTCAAAAGGGTTTGAACGGTTTGTCCTACATCAGGGCCTCTGTATGGAGTTAGCTCGGCATTTTCGAAAAGACGATAGGTTACTTGATTTGGGTAGAATTTAATGGTATGACCATTTGAAAAGGTGTTGGAAACATGTGAATTTGGTGAATAGAGCTACTGACTGCGTTGGGCGGTTGAAATTTTCGAGGAAGGAGTGACGCTGTGTAAGGGACAACTTGTACCTGCTTTTTTTCACTTTTCAACATCACACCTTCCCATAAAGATTACATACAGACTTTTGTCAAGACCTGTTTATCGTATTCTTCCAACAGCTCCCAAAACCTCCAAGCTCTTGCAAACCAGGCATTTCGACAAGACGCCAGCTACGAATTCAATTGGGAGCGAGATCGTCCCATCTCCAGTTTCTTATACAACATCTGCTACAGGAACAGCAGGCCATGAGATCCGTGTAACACATCTGAACTTTCCGGTACATCATCTTACGGCCTACGAGAGAATGTGTATGGAAACTATTGCCCTCTGTGAAAGTTGCGGCTTTCACCGACACATGCACTACCACCTCTGCATGGCTTGGATATGGTCCTTCCGCGAGATAAGATGGGGCTTTAAGACGCCCCTCGACAGCATCCCCAAACCCCGCGACTGTCCTTTCATCGATGGCGAAGTCAAATGCGAGATCAAAGCCGGCCGGTGTCCCAATAGGGGGTGTCCAGGACATGCGCTTAAAGCAGAGCAAGACAAAGAGCAAATCGCCAAAGGCACAGCCGACGCAAGAACCGATGCCGAGAAGATCGAGGCGGAGCGAATCAAGTTGGGATTCAGACAATTTAGACCGCAAGGGTTTCAGGATCCATTGGAAGTGGGACGGCCGCATCAGCGGAAGCTGCCGGTTGTTATAATGGACTTCAAGCCAGAGGAGGGCTCCACATGGGGTCGTGTAAGAGGAAGTCGGCCTATGGAGGTTGCAGAGGAACATACGGGGACAAAACCAATTCCGATTCCGATTCCGCCTTCATCAACGGGTAATCAGACGTCGATGAGAAGACAGAGAAATTACAATGGTCCAATGATGATGCCTCATTGATACAAAAAATCAGCATCATGGACTACGGCACTAAGAGTGTTATAAGGGAGGAGGAAGTACTGGGCATGGTGTTGCGGATAAAGGTCAGCATTTTCTGATTTATGAGACCGTCAATGGCTGTCCTCGCCTACATGCCATGATTCCTATGAAAAGAAAACCGCAATAGATGTGGCTAATAATTAATACACATACTTCTCGTCTTTCTTCAAAGTTGTGGCGTGAAAACGAGATCGACAGTCATTGAAAACTTACTAAACATTCACTTCAAGGGAAAATAATGGTGTGGAGTGTACGGCCTCACTAGCCCTGTGTAAGACATTATGAATTGGCCAATCAGACCCGGGCTCATTCGGACCTTTCGATCTTCATCGAGAATGTTTCGGTGCAGCACGGCAACGCGGCAAGGATTCTCACTAAAACAAGATGCCTCCAGCGCGAATTAAGCCTGTTTTTCGACGCCCCGCCCCCTGAAGAGCCAATCTCGGCAGTGGAGACACTTCCCCTGTTTGACGGGCGATACGATTCTCCACAGCACCGTCTTGTCCACTAAGGAAACCTTTTGGCGCTGGAAGGATCATGCACGTTGGTACGTCCGCCTCCGCGACCTACGACCTGGGGGTTGATCAGAACTTTCTTAAAATTCCCCCATCCGCCCAAGCTTCCTTGTCAAACTGGATCATCTCATCTCCCCCCCCTTCTCCCTCCTTCATCCAAACTATCCGTGACGAGAGCTTGAGCCGTCAATCGATCCTATCCGTCGCCCTGACGTGATACCGTCCCTCGTTTTGAGATCACCCCACGTTCGCTTACTCGTTCAATTATACGCCTCTTGTTGCCAGTTTCACAGAGAAAAGCAAGCTCATCGTGAGCCTCCTTTTTTCAACATGCACGCTTACAACCTTGCCCCTGCACTTCTCCTCCTCGGAGGCGCCGCCGCCGCCCCAGCACCGGCACCGACTCTCGTCGCTCGCGCCGATGTACTCGCTCCTACTGCCGCCTGGATCAGCGTCGCAAAGGATGGTGTGCCGACGACAGTCACTCCCGTGCCTACTACCATCTCCGGTACTCCGACTTTGGCCTCGGCCGCACCCAACGCTCTGACAGGCAGTGTCTTCGTCATTACCGACTACCACCTTGTTAAGGTTACCACGAGCACCGGCAGCCCACCAGTCCCGACTGCCAAACACAAGAACGGCGAAGGCGCATTTGCCCCTTGCAACAACACGGATGGCGACTTTGCGCCCTTCTGTGATCCTGCAAAGGATAGCGTCCTGTACACTGATACGACGTATTACGGTACGCAATTCCCACTTAAATATGTCGAATAGCAGTTTTGAGCAAAATGCTGACTTATACAGTGACATGGGACTCCTCCGCCCTTATCAAAGGAAACCAGACCGACGTGCGCGTCAAGATTAAGGGCAAGGAAGTCAACGGCACCACCGTCGGCGAGGTTGTCTTCAACAAGGACACCGACAGCTCCCAGCTTGCTGCCTATGGCTACTATGCTTGGACCGCCAACAGCAACCTTATCCCTCGCGGCCAGTCGAACACCACCATCGAGCTCCTAATGCAATACACCATCAATGGCGTCGCGCAGAAGGACATCACAGGCCCCCAGGTACTAGTTGCGAAGCGTCCGTCCTTCCACCCGGAGGGCGCCAAGGTGCCCAAGGGCGCCGAACTGTATATTGCCCTCCCCACCGTCTTCGGCTTCCTCATCATCTGCCTCATCGGAGGATGCCTTTGGAACCGCTCCACGCGCAAGATTGGACTGGGCAACATCATGAGCCGCTCACGACACGGATACGGCGTTGGAAAGTCTCGCGCCCAGAGACTTGGTCAGCGTGTTAGGAAGAGTGTCTTCCGCGGTGGCAAGGACCGTGGTATTGCGCTCCGCACGAGGGAGATTAGCCCCGATGGATACCAGTATCACGACAACCCGGTTGACCAGCACCACGATGTCGGACGTCCTAGAAGGGACAGCGATGCGCTGGGCAGCTTGGCCGGTAGCCCGACCGAGGACAGGTTTCACGACAGGTTCCAGGACACGGGTGTGCAAGGTGGCAATGCCTTCAGGGATGAGATGAGGAGGCAGGAGAGGGAGAGATATTAGACTGAGCGTTGCGCGCAGCGCGATGTGTAGTATCCAAAAGTCGCAAGATGTCATGAGCATGGGAATATTTTGTAATGATATCTGTACGACGTAAGATGCGACGAGACGACGATAAGAGGTCTCTTTACATGTAATATGTAACAATAATGAACACAAGACCGGCCTTGAGGCCACACATACATTGGACGCGATTATCAAAACCAATACCGCATTGCAATCAAAGATTGCGACCAAGCGGTAATGTACATACCATAGTTGCCCGCTGTAACCGTCGTCCATGTTCTAAGAATATTTTGGATCCTTAGCAACAGAACTGATTCTTGACTTGTCCAAAAGCCCCCGACTGGTGGCATCTCAGGTCATCCTCTCTGTCCGTAGCCTCGTCTAACCTCATTGTAATCCCGCCCGCCACAAGCGCATCTGAGGAAAGACTACTTCAAAATTTTCAATGCGCCTACATAGCTCAGAAAAGGTTTAGCTATAGTCGTTGTCGCCCCTTGTAATTACAAATCGAGGAAGTGATCAGAGATACCTTGCCTCCGGCATGAGTGTCGTTAACATTCGGAGCATATTCCGCGAAGAGTGAGAAAGGCAGGGGCAACTGTGCTCCACGAGGTGGAGTGATGGAGTAGAAATTCGTTGCGGGGTGCATGTTCCGCATTTTGGGGCGGCCCAGGTCAGGGCGTCAAGATTCAAGCTAACTGCCATATTCAGCGCGTGATCCTGGATCCGCATAGTTGAGTTGATTTTTTCAATGTTTCAATCATTTGCCCCCATTTTCGGAATTCTATATGCGATCGCTTTCTTGGCTTTCAAGTGTCACTCGGGCTGACTAGGTGCGGGTTATGTATTGGATAGTTGAGAAGTTTGTTGTTGGTGACGTTTGTAGCTGTTCTTGTGATTTGCACATTTTGATTAGCGTAATTGCCGGTACACTCGACTAGAAACGTTCTAGAACTTGACCAGTGGATGTAAAGTCATGCTCATTAGGCCATTCCAACGGCTAAAAAGGGAGAAGTTGCTCAGTATGAATCAGGTTTTGTTTGTTGAATGAATGTGTTGGATTTTCATTTAGAGCGTGACATTGTCGCATCACTTGTTAAATTATACCTTTTTGATTTACGGATTCGATTCCATTTCCAACTTGGCTTGTTGTCGATAGAGGAGGGTATGCCGCTGGACCTGGTGTATTCATTGCGACTTAACAATTGTCTTAAAGGCAATAAATGACGGATTAGACTCGACGAGGAGGCCTGCAATGCCGTTTTTCTGAAAGGACCTTCTCCCTTAACACGAAGGATGGGCTTGTTGTATGCTTTTTTGGTCTCGATGGATTTGCCTGTCCCAAAAGCAAGCTCGTTGTAGTATATTCCAAACCTGCCAAGATAGCCAATCATCCAACGAAACCCCAATATTGGGTAATGTTAGTTTTCTAAGCCTTGAAGGACTGAGTTGCCGTTAGAGATCCGCTCGCTGACGAGTGCATGGACTTGCTATAATCCTAATCAGGGCATCTCGCTCCCTGGTTACCATTCTTGAAAAAGTGTGTAAATCGAGTACTACCTCAAATTTATATGTAAACGATTCGAACCCAAAGATTGACCATGAGCTGGTGAAGGTTGAAAGATTGCGGTGATAATGCCAGGCACCGGAGATAATCTTGCATACCTAGCTTGGAAAGATGGCGTCCGATAATAGGTGCTAAGAGGTAACTAAGCAACGTGGCGAGTCGGCACCATGAAGTTACAAGGTTAACTCAATTGAGTCACAATGGGCGCGATTTCGCCTCCGTCCGCTTGCAGAATTAATTCAAATCACAGCGTCCGGTGGGGCCTGCAACGGACCTGTCTTGCAAGACTTCGTTGACGTCACTATTCCAAATACCAGAAGCGATTGATAAGATCCAGTGTCGCCATCAAATCGATGAGAACCCTTGTGGATGTCGGCCCCCGAGACCGGAATTCGAGAAATGGCAGACGTTCCGCTCGGAGTTATATCACTCGGGCGAGCCTCGGCAAGTGGACCGATTCTTTAGCAGTACGGACCGGGTCTCGGCGCTTAGCTAATCCGCTCACAACGGGGGTCCCGATCACGCATTTGCTGGGCCACTGACGCCTGCCCGCGGCTTGCGACACACTGTGAACCCTGAATCGCGCCTGAAAAAATTCTGGAATCCACCATCGAAGGGACAAATCCCGGCAACCATTAGAAATCCAACTGCACCAGCTCCTCCAGCCAATTCCCACTCTAAGCCCGTCGCCCGTCCAGTCAGAGGCCGTCCCAGGGCTATTGATAGTGTGTTCCAGAGCAGACTTTCCGGTCCTATCGTCACCGTAGCGCACGAGTTGCCACGAGCTGATTGGAAGAAAGCAAAGCCCGTCACCAGTCCTGCGTTTCGTTGCCCCTCCACCCTACGCCCCCCCTTTGCGCCTCTTTTTTCCTTTTTAAAGATACCCCGCCATCTTGGAGAGGATAGTGCGTGTTCCGAACGCGCATATCACCGCCAAACTGTTTTCTTCAACCCTTAGACGAACACTTCTTCGTTCGAGTGCGACTGGACTGTCCTTTGCTGCAGCCACTACTACCCTCAAAAAGAACACCGCAAATCCTACCGAATTGAAGACGAGTGCCCGCAACATGCATTCCAAGGTCGTCAGTATGTCACCACTCATCGCACCCCTCCTCTTTCCCCTCTCCTGATCCAGTCACGATGGCTTCACTTGCAATGCGACCTCTTTACTGACAATGTGTCTCAACAGTCATTGGCTCCGGCCCTGCTGCCCACACCGCCGCCGTCTACCTGGCGCGTGCTGAGCTGAAGCGTAAGTCGTATCTTTTTTGAGTTTTCCGATCTGGACACCCGTAGCTGACAATCTTTCCATAGCCGTCCTGTACGAGGGCTTCATGGCTAACGGCATTGCCGCCGGTGGCCAGCTCACTACGACTACCGATGTCGAGAACTTCTCCGGTTTCCCCGAGGGTGTCATGGGCGGCGAGCTCATGGAGAAGATGAAGGCCCAGTCTGCCCGTTTCGGCACCGAGATCATCACCGACACCGTGTCCAAGCTCGACCTCTCTGCCCGCCCCTTCAAGTACTCGACCGAGTTCTCCCCCGATGAGACCCACACCGCCGACGCCGTCATCCTGGCCACCGGTGCCTCTGCCCGCCGCCTTAACCTGCCCGGAGAGGACAAGTACTGGCAGAACGGTGTCTCCGCCTGCGCCGTCTGCGACGGTGCCGTCCCCATCTTCCGCAACAAGCACCTGGTTGTCATTGGCGGTGGTGACTCCGCTGCTGAGGAGGCCATCTTCCTGACCAAGTACGGCAGCCACGTGACCGTCCTTGTCCGTCGCGACGTCCTTCGCGCTTCTCAGATCATGGCCAAGCGCCTGCTTGAGCACCCCAAGGTCACTGTCAGGTGGAACTCTGTCGGTACTGAGATTAAGGGTGACGACAAGGGCCTCATGAGCCACCTCGTCGTCAAGGACACCGTCACCGGCAAGGAGGAGACCCTTGAGGCCAACGGTCTGTTCTACGCTATCGGCCACGAGCCCGCAACCAACCTCGTCAAGGGACAGCTCGAGACGGATGCTGAGGGATACATCGTCACCCAGCCTGGTACGCCGCTGACCAGCGTTGAGGGTGTCTTCGCTGCTGGTGACGTCCAGGACAAGAGATACAGACAGGCCATTACCAGTGCAGGTGAGTTTTTGAACCATTGCTCCATGTGAAGTGGCTGCGAGGCATCGCACTTGTTTTGAGGATATGTTTTGCTGACAATGATTTTATCAGGCTCTGGCTGCATGGCCGCCCTGGACGCGGAGAAGTACATCGCCGAGTTGGAGGATGGCGACCCCAAGGACAACAAGCAATGACTGGACCATCGTCTTTGAGCCGCATTAATGAGCCGCCTTATGACATTTAGATCCTCTAGACATTTAGACAAGGAGGGACAAAAAGAAGAATAGACTTTCTGATTTCAAGCGTAACAAAATTGGAGAAAAAGAAGACTATTGTGATGGGCTGGTGCTGCTCGGAGCCAGGTCCGAGGCACCGAAGCTAGGCCTCGGAGATATATCTCGCCTCTGATCGAGACATTTTTACGTACGGGTCGGCCAGGCTTTCCCGCATTGGCTATTTTGGGCATCCCTTGTGACGAGTCTCCATGCCCCCGTAGTCGGCAGCGGCGGGGGGGAGGCGAAGGGAGAGTAAAGCTTCATATTTTACCCCAAAAGGCTCCCATGCGCGCGCCTCCCCTCCCCTTTGGGCCGCTGCCCTCGCCATCAACCAAGCGTCGTGTCGTCCCAACTTCCCACCTCTGGGCCAGTCTCTGGAGAGGATCTGACCCGCCCACACATGCCATTCTCATCCAACGCTCATCCAAGGAACAGAGCTTCAACCCCCCACATGGAACTTAGAATTTGGCCCGAAGTCAGGCGCAAATGCAACGCCAGCGCACGCTTCTCATGCTTTTCATTCGCCTCGCTCGGCCCACGAGGCACGGCTTGTCCCCATCTGCCCATGCCGTGCTGCCGTAGCGTTCTGGGTCCCGTTCATGTAGTTCTACCTATGGCATTGACGGCTGGCACGAAAGCGTGTGTGTGTGTGGTTTTTTGTTACTTGTTAGTAGTGTCTCTGTCGCTCTTCTCTCTCTCTCACTCTTGCAAGGGCGGGGTAGCAACAAGCGTGTCGTTTCAAAACACGCATCGCCATGATCAGCCCATGTGCCAGAAAGTTTCTCATATTTAAACTCACTCGTCCCCATCTCCACCTTGGCTGCCGAATGGCCCTTTAAAGTAGCCTTCCCCCCTCATTCCGTACTTGTCGCCGCAGAAGCGCTCCAACAGTGATCCTTCTCGAATGAACTGAGCCACATACAAAGATAACGGAGCCCATCCGCCCACCAGACGAGCCAACATGCCAAGCAGCAACGGGTATACTTACAAGAGTTCTGGAACCAATGGCCAGGTAATTTTTTTCTTTGCCTAAATGAACTTTAACTCTTTCGCAGAGGGTCGTTGCCCCCCCTGGCATCGGTTAGTTTGCTCACGATAGCGGCAGGGTAATCACTATTGCGCCCGCGACTATGGAAGCAGTTCTTCAAATCAGAACTCATACCATTATTCCAACATGTGAGCATCAACTGACCCGACATCCTCGTCTGCGCAAATTCCGAAAGGAAGTAGAAAGGGAGGGATGCTAATGGGAAATGCGTACAGAAATGGCTCGTATTACTATGCCAACCCAACCGGCAGCAAGTATTATAACAACGGCAATGGCGGGTCGACATTCGCTTCGGCCAGTGGGTACCGGACTTGCTCCGGATACGGAAAGAAGTAAGCTCTGATTGAAGAATTTCTGTTAGTGCGGGGGGGGGTGAGGGGGGAACGGGAGCTTGCAGATCCCCGTTTCCTACCCTGTGCTTGTTTCCTCCTTTGAGACCGACAGAGACGCTGACTTGTGACATTAAAGTGTTGGCATGAAGTAACTGACAGACAAACATCATGATGTATACGGCTTGTTATTATTTTGTAGGGAATTGGGAGGTTTTGATACTGATACTGATACTAGCTACTGTTGGGTTGATTGGCAAGGGAACCTTCATGTTGCATATACCAGGCGCAAAATATGGTTTCAATATTTGATTTTCTATTGTCCCTTTGAGAGGCATGAAAGCTCAATTTGATCATTCTCAGAACGCAGTCTCGTGATAGGAAATGTCCGGGGTAGCTGATACCAGAGCTCCGCCAAGCTGCATTTGCGGGTGGTGGCCCAGCTGCATCTGGGCTTCATGCATGCCACGACCACAATGAGTTGTCCATACCAACGACATATCTTTGACTAAGTCAAACAGTGTCGACAGTATCTTGATCTGAAGCCATCACGCAGCTGCCTCACGAGGTTCGCAGAGTGGTGTAAACGTACGTTGTTTAGAAGAGCGGTGGGTATGCCAGGATTGCCCTGCTTTACCCCGCGAGGATGTTGCGGATAAACAACATGAAGACCGACGTCAATTGCAAGCCGCCGGCTATCTTTTCCACATGTTTGCTATCTAAGGGTGATTCCTTTGATTGTGCCTAGTTAATTAAACTTTGCTTTTGCTCCTCATGTTTGCTTTTTGTTGCTTCTTCGTGCCTTCCTATTTGCTGCGTCCCCGCAGCAAGCTCGTTTATCCATCGCCGCAGAATAATTGATCACAAGAGCATTGACCAGCCACCGGCCGCAATCAAACAGCAACCCCTCTTTATTTAACACTGCCCGCTGGAACTAACGTCCTCCAACGACGCATCATCACACTCATCAGAACATCAACAACTCAAACCACCAGATATCTTCGTCTCTTCAAAGATCCAGTCTCGAGAAACAACAACTAAGATGTCTGGTAACCAGGGGTACTCTTACAAGGGCTCCGGCACCAACAGCCAGGTATGCCCATCTGAGAACCTCTCATAGCCCACAGTTCAAGTGAGTGAGCGAGAAAGCAAAGCGGGATGACTGACCATGGCTGATCAACAGGGCAACCACTACTGCTCCCGCGATTACGGCAGCAGTGCCTCGAACCAGAACTCATATCACTACTCCAACTCGTCAGTGGAATTCATCTTCTTATTACCAAGAGCCTCTCAAAAGGTGGACAACTAACAGGTGGTGACTGACAGCAACGGATCGTACTACTACTCCAACCCCAACGGCAGCACTTACTACAACGACGGCCAGGGCGGCTCGACTTACACCTCTTCTAGCGGCAACCAGACCTCGTCTGGCTACGGCAACTCCGCCAGCTCTGGGAAGAAGTGAACTGTGTGACCTTGCCGGCACCAACAACCTTCCTACCTGGAAACTCGGGAAGATGGTTAGGGCTTTTTTTTTTTTTTTTTTTTTTTTTTGAATGGGTGGGAGCTGCCGCCTCTTTCCTGCTAGTACGGCAGTCTGAATCGACAATAGTCACATGGACAGCTTTTGAGTTGCAAGACTCGGTGGCCATGGCGGACATGAATTTGGATATGAGAATGATATGTTAACGCAAGATGATTAATGCTGCCCATGCGCTGACCTGACCGTATCGTGAATTAATATCATAAAAGCTTCTTTAAGTTTAAGTTTCCTTCTCACTTCACAGGCGTATCTACAACCCCCTCGACCTGCTCCGTGGAAACAATGTGAGTAAAAGGAATTCGTAGTTGGGTATATGAGTAGGAGCGGGAGAGACAACGGGGTAGGCGATGAGGGGGTAATGCTCGCATCCCTTTTTTTACATCTAACACCGTTGCCCCTCCAGATTCCCGCGACATGACATCTATATCGTCATATTAGATCCTCCACCACCACCACCGCACACACAACATTCGTCTAAATTTGATCAAGACCAAGAACCACAACGCCGGTGACGAAATCCGCCGGGTGGTTCTGCGTATTCGACTTGCCCGTCCCGTTCTTCAGATAGCAGTACTCCCCGGGAGTCTTGATCATGGCGACGGACCGGCACCAGCCTCCCCCCGACACCCTGCCGTTCTTGAGGTTGTCGGCGTACTGGACATTGTACGATGCGCAGAGCGTCATGCACTGCTCAAACGTCGAGACGTAGGTCTTGAGGATGTCGTGGATGTCGGGGTTGCCCCATGTGGCGCCCGAGGCGTAGTTGACCTCGCACAGCTGGCGGAAGGTCTGGGCCGAGCCGCCGTTGACGGTGATGGCCTTGCTCTCGGCGTTGGTGGGCGTGTACGTCGTCATGTTGATGCCGGGACACCCGCCGTCCGTGGGCGCGGGTAGTTTGCCGTCAGGTAAGACGGAACTAGTCGCTGAGGCGCTGGACGACGTCGCCGTCGTCGTTCCCGATGCAATAGAACTGGGCGAGGAGGATGCGGAAGAGGACGCCACGGTTGCTGTTGGGCTGGTCTGGGTGTCCTGGTTGTCTGACGAGGAGTTGGCCTTTTGCGTTATGAGTCCGCCGGCGACGCCTCCAGCGATGCCGGCGGCCAGGATGATCACCAGCGCGGTGACGAGGCCCCAAAACACGGGGACTGTGAGACCTAGGACGCGGCGCTTCTCGGACGGCGGCGGCGGCGGTACATCATCACGCACGGCGTAGTGTTGTTGGCTTCCCATCCACTTCGGGTCCGTCGCCATGCTCTGCATCCCCAAGCTCTGCGTCGCCGGGCTTTGGATGCCGGGCTGAGCGGCGTAGGGGATGGGCGCCGTGGCCCACTGGTCCTGAGCCGATTCCAGGCCGGGCTGGTCGTTATACCGGTCGTTATGGCGATCTTGATCCATTTCGTGGGAGTGCAACAGCGGCTGTGTCAAAGGCGGCGGCGGCGAGTCGTCTGAGGGCTGTTGCAGCTGCTGTAGCTGGAGATGCTGTTGCTGTTTTTGCTGGTGCCACTCGCGTTGCTGCTGATGATACCGTGCTTCGTGATCGTCCATGCCAGCATCCCACGATGCTTTATTGTCCTTTTTTTTTTTTTCTCTCTTTCTTGCTCTTTTTTCTTCTTTATTTTAAATTCCCGCTGTGGATATCACTTGGGAGAAAACTTATGTCTAGGGTGTTGATATCAAGCGCACCCAGAGCACACAGGCGGGGGTCGACGGCGAGAAACAACACTGTTTGTGATGGATCAACGAATAACCTACTAGAAGGGGCGAAGGATGAAGAGGGAAAAAACGTGGCACCGGGCGAGACTTGAGTCTTAAACAGGGGTCGTCAACGGTCTCTCGTGGGGTCACAGGTAAGCGACATAGTGGTGCTTGTCTGAAGATGGTATGGCTGGGAAGCGAATTGGGTTGGGTTTACTGGGAACTGGGGTACAAGTGCGACGTTTAAACCGCCAGCAAAAAACACGCAAGAGGCCTAAATCGAATGGGTTTGAAGCGCATCTGCTCAACTTGGTGCTTATGCCTGAGCCTGGTCAAACAGGCCATCGGAGGGCCAGGCACGCGTCAGACTAGACCAAGATGAGAGTGCCGACCACTATCGTGTTGCAAGGGCCGTATCTTGGTTAGCAGCACAATGCCTGTCAATATCAGCCGCACCACCAGGCTCCGGTCCGGTGTATGGCCATGCAATCTAACATGGTGACAACCGTTGGGGGCTGCTCTGGACATCAAACCCAAAGGGTGTTAGCGCAAGGTGGGCCTTGCTGAACCAGAGTGCGAAAGGCAGGGTTCGCGAGCGGTAGGATGGTGGGTGGGGGCTGGTTTTGTCGAGAAGATGCTTGGAAGACAAAATGCGAGGAGATGGTGTGTGACGGAATACTTGGGGTTAATCCGGAGGCGCGGGTCAGTGAAGGGGGTGACTGATGGTGGATGAAGTGGTGATGTGGATGGTTGGATTATGTAGCCGCCATGGCGGCAATATGCACTTCGCCTTTCTGCTGAACCTCAGCCGCAACATTTTTCTTGCTGTGTTGGCATCACCTGAGAAACCGAGTGAATGATAAATAGAATCGTACAGATTCAGCAGGCGGGGCTGAAGTTTCCAAGTTTGGCTATTGTATTTCCCAACAACATAAACATGGCTGAGTTTGTATTAGTTACTGACGGCTGTTTATAAGAAAAAAAAAAAAAAAAGGAATAGAAAGGAGTTGGCGGAAAAAGAAGGGAAAAGAGACGTACTCGGGGTGCCGTATCCGAACATTAGTGATTGGCCAGAGCGGTAGATTGCAAAGTACATAGAGTAGGTACTCTGTGCGTCGTGGAACCCAATAAAGTTGTATGGCCTCAGCGCCCATTTGATTAACTCTAAATATTGTGAAATAATGGTTTTCGTCGTGGTCTGTGCATCCAGCCTTTTTGTGGCGCCTTCTCCAAGTCTTCTCCAAGACGAAGTACTAAGGTATCTGGTTGTCGCCAGCGAATTATCTTTAGGTACTCGTAAATGTATGTACTCGGCCGACCTCCCTCCCCCTTATCGGCTCCTCCAAGGCCCCCGTGTCACTTCATCCACATTATCCATCCCTGTGACGCTGCAATCCTTCACTGCGGGCACCGTCTCATCAATGAGCAAGTTCGTGCCGGTTTTGTGTGCCGTTCTCCGGTAACTCGGTAGGCATCTGCTGCCCGTGAACCTCAGCAACGGGCACATAGTGTCCTCCAGGCTTTCCCCACGGCGACGATGGACTCGTGTAGTGCTGCTGGTTATGTCCAGGTTGCATCTGGTAGCTTGCAAGTGCTGCTCTCGTCTTCTTCCTTTCACGCAAGAGCATGAAAGCGAGCGCTCCAGTCGCAATGGCAAGTGGCAGGCCCACGCCAACTCCGATACCCGCCGCCGCTCCCGTTGAGATTCCTTGGCTGGCGTCCGCAATGGATGGACACGTCGTGGCGCTAGCGTCTCCAGTACCCGTGCTGGCAGCTCCTGTGCCTCCGGTCCCTGTCGATGTCGCGCCAGTAGAAGCAGCCGTGGTCGTTGCCGATGCCGTGTCGTTTCCGAGGTCCGTTTGGAGGGCCGAGTTCATCACCGCTCTGTACGCGCCAACGGTAAAGTTCTGCTTCGAGCAATTATCCAGGCTGCTACAGGCAAACACCCTTGAGGCGCATGCCCATACAGCGGCGTGGCGGCCGGGTGCTGCGACGGGAGTACGTTAGCCATCGCCTCCGTATTCGTTACCCCTAGGTCTGGGCCGTAGGATCAAAGGATTCCAAAAGACTTACTCGCCCCGACGATGTTATCCTTGTCACAGATTTGCGGGCACCCGGGCTTCAGGTAGTCCTTGTCCGTACATCCGCCGCGGTACCAGGTCCCTTCGGTTGGCGAAAGACACAAGCCATTGGTCATGCAATAATGGTTCGCAAAGCAACAGGCAGCAACTTCATTACCTGATGCCACGGAGCACGGCTGCAGCGCCGATGCCGTCCCGCCGCTGGGCCAGTAACACGTCTGGCCAGACGCTAATGTCACCAGCTGGATCGCCGCGAAAACCCAGCGCGGCAGATGCATCTTTCGCTTCCTTGTTGGCAGGATCCGACGACGACGACAACGACGATGACATGAGTAGGGTAAGGGGAAAGGAGAAACGTGACATCTGGGGTAAATCACTGATATATAGCGAAAGTCCCCTCGCTGATCAGGTCTGGGCAATCTAACTCACTACTGACGAGGTTGCTTTCGTTCAACATTAGTGCAGTTACAGCTCTTGGCCCCCCCTGCTGCCCTTCCCTCTCCAACTGTGAAAAGCGATACAGTATCCTTCCCCCTCTAAGCGCAATACTCGCCGGGGCCCAGTCTATTGTGGAACATATCCTGACCAGCTGCTTACATCGTTGGCGAATCACACCTCCCATCGAGATGGCCAAGCGGGCTTCTCGGGTGCGCCCTTATCCGTATAAGTCGAAGTCTTGTAGATATGTACCACATACTGGTCCTGTAATTCTCACAGTCTCCATTCAAACGCCCGCACCAACGATGCAATGCGCAGCGCGCAGGCTATATTTTCCTTGGCGACCGATCGGCACCAACTCTTTAATTGGAATCTTGCAGAGGATTCGCCAGGGTTTGCAGATAGATGATGCGTAGGTAGTTGTCTAAACTGTCAATTGCTCTATAGGTATATCCTCCGCGAAAGCAACGCTTAGCATGTCCTGTCCTTTCTAATAATTATTTACAAAGTCTTCTTTCCCTTCACCGACTTCCACTCCATAAAACATGCTGCAATAGCAGCTAGAGCAGCCAAAGGAATGGCCGCCGTAAATGTCGCCTTCAAAGCATCGTTATACAAGTCCAGAATCTGCGGCAATGCGCTATCCGGGACCGCTGTACGGAAAGCCGTGGCGCCAGTCTCAAGAACCATGCGCATGTTGACTCCGGAAACCATATTGGTCATTGACGCCTGCATGAACCGGCTTTGGAACAAAGTGTTGCCGACAGAGATGAAGATGGCGCCTCCCAGAGACTGAGACGCTACCACGGCAGCAATGGCGATGGGAACCTCTTCCTCTGGGAGCACTGTCTGCACAGCGGTGAAGCCTTGCTGAGTCGCCATGCCAAGGCCTGCCGCCACGAGGATCTCGAACCCCATCAAGTGTGAAGCCGGCGTGTCTGGAGTAAGCAGCAGGAGGAGGGCACAACCGGCTGTGCCAACAAGACCACCAATGATGGCCGGCGGCACAAAGTAGCCCCAGACCGTGACGAAGATACCGGCGAGGAGCGAGAAGAACGCCATAGTGGCCATGTAGGGAATCATGTCCACTCCAGAGGAGATGGCATCATCACCGCGGATGGCCTGGAACCAGATGGGCAGGAAATAGGAATGAATGAGCATGGCCCCATACGTCGCAAAGGCTGCGACGCAGGACGCCGCCACAGTCCTCTGGGTGATGATGGCCGGCGGGATCAGGGCGCTGTCTTGCTTCCACCACTGCCAGGCCGCAAATACCACGGTCGTCGCACCAGCGCCTGACAGGAGGCCGATGATCTTCTTGCTTGACCACGCCTCGCCTTCACTTGCGTACTCTAGGGCCAGGAATAGCAACACGCAGGCGCTGAGAAGGAACACGTTGCCAACCAGATCAAGATCCAGGATTCTATCACCGATCGTTTGGCTGGAGCGGGTGGACTGTTTGTGATGAAAGAATAGGAGGAACAGGGCCATGGTGACCAGCGCGAGAGGAATGTTCATGTAAAAGCACCACCTCCAGGTCTAAAAACGGTCAGTTTGGGGTGTTTCTTTGGGAGAGGTCTCAAGGGAGTTACATACGACAAGATCGGTAAAGACACCACCAAGAAGAGGGCCGACGGTGGCTCCCAAGCCGAACCTTCATACTCAGGTTAGCAAATGCTTGGTTTCTCAAGTGAGAAGGTACTTACACGAGACCCACAACTGCCGTATATATCGGGCGCAGTTTCGGAGGAGCCGCCGTTGCGACGACAACAAAGCTACCGGTGAGAATGCCGGCGCTGGCGAACCCAGCCACGGCACATCCGACGATAAGTACGGTGGAATTCGGGGCAACCGCGCAAATGAGCGAACCAATCACGAAGATGAAAATGGCGAGCAGATACGACCACTTGATCGAGAAGAGAGTAAAGACTCTTCCAAAGACGGGCTGGAAAGCACAGGCCGTGAGCAAATAGGCCGAACCATACCATCCGATGTCCGCTGTAGACTGGAACTCTGCAGTGATGTAAGGAATGGCCTGCTTCAGTTAGCACAAGGGACGCCCCTACGAGCTCTTGAACAGGCATGCGTTGAACTCACCGTCGAAAGAATCGTCCTGTCGATTGAGATCAGAAACACTGCGATGCAGATTCCAACCATAAGCAAGACCAACGACAACCCACGCGTCCATTGCCCTTCCTCGGACTCTTCCGCTGCCAGAACAACAGAAATGCGCTGCTGCACCTTCAGCGCCTCCGATCGCCTGACCTGACGAGTACAATCCTCAGCATCCTCCTCGGCGATGTCGGGCTCGTAGGGCCTGGTAAAGCGGCTGATCTTCGCGCCGGCCTTGCCCGGATGGCGCTGCTCAGTGATGGGCGTGGACGCGGGCTCTGGGTTTACCAGAATCGCCCTGGAGCTCCGGAGTGACGACTGACTGGCCAGATGCCTCAGCTCTGGAGTAAAGAAGGACGAGATCATGGACGCCGTGTCGGAATGAATGTCTGAGAACTTTCCCACGCGTGGTGGTGAGTGGCGCACGTGGATCTCGGAAATAGAATGTGAGGAAACCGTCTTCAAAGACATTGGGTATGCGATCCGTTCAGATACCGCCACTTCCGTGGGTGACATTGGCTGGATCCGTGGTGTAAGCCTCAAGGACCCGTGCCGTTGGAACGAAGTCTTCCGTTGAAGGGAGGACTTGCGTTGGATGGGAGACTTGCGTCGAAGTTGGGACTTTCGCCCAGTCGGAGACCTGCGCTGGAGCGAAGACATGCGGCTAGGTATCACCGGCGCCTCCATGCCGTTCGCCAGCTTGGACCGGCCGCCGTGCCCGCAGTTTGAGCAACCGGACGACGACGACGACGAGGATTCCGCGCCGGGGCTGCACCTCCGCCTCCTCGGGGGTGTCCTGACGTTGGGGCCGACGACAACCACGGTTCCTGATCCGCGGCTGCTCCTTTCCGCGAGGGTCTCTGCCCTCGACAGACGGCCAATCTTCTCCTCCCAGTCGTCCGTGAGTGACGCCGGAAGAATCTTGTCATTCTCATTGTCTTTTTCCAAGTAAAACGACGAGTATGAAACCTTCTCGACCAGTTCTGGCATTTCTTCTGTGTCTTTGTCTGAATCCTCCTCCTCATCAATGTAGATGCGGCTGCTGCGGCCGTCTCGGCCCACGCGGCCGGTTAAAGATCGTGAGTCGCTTCTGTTGTCCGGCGACCGGCGCCGTTGTGGCTGGTTGCCTCCATTGGAGGACCTTCTGCGGTCTTGAGCGACCATTGTGGAAATGCAATCAAATTCAAAAGCAATTATACTCAGTTGTAAAGGAGTGAACAGTATAACGCGGCTTAAAGTGCCTGTGTGACAGACTGGCAGGCCCAACTAGATATGATGGATGAGAACTAGCATGACACGAAAACTTATCGAGAAGCCCGTGGGCAGGACCCTCGGCTTAAAGAGCTGCCCTGGCTCTTGGTAACTGGTCTTTCATGGCCACCTCTCCGCTGGCGTGGCGCTTCGAGGCATGGAAAAAGCCATACTCGGCTGGGCAAAGCGTTACCATCACTCTGGTCCGCAGGGACAATGGCAGTCCAAAGAACACACTCAAGAGGTCCTCCATTGTCCTGGTCCTGCCAAACGTCCTGTTTAGACGATGCTGGCGGGGGCTTTGCAAGTCGGCGCAGCACCAGTTGTCGCTGATGGCCAGTCTCGACAATTTTGATTGGTTGCAGGTGCAAGAAAGATTTGCGATCCGGCTAACGGGGACGCAGGGCCAGCCAAGCCAGAGGCGGGGTTTCGGTTTAGTGCGATGCAGTAGCAAAGTTTCCAGGTTTTGTGAAAAGTTCGAGAACTGGCGGGGGATCGACTTTGCTGCAGAAAACGTTGATGTCATGGGCTGACGGAAGACAAAGAATGAGCTGTTGTAGTGAAAGGACACACAATGGATTGCCCCTGCTTGGTGTCGACGCCGGGGAGTCCAATTGGTGTTAGTGTCCGGACTCGAGGTGTTGTTAAAGGCTTTTTTTCCTTGAAAGGATTTCGAAACGTGCATTTCGATACGACCTAACAATGAGAACTCGAAGATGAGGCATTTGCGAATCAGCCACCTGGATGTGCTAAACATCGCCGTAGCGGAGCCGTTGCATGCCACAAGGATTAGTCTGACCCGGACTTTCGTGTCTCTTTATCCGAAGCAAAGACTGCTGCGTGTGTTCCTAACGATATTTGACCTAGAGTAGGAGGCTATGGATGTCAACCCCCCACAACACCAATGAATATCGCAAGATATGTGATTTTAGGCGAGTCAGATGGATAATAAGACGCTAGTTTCAGTCTCTGACAGGTCTTGGCGGTATTCACTTCTTGTCGAGGTTCGAAAGGATTTGACAGTCCATTTCCGGAAGACTGGCCATGCATCACAATTTTGTTGAAGTTGTGGCAGATGTTGCTGCTATTGTAACCATTGTTCAACTGTATCACCGTACAGAACTGTTTCAAACAATGAATGGAGTGTACTGTTGCATTGCAAGGTGATTGCTGATAGATATTCAGGCGTGGACTGTGATATCTGACATCTTGTTCGCAACATCAACAAGCTGAAGTTGCGACATTTGGTTCCTTGCCACTATGGAGACTAAGATGGTCCATGATCGAGAAGTGCAGAAGGTCGAAGACCAAGCTAGTAACATCTTCCCATCCCGAGGATTCCTAAACGCACCCCTCCTTTAGTGATGATGATGATGGGTTTGGCTTAATGTCATGCAACTCTCCTATATCTTGAGTATTTCACCAACATGATGTTTTTATTGCAATTTTAACAGACATTGCAATGTGATAGTACACGTTTCCTTGAACGCTTTATATTCCTTTCTAAAGCAAAAAGACAGGTACTCAGTACCTCATCTGGGCCTTCGATATTACCAGCTTTGAACCGCGATGGATTATCGCAGCAGCATTTTGATCATAGTCCAGTCTGTAATGACACAACGCGAAGCTAGAAAAGGCTTTGTGGGACTAGTCAATTGGCCCGAGCCGTCTGGTATATATGCGATGATCAGTGAGATGGGCTAGTGCTAGCGAAGAATGAGTGATATTCCTGCCGAAGAAGTATCAGGTGAAATACAACATGGAGAGGAGTTTGACATTTACCCTCAGTTTGATTGACGGGGAAGGATCAAGTCGATGAATTCTTTAGTTAGTAACACAAACATCGTTTTGTTGTGACTTACGTATGCCTCTGAATGAAGAAACACATTAGTGTTGTTGAGCCCTTGCAATATGATTCAACAGCATCAAAGCTTGTTAGACCATCTAACCGTTCCCGGCGATTTGGATAAACAACGCCGGAAAAGGAAGCCAGTTCGCTAGTTCGCTACCCGGCCATTGACAAGCCCCTCTGCCTCTGGCTTAGCAGGGAAGAGATCTCCGTAACTGGCGAGAATAATTGTCAAACATGGAGATCGTAAAACTCTCTGCCTTGATTTGCTGAAGCATGGCTGCACCAAAACCTCAACCACGGCATGTAGCACGTACGTTGAAATATGCCGAAGAGATGATCAAGAGGTGGTTGTAATCTTTCCATCGCATTCTCATGGCTGTTAATCGTTGGGCAAGCTCTGGCATGCCGGTAGCTACCCTCAGTCCAAAGGCTTGGAAAGCCACCTCCTCCTAATATGACAAATGGCCATTAGCAGCAGTAGCATTAACATGGTTGTGAGCTCCCGAGATAGCGAGAACAGTGTGAAGTAGTTAGAAACCCTGGAATGGGAAAGCATCTAGGTTTCGATCCGGCCAGATCATGATTGTGCTGAAGTTCTTGCTAGTTTCTTTTTGAGATAGTAGCACAACCTCTCAAACTGCCCGATATGTAGGACAAATAGTCAAGGAGCGAAAGCCAGCCAGGAACGGGCAGGCGGATAGTTCGGGGCTGTCATCTTTGTTAACGCCCGTTTTGAAGTTGATCGTCAACCCAGAAACTCAATCCTCGATAGTCTAGTGGTGAGGATATCGGCTTGTCAACAAGGCAATACGCCGGGGACCGGGGTTCAATTCCCCGTCGAGGAGTAACGACACGGAGTCTGATCAGATTTCATTTTTGCAGTTTTTTGTGGCTGCTGTGGGCAAGTTGCGGAGCCCATTCCATGCCCTGGTCCGAAGATCCACCTAATCTACGGCCGGGGGACGGTCACGGAGACAAGTGGGTCAAATATTGTAATAGATCCGACGAAGAATCTTGGACACTAAAGTAGAGAAGTGTGGGATTCTCACTATGTCAAGAGTTATTGGTTTAATGTTGGCCGTCTAAATAAATCTTGTCTGTTAAGGTGCAATTGCGAGTCAAATGCCCGAGTTTTCTATATCCTCTTAGCACGGTAATGTCAGGGTTTTGGTTTCTCTCCGCCAATGCCGTCCATGCTCTTGTAAGTGTTGCACGAAATATCAACGGCAATTTCACAACCTCCGTCTTCACGGCCCCAGTCACGATCTTTACCCTTGAGCGCGGCTTCCGTAGATTATTCCCACTTTGTACAATATGTTGCGATAGTTGATGTGTCAGCTTGTTGTTTGTGGTTGGATTATTCCTAAAAAGGAAAGACTCTCTGGTCTCAAGCGAGTGCACTTATGCTAGTTCATGTCTGCCAAAGAAAACAAATGGATACACTTCCCAAAACTCCCACTTTCAACTGACAGGGTGTTTACCTAAATGTTTTCATATGCTCTCTTTGGTGACGCTTCCCGTGCTAGTATGTAGCATCTTTTCCTTCCTCGAGTTATAGTAATTAGTTATGAGCTTCTTGAGATAGCTTACCGGTCTAGAAGACTAGCCAAAAACAGGATGTCACTAGCGGAGGGGTCTTCTCGCTTGATATGGTCGAAAGACACTATCCATGTAGCTGTGACCGCATGAGGCGTCTCAGAGTTTCTGCCGACTGTTTCGAACGGTTCGCTCAGTTACTATGCTATCGTCTTTTTTATTCAAAAGCTGAAGATATTTGTTGATAGACATGCTGTTCGCTTGTATATATGCGGCAACGCGAGCGAGTGCAAGCGGTAAATACTCAAGTCTGGCAGATAAAACCGCCGTCTCTTCGGCAGAGCCTTCCTCATCAAGAAATTTACTTAGGAGTTGATGTGACTTCGCCTCACTCATCTCATTGACTTTTGTAAGCGGCTTTCCTCGTACTAGTCTTAGCCCTTTTTGTTTGTTCCTAGTCGTAATAAGAACTGATCCGTGACGGCACTCGGCGATATACTGTGCCATATCACCGTATACTTCAGTCACAGTTTTGTCAGAATTGCCGTATTTCGGCTCTGGCGGGAAGAATACTTACTTGTGCATCATTGGCATTATCGATTGTTATAAGCCATCTGCCACGTCATGGCGAAATGATGGGTGGCTTGTCAGAAACCCCGTCGCAGATGTAGGTTATTACATTAGAGGTCGTGTAGAGCGACAAGATAGATGAAGAGCTGAGTGAAAGGTATTCTGCTCTTGTGGCTGGACATAGGCTGTGTTGAATGCAGGATCAAGCTGACGCTTCCTTATCAACACCTTTTGGCTCGCTTCATCATTCACGGCACCAGCCAAGAGTCTTTCATGTGCTGCCCGCCAGCATCATGATTGGTAATTTACAGCCAAGCTATAGGTGCCGCCCGTAGTTTTCCTTGAATAAGCTGGTTGATTTGTTGAGGCGATGCCATGTTGAAAACATTCTAGAATTTTAGCAAATATATTGGCGAGCCTCAATTGTCAACTTCGCAGGGCGTGGTCAACCTGTCAAGAGGCTCTTTGGATCAGCTCCTTTGATATGGAGGTGCAGGTCTGCCTACCGCACCCGCGTTCGGGGTCTATTGGCAAGATTATGATGAACGGTCTACTTCAAAAGTATCATTTTGACTAAAGATTCTTGCCGCAGCTGCCTTAAACTGTAGGTTCCAACACTCATCCATGCTCCGTTAATTCCACATCGATGAGACAACAGCAAAGGAAGTGCTAGCGAAGGGGTCGTTTAATGGTGCATGGCTCTGCTCCACATGCTTCGATCTGACTGCCCCAGCGTGATATGGCCATCCCCAAAAAGAAAAAGGGTTTTGCGCACAAGATTCGTCTGTTGGTCGGGCAGCTTCAAACAATGTATCCCATGTCTCTTCTCGTGCGCCTCGAGTGGTCTCAACCAAAGATCTCGGCTCCGCTTCCTATCAGATCAGAACATGTCGTCAGCTTAGAGCAAGGGCCCTGTTTGGGCCGCTGCTGTGATGTCAAATGCCTCGGGGTCCCAACACAGAGGTGAGGCGTTGATAGGTGCGATCAGCCACACGACGCTCTCGCTGGACAGGGATGCCCGAGCAAGACATGCCTGTGACGTCACCGCCGCAAGCGCAACCTCCTTCCCCATTCTGCCTTCCACTTACACCTTAAAACGACAATCTACGAATATAAGAAGGGACAAGCCACCTCTGCCTACCTCTAGTATTCGAAAACTAAACTTACTTTGTATCAATAAAACTAGAAAAACTTGTATGTTTGACAAGAACAAATCATCCACAAAAGATATCCCCATCCTCAACAAGCTCACTTCCTCTCACCACAACAAAACCACCAAAACCTTCAAAATGCCCATCGGAAACAACGATCAGGATAACGGTGTTACTGGCGCCGCCAAGTTCGTCACATCGACGCTCGGAAACACCGTCGGCGGACTGACACGTACCGTCGGCAATGTCACTGGCGCCGCGACCAAAGGCGTTGGTGACACGATCACCAGCGCCGGAGGTTCTGCTGGCCGTCCTGTAGGTGACGGAATCAGCAACGTCGGCGGTGGCCTGCAGAACGCTCTCAACTCTGTTGGAAAGGGTGCGGAGGATGCTGGACAGTGGAAGAGGTCTTGATTCACGTGCCGCAAGTGGTTTGGTTCTCGGAATGATATAATGTACTACTTTAATGAAAGGCGCTTGGGGTAAGGGTCAACGGGACGGCTCTGGGATTGTATTGTTGAGAACGTTCATACGCCAAATTGAAGCAATGTCCTTTGTGTCATTAACCTTCGCCTCGCCTCATCGTGATCTTTTTTATCTGCCTTAAGCATACCAGTGATTGATTGTGACGTTATTAAAGCGCATCAGAATCTGTCACGTATAATAGCTTCGACATCGTAGTTCACTAAGAATCCAGATATTCGTCTATTCATATGGCCTCTGCGCCTCTATTCCAACTTCGTTGATGATAGTACATATGTACAATAGTATACAGTATAAGTAAGTTGGACAGGTAGGTTTTGCATCATTAGATTGAGAGGGGTTAAGGTGTTATCATGGTTTACTCCTTCTTGCGGAACTGCAGGTTATATGTCTGTAACTGCTCCTTCGTCATCTTACCGGGCCCCCCGGCAAACTCGTCGACACCGTTGTTGTTCTTGGGGAACGCAATCACATCCCGGACAGAAGAGGATCCGCTCAGTACGGCCACAAACCGATCAAAGCCGATAGCGAAGCCCGCATGCGGTGGGCATCCTGCACGAAGAGCTTTCAGGAGGTGCGAGAATTCCTTGATTTTGTCCTGGCTCATCTTGAGGATATCACGGAAGATGAACTCCTGAATTTCAGCAATGTGAATACGACGGCTTCCACCGCCGAGCTCCACACCGTTGAGAACGAGGTCGTAGTGGTCAGCCTTGGCTCTCAAGGGATCCTTGAAGAGCAGCTCAAAGTCCTCCTCGGAGTGAGGGGCGGTAAAGGGGTGATGGGTAGCAGAAAAGCCCGATGCGCCGCCCTGGCCCACGTCACCCTCCTCCTCGGGGGTGAACATGGGGAAATCTGTGACCCAAAGGAACTTGAAAGAGTCGCTTCTGTCGATAAGGCCAGCTTCCACAGCAGCATGGTACAAGGCGATTCTGGTCTCGCCCAGCTTCGTGGAGCCTCCTTGTTGTGGCTGGTCCTTGCGTGCCTGGAAAAGTACGATATCGCCGTTCTCCAGAGATGAGAAGCCCGAATCTTCAGGCAGGAAGGGAAGGATGCTGTCCAAGCCCTCGGGACCCAACGCAGAGAAGCCGTTAAGGGGTTTGCTGCTGTCGAACATCAAGGCCGTGGGGGCGCCATCGGGGTTTTCGGATAAGCTCTTGGGCAGGTTCTCCATAAACTCGGTCACAAACTTCCAAACATCTCGTCTGTCAGCGTCCTCATGTGGACTAATCTTCCATGTTTCAACGATGGGCGACTCAAGGTCGGTGATCATGCTGACAAAACCCTTGTTCAGACTCTCATCAACTCGGCAGATCTGTTTCAGGTTAGCGAATGAAATTGCCTTGTCTGAGATAGCAACTGACCCTGTTGGGTATACGCAGGTCTGGCTTGTCAGAACCATACAAATCCATACAGTCGGTGTACTTCATTCTCAAGAATGGGGTGGTGATGGCGGGGTATTCTTGGTAGAATGGCGCCTTTGCATTGTCATTTGCGCTGTCTTGAATACTCTGCTTCCAATCCTGCTTTTGTTAGGCTCAATCTCCATATTTTGTGACTTGATTCCTTACCTGGAGCGATGCTTTCCTGACTGGCGCAAATGAATCTTCCCCAACCTCCATGACGTACTGCTCTCGCATGGTTTCCCACGCCTTCCCAACGACGTACTCAACGTCCTCCATAATATTCTTGCCCGTCGCAAATGACTTTTCCATATCCAGCTGCCCAAAAGTCAACAGTATGATCTAGTAACATAGAGGTGTAACACATACCTGAGTAAACTCGGGCTGGCGATCAGCACGATGGTCTTCGTCACGGAAGCACCGCGCAAATTGGTAGTAACCCGCCATACCAGAAGCCATCAGAACCTGCTTGTATTGCTGAGGGCTCTGTGGCAGGGCATAGGCGTACTTTGGACGGCGAGTAGGCACAATGAACTCCCTTGCACCCTCGGATGTTGACTTGAACAGGATCGGCGTTTCTACGTCCATGAAATCCCGTTCTACCATTGCATGGCCCAGAGATGACTTCAGTTGAGCACGAAAGCGCAGTCTTTCCCTCAACTTCTCATGGAAACGCAACTGCAAGTGGCGCTGCTCTGGCGGGAAGACCGTATCTGGGCCAATGATGATGTCTTTGGGGAAAGGGTTGAGGTATTGTATCGACTCCATATCAATCTCGAACCGCGTGGCGCTGGAGGCTTCCGTAACAACACCTGAGGCGAGCACCGCACTGAAAGGCCGAATTTTGCTGAGAATAGCAGCATTTTCGCCCTTTGCACAGATTTGTCCTATCCGTTCTCCGTTTCGTTCTACGTGGGCGAAGGCAAGATTCTTGCCGACCTTCCTAGCTCGACCGATGTGTCCGCTAACGACAATCTGGCTTCCTTGTGTACTCCAAGTCTCGGGGGGCGACAACTGAGGAAATGCGACTGCATAACAATAGGTTAGCCAGATACTTTTGAAGTCAATCGTCATTCTGGGCGTACCCACAGCACTCCTTGAACTCCTCAGACAACTGTGCATGTGTTGACTCGTCTTGAGCACCCTTTGTTTGGGTTGTTGACAAGTAGCGAACCTGGCGACTCGACGAGAGTTGAGATCCGCATCTTTGCTTCTGAAGTAGAGCTAGGCTTTGTCCCACCCTTTGCGACTGTGGTATCCGAGGACGTAGAGCAGCTAGAGCTCTACTGCGGCAACATTGGCGGAGCATTTGAAGGGATTGTAACAAGGTTGACTGGAATAAATCGGATCGCAAGAGGTGTAATAGGACTCATGAGCGTATTGCGACTAGGAATACACTGGTGGGAACCCTCAATGGCGCATCGTGATCGTCGCAATTGAAGGAGAATCAAGTTTAATTATGTGACATATGAAGCTATCGCAGCTCAGCCCACTGTAACGAGACGCGGCACTCGATTTGGCAGCGACCTGCACGCCAGAGTGGGCTGTTTTGCTGCAGGGCACGTCAAGCTTGCACCTCAGGCAGGAGGGTCGTCCCCACCAAAAAAAGTGATTAGCGCGGGGCAGATCCTCCGTATAAAACCTTGCAGCAAGCTCCTAAAAAATTTCTCTCTTTTTCTCTTCATGATTCTTCCATTTCAAAAAAGTGTATGTTTGGTCCAAACCCCCCGGCGTCACGCCAATAGCATCAAAGAAAGATTTACTAACAAACCGATTTGCAGGTGATGATAGCCACGTGGATAATATGATGTTGCACCCTCTGTCTGAGGCATCCAAGCTCTCCCCTTCGGGCGGCTTCAGGGCGAAGGTGTCGAGGGCAGAGGGAGCCATGACATAGGCGTTCGACACGACCTTGTTACTCTATCGGACGCGATGAAAGGCAACTCTGATTTTTCAAGAAATGGAAGAATTCTTTAGGCGTTCCGGGAGCCAGGCGCTGCGTCAGCCGGACAGACCTGTTAGCGACAAGTGAAGCTTGGGGATCTGTCGGTGACACGATGGCACAGCCATGGCAAGGCGAGTTTTTACTTTTTTCTTGCCGTGGTGCGTCAGCCGTATATGGTCGATTCACTCCCTAGTCCAACATATCGGATGCCCCTTCCTGCAAACTCCCTTATCCTCGCCGGGGATTCAGGGTTGTGATGTGTGTAGGAGGCACGGATGACGGCATGATGAAGACTGGGGAAACGAATTGCTTGGATACGAGTCGCGGAATCTGTGTACAATAGCGTAGTTTAACCTCGTCGGTGCATACACATTGACAGGGATGGCGGCCTGTGCGGCTGTCCACGAATATCCCAGACTTGTTTGAATCAAAAGGACCGATGATTGGAAGAAGAACAAAGGCCCGGGAACAAAAGAAATGTGAGCTATGAGATGTACATATGACGAGCAAATGCCAGCGAACCCCATGTTTCCAGATTGTGTTTCAACTGTCACGGTGCCGTCTGGAGATGGTGTTCGTATCGCGTTTGCCGAGCATGAAGGGCTTCGTAGAGTCCTGGTTCTACCAGGGACATTTCACTGATTTATTGAGGCAATGTCTTATTAGACTGCTGATCGACGGCATGGCATAAACTGCTAGATTCGTTTCGTCGACGTCTTCAAGACCCCCACGGTGAAGTGTTTACCCTGTGAAGGTCAGAGACACAGCAGCAAGGAGTAGCGCGTCTTCTCCACACACACTCTCTTTCTCTCATGCTGCACCCCAGCATATTTAACCTGCCAGTGTTCATCCGTGTCAGTGGATGGACCCCCTCGACGGAGCATCGGGGTCGCCTGCGGTCCACCTCTGCACACAGGTGGCGCTAAAGATTACATAGTATAGAATCTCTTCAACGGTGCGCAAGGACCACCACGCTGGAATGCCACTGTGACGGTGCCGATTTCCAGCATCACAAACACTGCTACCGGTCCAACCGAGTACGTACCTCTCAGCCTGCAAGTGCACGTTTACCGCCAACGCAGCTAAGGTACTGAGGGGATGCCCAGAATAGAAGACCACCGTAAAAGCGAAGTCTTACACTATTGTAGGTGCACTTTCAGCAGCCAGCACCTCCACCACAACAGCCGCCTTACGTAGCAGCCCGACTAACCGACCATCGTCCTCCTCCCAATTCAAGACCGTAGCCCGTCCCTCCTCCACCCAATTCCACCACTTCCCGTCCAACGTGGCTAACGTCGATACCGACGCTGTCCGTCTTCATTTCCCAGCGACCCCAACGCACCTCGCCCATCAGGCGCACACATTACGATAACGATATCTCAAATTTGTATCCTTAATCAGTACTCTCTGCGTTCGTTTCGACACCCTGTCATGGCCGTTGGTCGAACACCGGAACCCGAACAAATCATCCTGCATTGAAGCTTGCCGGAGCCCAATTTCGCCGAGTTGAGGGTTTCCCTGGGCTGCAACCTCCGTCGCACCCCGTCACCGATACTTTCCCTCCTGTCGCCAACGACCACGTTTGCACCTCTTGTAAGCGAAGGCTTTGCGAGCGTCATTCTTGAAAGAACGAACTTCGACCACTAGAGACCCCGTGCCGAGGCCCGTGACGACCGGTCCCTTTTTCGACGTATTCTCATTTCCGCGACTTTCGTCCGATCACCAACCTCAACTGAGCTCTCCGCTGTCGCCAAGCTTGCCGATTGTCACGACTGCCTGACTGCGGCAGACCACTTCGATTCAACCTCAAAATGTCGAGCTCCTTTGAGAAATCCGTCAAGGGGGCCACCAAGATCAAGGTTGGTGAAGGGCAGCTCCGGTCTTTCCATGCCGATACCTCGGCATATTTGTTCCAGATCATGATGACGCTGACTTTGTCCGCATAGGCCGCGCCGCCCAAGACCAAATACATTGAGCACATTCTCGTGGCGACGCACGCGGGTGAAGCTGGCGTTGGAGAGGTTTTTCGCGCCTTGCAGTTCCGTCTGAGAGACTCGACATGGACTGTTGTTTTCAAGAGCTTAATTACCGTCCACTTGATGATCCGCGAAGGTTCACCCGATGTTACACTTGCGTTTCTATCGAGGCATCCAAACACGCTAGCTATCAGCAGCTTCACCGATGGTTAGTTTGTCTCCGAGACTGATCAAGGTTCGTTTAGGGGTGCTGACGTTGTCTTACAGCCCAAACCCAGGGTCGGAACATCCGGCATTACGCCAACTACCTCACATCTAGAGCCAAGGCCTATCGTGAAACGAAATGCGACTGGGTTCGAACGAAGGAATCTAGACTGGAGAAGCTGACGGTAGAGAAGGGCCTTCTGAGGGAGACTGAGATTCTTCAGACCCAAATTTCAGCCTTGCTGAAATGCGATGTGCGTCTTGACTTGGTTGCGATAGTTTTGGTTGGGTACTGACGCTTGGCAGGTTCTTGAGGGCGAGATCGAAAACGAAATTACGGTGACCGTCTTTAGATTGTTGGTTCTCGACTTACTAGCTCTGTTCCAAGCTCTAAACCAGGGGATGATCAACATCCTGGGTAAGCTTCACGGTCGCGCATCCTGTCACGATTACTGACTCGATTAGGCAATTTTTTCGAAATGTCCAAGGTCGACGCCGAGCGAGCCATGTCAATTTATCGCAATTTCACAAAGCAAACTGATTTTGTGGTGCAATTCCTGAGCGTCGCACGACAGTTTGAGCATCAGACTCGAGTTGAGGTCCCCAAATTGAAGCACGCGCCAGTTAACTTGGGCCGACAACTTGAGGAATACCTCCACGACCCCGATTTTGAAGTCAACAGAAGGCAATATATTGCGGAGCAGCAGGCGAAGAAGAATGGAGGAGGATCTTCAAAAGTATCAGCCAGCGCTTTCGACTCAAAGCCGACTCCAGCGGCGAACAACCCCTTCCCAAGCACCAACGGCTTGTCGCAAGCAAAGCCCGAGCCTGCCAAGGGCCCTGCTCCGGATTTGATCGATTTCTTCGAGTCTATCGAACAGAACCAAACAACAATGGCACCCAATCAGCAGCAGCATCAGCAGCAACAGCAGATGCCCATGCAGACCGGCTTCGTATCAAACAGCCCGTTCCAGCCGCAACCTACAGGGTTCCAACAAAACGGCTTCGAAGCACAACAGACCGGATTCGCTGCTCAGCCCACTGGATTCGGAACGAACCCCTACCAGCAGCAGCAGCCGCAGCCTCAGCAACATAGCACCAATCCATTTGGTCAGGTACAGCAGCAGCCGCAACAGCAGCAACAACAAGCACCACAGATGCTCCAGCCCAACTTTACTGGGGCTGGCTTTGGCGGGTTCACCCCGCAACCAAGCTTTCAGCCCGGCGCATTGGGCTCAATACCACAGGACTCGGTGGCGAGCTTTCCAACGGGCAACACGGCAGGCATGCTCAGTCCCCAGGCTGGACAGCAAACAACCAATCCTTTCCGGGCTTCAATGCTGATGGCTCAGCAAACCGGCATGTCTACTAATACCGCCTTTACTCCTGCCAGCCCTCAACCGAACCTGCAGAGGCAGTCAACAAACCCCTTCGCAAGATCGTCGCCTCAGGCGCAGCAACCCTTCCCATCGGCACCGAGCAACTCTCCATTCCAATCTCAACAAGCCCAGCAACTTCCGACCATTGCTCCGCTGCAACCGATGATGACAGGAACCAACCCTTTTGCGAAAAATCTGAATGGCTCTCAATTACAGCAACAGAGACCTGCTACTAGCTCTGGTGCCCTTGCCCCGCAACCAACTGGAACCACCAACCCTTTCCGCCAAGGCGCCTTCGTGAACCACCAAACGGGCATGGGCTGGCAGCATAATCAGCAATCCATGGGTGGTGGCTTGGATAATCTTGAGACGATGCCTGTCTTCCCCCGTCCTATCCAGCAAACACCATGGCAGACATAATAAAGCTGCTCGCTCCCGATTAAATTTGTCCGTAGTTTTGGCTGCACCAAGGCACTTCCTTTCTCTAGTTTTCCATCTCAAGCGAGGCGTTATTAAGGTTTTTGCTTGTACAATTCGAACGATGTGTAGACGGCAAGGGTCTTGCCAGTTAAAAAGAAAAAAGAGAGCTCAGCGGTTGATGAGGCCGAAGGTGGAAGCCGACAGTCTTCGAAGCAAGAGTCGAAAAATGTATTATTTAGTAAGCAGACTTAGAAGTAATTCTTGCATAAGGTATGGGAGTGATTTCCCAAAAGAAACTTGATTTCCGCCCCGAGATTGCCGTGTACCCATTGAGATCAAACTCCTTTTTTAGCGTTGCACTCTAGTCCTATCTGTCCTGAATCGACCCCAAACGCCGTCGCTATGCATCATCCCTCACAACCCAAAAGCTCAGGTAAAGTAGCAGTACTAAAAGACGTCGTCCACATCCATCTTCTGAGCTGTTTGCCCTGTGGCTGCAGCTTCCACCGCTTCAGCAGTAGCAACCTTTTCCGGCCCCTTTTCGTCGTCAATAAACACAGCCAATCCTGAAAACGCCTCGAACATGGCCCGGCCGAGGTACTCTTCCGCACTGTATCCTCCGACCACGATCTCGTCCTTCTTGCGTGCCTCGTCGACCCAGTGATTGCGGTACTCTTCCAAAGGGCCCAGCTTGTATCTCTCCATGTCGAGCTTGAGACCGCCAAACGGGTCGTACGGCTTGTTTTCTTCGATGACGCGCTTCTTCTCCTTCTTCAATCCGCGGATGGAGAGACCAGGCGTGGTAGCATCGTTCAGGGAACCCATGGCGGCAGACATGCGGCCCTGTCCGCGCTTCTTGAGTAGAATGCGATTAAGCGTCTGCTTGGCCTCGCCAACATCTCCGCTAGCCAGTCCGTCGAGCATTTCCTCACGCATACGTTGCTCCTTCTTCTTCTCAGCCTTGTCTTCCTCCATGGCCTCCATCCTGCGGCGGCGCGCCTCTTCCTTCTCTGCTTCGAAGCGAGAGAGACGCTCTGTTTCGGATTCTTTGGCGAGCCGTTTGTTGCGCTCGATCTCGGCGCGGTGGGCCTGCTCCCACTCAATCAGCTTCGCCTCCGCTGTCTTCTTCTCGACATCGCTTCCTGAGATGAGGTCAAACGTCAAGGTTTCGACCCATTCCAGATACTCGTTGTAATCCGACAGTGTCTCAAAGTCGTCTTCAACCTTGTTCAGGACTGCGGCGACACGGCGCCGGATGTCGACTTCACGTTCGATAGTCAAATCGCCAAAGTAGGCAGACTTAAATCCCTTTTTACGGAGTGTCTTGTGGCAGCCTGCGTAGGGGCACTGGTTGGGGCCGTCTGAGAAGATGCGGGCGACGCAGTTGGCGCACATTGGGTGGTAGCACTCTGGATTAATGAGGAACTCGAGGTCTTTGTTTAGATAGCGCATAGTTTTGCATACTGGGCAGATGTCGTCGTTCGGCGTCGGTGCAGGAGCCCCGTTGGTTGAGGGACGACGGGCGGCCATTTTGGGCGATGCCGAAGACGTGTAAGGAGGATTGATGGCTTGATAACGTGAGAAAAGGTTAAAGGCGAGATTTGACTGCTCGATCGATATCTCGAGTGAGACGTGAAGGAGCTTTCGTGAAGTTGGCCGGCTACGGAGGCATTGATTTCGAAAATGTGCACGCGCGCCCAGTGACGGCAGGTATTGGTTTCTGGAGATATTAAAGGTCCTGCCTGAAAGAAGTTCACGATTGCTCTTGACCCAGGGCAGGTTGAGGCGAGGCTGACGGAAGGATTTATTAAGCGAGACTGATTGGCCAGAGCTTCCAAGTCAGATGCACGGTCGAGACAGGGGTCTCACAGCTACCCCTCCAAGAATTCCATCAGCCTTCTGCGCCCACCTTCCACTGTCTTCGAAACATCACAAAGCAGTTGAAAACCGCAACCATGGCCGACAAAGGTAAGCCACTGCTTCTTCTTCTAACCGTCGTCATTCGAAATTAGGTATCCGGAACTTTGCATTGACATATGCGCAAACAGAACCTACCCCCGCCGAAGAGGCCGCTGCCCGCGCCAAGGAGGCCGAGGAGCAGAATGCCCTGCCCTACAAGTGGCAGCAGACCATCGCCGATGTCGATATCACCTTCAGCGTTCCGGGTAACTACAAGAGCAGGGACCTGGCCATTGATCTCAAGAAGAACAAGATCACTGCGGGTGTGAAGGGGCAGGAGCCCATCATCAGCGTATGTCATTGACTACCTACCCCGCCAGGATGTCATCTCATCTACTTTGACGAACTGGGGGGCAAGTGTTGTGTTTGGAACGGGACAAAGTGCTGACAAATGTCAGGGCGACCTCGCACACGCCATCATCGTCGACGACTCGACCTGGACCCTGGCATCCGCCTCCGACGGCACCAAGACGGTCGAGATCCACCTGGACAAGGTCAACAAGATGGAGTGGTGGCCGCACGTCGTCACCTCGGCGCCCAAGATTGACGTTTCCAAGATCCAGCCCGACACAAGCAAGCTTTCCGACCTCGACGGCGAGACGCGCGGTATGGTTGAGAAGATGATGTGGGACCAGCGCCAGAAGGAGATGGGCATGCCCACGTCGGACGAGCAGAAGAAGCTGGACATTCTCAAGAAGTTCCAGGCTGAGCACCCTGAGATGGACTTCAGCAACGCCAAGATCAGCTAGTTGTCACGTTGTCTGTGACAAATCAAAATGAGCCGAGGGAGGAAAAGTACATGAGTTTCACGAGGAACGTCATTCGTAGGAGTTGGTGAATCAAATGTATTCAATACAAAAAAAATTCTAATTATTAAGAGAAAATGTCAAGGGTGAAACGAATAGCCGAAACCATGGAGCTGGAAGAACCAGTGGTAATGGCTTCAGAGAGCCCATGTGTGAGATTGCTCTTGGAGCCGCTAGTAATGGTGAAGCAGATGGAATGCTGCAACCCATCAATTGTCAGATTAATAAGCGGTCCGTAGCCAACCACGTCCACAATCGATACTGGCTGGGGAGGGGAACAAATGGGAAGAGGGTAGCTTGGGTCTGGTAGGAAAACCAATCACTACGATGTACGACTGACTGCAAAGATTAGTGGGCAATAGCAAGACAAGAGAGCAAGACACGCGTCAGGATTCATGCACTACAGAATCGCTGACCAGACCCGACATAGGGTCTATCAATCCAATTTCTATCCGCTCTATCCACCCTCGCATGTCCTCAAGGATGGCGCTGGAGAAGCAAATCAGATAAGACGACATGTAACTTGCGTCATCAAACATTCAATCACTTGACATTGAACCTGTTATTTTGGTTAGCGACAATTCCAGACGCAAATGTGCTAACAAATCGGAAAAAAAGAGTAGTGAGATCAGAAATTAGAACCATATCCACACAGATAGTTCGGATAGGGATAACTGTAACTTAAAAAAGTGTCTAAGTCATCATTTCGAGGGGTTGTAATGAAAATAAGAGTGTCCTTACCTTATCGGAATGGTATATCTGAACGGCATCATCGTATTCATTTCATTTCGTTAGACTACTATGGGATTTGAGTCAGCCAAAGGTCCCGTACACGGATATACCAGGGATTGAGCAATGAGACGATTCAAAATCAGAAATTAGAACCATATCCACACAGATAGTTCGGATAGGGATAACTGTAACTTAAAAAAGTGTCTAAGTCATCATTTTTGGGAGTGGTAGTTTGAAGCAAAGAAAATTTCCAACATACCTATTGACTTGAGATCCGGCCATTTACTGCTTGGAAAGACGAGCAGCCTTGAACTTGCTGATGCGCTCGCCACCATCGGCTTCGTCAAGGGGCCGGATCACAGACGTGTCTTCCTGCAGGAAGCCACCTTGCTTCTGGATGAAGTTACGGCGCTTGCGGTGATATTCATCCGCAACATCTTGATCGATGAACTCATCGCCAAAAGGATCGGCCTCGACCGGCTTGGTTTCCTTCTCGACAACCAAGTCGGCAAGCGTCTGACCTTCGGGACCAGTGGGCGCCGTTGGTCTGTCCTGGTCAAGGAATCGCACCGGGACATCCATCGGGCCCTTAGGGACGGCATCATCGTCAACGACAGTCGGTACAGCTCTCTGTTTCTTAAAACGAGAAGCTTTGCGATTCGTCTTGGTTTCAATCTGCTTAGCCGATCCACTGCGCTCGACAATATCGCTGAGAGGCTCAACGACAGGTTCAGCAGGAGGCTGAGGTGCAGTGGCTGGCGCCGGACTTGCGGCCGTGGACGTCTCGGGCGCGATATCGAGACTCTGAGCGAAGCGAACACTCTTTTTGCCATCGGACTCTGTTGGGGGCGAGGTCCTCAGGCTGGATGCAACTGGGGAGGGCGATGGCTTAGATGCAGAGGCCGCCTTCGCATCTTCTCCACGCTTGATGACGATGCGGCCAATGCCCTGCTTGTCATCGTCCTCGTCTGAGCCCTCGGCCTTTGCTTGAGCCTCGGCCTCCTCAGTAAAGCGAGACTTGACACCCAGACGTTTCTCGAGCTCGACCATACGTTGATGATAACCGTCGTCGAGGACACTGGTTGTGGACCGTCCATACTTGTCCTCTTCCTCGTCCTCGTCCAAGTCAGAGTACTCATACTCCCAGTCATCGTCATCATCACCCGAGCCCTCCTCGAGTGTCAGCTCAGCCACAACTGCTCCGACCTCTTCCATGCCATACTTGAGCATCTCTCGGCGGAGAAGAGCATCCTCTTCAGACTCATCTTCGGGAAGAACCGGTGCTTGCCGACTGATCTCTTCTTGCTCTCTGGCTGTCTTCATGATCTCTTCGACGCGCTGAGCGTTTCTAGAAATCTGAGGCTGCGAGGGAGCCTTGGTGTCTTCTGCAAACGAGACGGTCTTTTTCACCGCGACCGTGTCGTCAACCTTCTCCTGAGGCTGAACCCTTTCAACGACAGAGGCATGCTCTTCCGTTGAAGGGGTAGTCACCGGCACATCGGCGGGCTCGTCAGTGACATCCTCAACGATGGCCTCTGTCGTTGTTGATCCTTGAGGCTTGGCTTCGGGAATGTCCTTTACACCAGCCTTCTCCAAGATCTCTCGAATCTGACCACTCGAGTCGCCAGGTCGCTGGAGACGAGTAGAGATGATGTTGCCTTCTTCATCAAGCTCCTCGATGATCTCGGTTATAGGTAGACCATCCTCGTCGCGCACGTCCGGGTTGCTGACGATGCTGGCGGCTGCATGCTTCTTCTCTGCAGACTCAAGTTGTTTCTCGAGGGTCTCGATGTTCTTCGAGACATAGTCGATGCGACGCGTCAGAAGGTTGACAATCTGGTCGGCAGGCTTGAGATCAATGCGACCAAAGAGGTCGTTGATCTCCTTTTTGTCGACGACCTCGCCCTCGAAATCCCTGCGGATGCGCGCGAGATCTGGCTGGCTGGCAGGCTGAGGGACGGATTCGATCTCCTCTTTCAAGGACTCATACTCCGCATCCCATTGTCGCCAGTGCTGCAGTGCCTTCTGTAGCTTGGCGATATTGTCCTCGAGCTGCAGACGATGCTTTTCGAGGTCAAGGAAGCTGTCTCTGACTGCTGCCATGGCTGCAAAATAGGTGGGAGAGTTGCAATGTCGGAAGGCGAGGAGGGTGAAGAAAAAAAAAGTTCCAGGCGGATCAGTAGTCTTCGGAGCTTTGGCGAAATTAGGTAATTCATCGAAAGGAATTGTCCATTACGTAAGGCCAAAGCCAGGTTACAAGTGGGGAAACTCTCGACGATGCCCCATAATAAAGCTGGAAAGGTTCAAAGTGGATTTGCTTTGATGATATCTTTTCAGTCACCAACACAGGAGAGAATCCAATTTCTTCAGTTTACTTATGGATTTCTCTTTGGGTAATCACAAGGCCACTTATAGTCCATCTATGATCTTAATACCAAACTGACCGAAGCGACCTGCCAGAAATTGCAAGTACAACACTGAAATCTAGTCTGCCTTGGTTGGTTAGCACACCAATGCCAGGAAAACTCCTGCTGGGCAGCTGAAGTACAGTAAAGTTCGGCAATGGAGGCGCCTTGCTTGACTACTCTTTCGTATGTATAACACCAGTTGTTGCTTGGTGATTGTGTAGTTGAGCAACACTCTCAATGCCTTGGACGAAAACGTCTTGCATCCAGCTTTAAGAGAACGGAACAATACGGATGTTTACAGCCTGGTAGAAACATTCTACGCCGGGTCCTTTGTTCACTATGCATCATATTTCGAAATTCCCTAACTAGGCCGCCCTCTTCGAAGGAATCCAATTCAAACACCAAGCCCGCATTCGAATTGAGTATTAATACATTAGTTGATGATAATTCTCAGTCACTACACACCTTACTTGAGCTTTAACTGCCGCAAGATGTCCGCAGCAGACTTGAAGAAGCCAAAATCCAGCTGTCGGGCATACTTTACCCCCAAAAAACAGACCGTGCTACCCACAGCAGCCATGGACAATGATGCAGCCCAGAGATCCCAGTTCTTCGCCTTCCATAATGGCATCCTCATATCAGCCGTCTGCAAGTGCATCGGCCGGAGCTCTTTGCCGTCTTTGAAGCGCAACTCATGATCGTGGATGACTTCTTCGACCAAATCTGCGGCAAGATACTTGCGGCGCGAGGCAACGTGCGCTATCCTCTTCATGCGTTCGACGTTCCTACCAACTGAGTTGTCGGGATCAGTCACGATCCGAGCGATTTTGGTGGCAATCTCATCGGGTCTGAAGTCGAACTTGTCCATGGCTAGGCCGACCCCGGCCTCAACAAGGCGTGAGCTGTTGGAGAGCTGGTCGAAGAAAAAGCCCATGACGAGTACGGGGGTTCCATGAAAGAGGGTCTCGTTGGCACTGGAACCGCCTCCGTGGGTAAGGTACACTCTGGTGTGTACATGTTCGAGGATGGCCCGCTGAGGAGCAAAGGTTGGGGCAAGGAAGTCGGCGTGTTTCTCATCGAAGATGTCGCCGACGGTCAGAGTGCTGCCATCCGCCCGGTTGAAAGATGCCGTGCGGTCGGAATCCCTTCTCCCCGCCGACCCTATGGACCAGATCACACCATTAATGTGTCCTTCGTCCAAGGCCAAGATGAGACCTCGAATTAGCTTGCCCAAGTCTTCGTTTGGGAGAACGACGTGAGTCCCTAGGGCGATGTAGATTGTCTTGTCGTGGAATTCGAGAAACGTCTTGAACTTATCCTCGAGCTGGGGGTATTCATCACTGAGGATCGGCCCCACGGCAGCCATTAGAGGTGGCAGGTCCTTGGGAGGCTCCAGTCCAAAAAACGAGTTGACAAAGACGAGATGGCCCGGCTTTGTAGCAAGCGGGAGCGGATGTTTCACGCCGTGCTGCTTCCGCATCTTCTTCGTCCACCATAGCCATGCCGTGATGTGCGGCAAGGCCCAAAACATCACCATCTCATTCCTGATGCGAGACCACATCGAAGCATTCTCCGATGTTGGTGTAAAGTCGACCTGAAAGCCAGACTGGCCAGGAATGTAACTCACGGGTGCCAGAAGGTAAGGCATCTGCGGCCACATGACGGCAATAGGCACTCCGAACTCAATCATCATGTCCTTTGCCGCGGCGTCAACGAAGAAATCGGCGATAATCATATCCGGCTTCGTGGCCGGGTCCAGCACGAGCTCGCGCAAGTGGAAGTAGGTGTCGGGCCAATACGAGTCGAACAGGTACTTGGATTCCATTATGGAGCCGATGCCGTCACTGGGCCGCCATTTTGTCATGCGGGTGTAGTGCAGCCTGGCCTCGCCATCCGGAAGGGCGGGGCCGAAGCTGTGGACGCGCGAGACGGACGGGTATGTCGATGCCCATTGCTCCTGGCCGGAGTTAGTGCCGAAATGGACCTCATGTCCGCGGGCGGCGAGAACAGCGCCGAGCTCGAGAATCGGGGCTGCGTGGGTGAAGCCGCCGACTGTCGACACCAGGAGTATCCTCCGCCGGTGGAATGTAGTTGAGTCGGTCATGATAAACGACAGCTTAGATAGTTAGTTGCACTATTTAGAGCCGTTTCTGATCAAGTCCGAAATGTGACTATCGGAGGATTGGCCTCCCCCTTTTCTAGGACGGTTCGGCGGGTTTGGCATCTCGGCGGGTTTCCTGAGTGGTGGAGTGACATTCGATGATGCAGGCTCCCACGCTCAGTGACGCGCACTCGTAGCGGCGCCGGAATATTATCGTCCCAGCGACATAAGAGAGCATTTTACCTGTAGAAAATCAATCACTTATCAGAATCTTGAAGCCGTTTCAGTAGCTGTATATTCTTTGTACATTTGAGCCACGAGCGCCATATCAGTTGATGGCTCGACAGACTTCTGCCGTGTCCAAAAAGGGAAAGGAGCAAGGAATATCGTAAGATGGACAAATGTACGGACAATTCCCACTTTTGCGGGGCCAGTTGATCTTAGCAACGTTGCCGTGACCCGGAAGGTAAGGTGGATCAGCTTCCGGCAGCGGACACATGGATGCGAATCCTCCGTCGTCTGCTCCTATTGCAGCCTACCGTTCGCCTTGTAAGACTAATAGCGGAAGAGGCACAGCAGAATGAATTCCCGGGATCCTCCGCCTTATTACAAGATGGTGCGTTCGCCATAAACTTTACGGTTTTGGTATCAAACCCAACTGTTTTGCACGCCAACGTAACCACATCCATGGCCAAACCAGCAAAAACATCAGTTAAGGGAACCCGTCAGGCCTGCGATGCCTGCCATTTTAAGAAGATCCGCTGTCTACGAGCTTCAGCAGCAGGAGAGCGGCTTTGTCAGAGATGTGATCGTGAAGGAATTCCATGCGTCTTCAGTCCCGCGCTGAAGACCGGCAGGCCGAGAAAGGCGGCGGCGTCAGAGAAACGGTCAAGTTCAAAGTCGACATCACAACCATCATCCGATACATCGGCAAGCAACAGCCCCTCATTTTCCGGAATGCCTGATTCACATCAACACGCATCAAATTTCGAGAACTCTGCAATCCCCTGGGACGAAATCGATGCCGGCACGGTTTGCTTCCTGTCGATGGACTGCCCATTTCACCTCGACGAAGCATTTACGGACCTGAAAACCGCCGAAAGCCCCCAGCTAATGGTCTTGATGAGGCTCGAGCAGCTAACTGCCTTCCAACAACAACTCGTGGCTAAGAGGAGAGAACATGGCCCTGTCTTTTCAAAGCACCCACGCGTCGACGCCTCCCCCGCTGTCCAAGAACTGCTGCAAATCACCCGGAAAGTGGGCAAGTTCAGTACATGGCTGATGATGGGCGGCTCCAAGTTCGCCTCTCGAAGACCCATGCTGAGCTCCATGTCAGACGAGACGGCTTTGATGATGGTTGTGTCGCCTGCCACGCTCGTCCTGGATGTCTTTGGAGATATTCTTGAGCTAGCATTCCCATCGCTTAAGGACGGGTACACGGAACCTGAGATTGCCGCTTCTGATGGCGAAGAAAGCCTCTGCACGATCAATCCGGCGCTTCTGTCTGTCTCGGATAGAGTAGAGACTTGCCAGTCAATGTCGATGATTCTCCCGAACGTGGGAGCTGTCCATGACCTTGCGAACCCAGTTTGCATCTACATCCTCCTCACGGCGCTTCAAGAACAGCTGGATGATATGCGGAGAGCAGCCGATATGACTTTGAACGCGTTCCCTCGTATGAATTCAGCTACGGGAGCCCAAGGTTTGCTGCCTGTTATAATGGACCAGTACCTGGAGAAGATTCGTTTTGTTCAAGAATACATCAATCGAGCAAACGGTGACAACCTGATGACCGGAATCAATTGAAACAGTGCGCTGACTGTGCACTATTGAAATACTGCTTGTCGAAGACCGCCGTCCGACAACCTTGCTATGTACAGTACGCCGTGATACCAGCATGAACAATTCATAACTCCTCGAGTCAGACACACGACCACATATTCTCATTCTCTGAACTTGCAAGCCTAATCCTTAATAATTACTTATTGCATAATAAGAGAGCCAATGGACGCTCAACGACATTGTCGGTATTGACGCTATGACAACGTCTGAACACGACTTGTGCCCCTTGATGTCGGTATGCCTGCCTTGCGCGAAAACATAAAAGTCTCGAATATTCCTTCATTCCACACGATAACCATAGTGTCCTCGCAGCCAAACGCCTCGGGGTCCTACCACACGAGGAATCCTGTCTGGTCGTATTTGCTCTGGCACAGGCCGAGACAGACGTCCTCTATGCGACAGCCTTGAAGTACTTGATCAAACAGCACAGACCTGCGAGGGAGATACTTTGGTGCATGGTACATTGCTTTGCAGTATTCGTACAGTCGTTCGTATTCTGCGTGGGCGACGATCAAGACAAATTTTCGGCAATCATGATATTCGCCTCGTATCTGGCTAAACCGCTCGTCATCGAAGGGTGTATCAGGGTCGGGAGCATATTGAGGATCATTTATCCAGTGGCAGCGAAAGAAAAGCCTTTGTGAACCCACGATATCCTTGAATCTATCTGCCGCTGGCATCCCGGCGAATGTTTCTTCGCGAGGGACGGTGAGAAAGGCGATGTAGAGCGCGTCTGTGCTCTTGACTACTTCGTCGCCCATGGCCAATCCTCCACTCTGGATTTCATCTGCGCTTCTGAGCTTTCTCAACTTCCTGGCTTTATTTGCATTGGTGTTGTTGTCTGCGTTCATGTCTTCGTATAGGTTTATATGCTCTTCTGTGTTGTTGAATTCGTCTGTTCCCAAAACGCTTTCTTCGGCCATGGGCCAACCGGTGCCGTGCAGTCCTGCTGAGTTGCTGGGATCTTCTCTGTTGATGAACCCGTTGGTCATCAAGGCATTCTCTCCGCCCATGGTCCACCCTGCGTTCTGGAACCCATCAGGGTCGGTGACTTGACTTGAAGTATCAACTTGATCTGCATTGTTAAACTCGAATAGATTGACGGGTTCTTGTGCGTTGATGGTCTCGTCTGAAACAACGAAGTGGTCTGCATTGAGAAGCTCGTCAAAATTGATGCTTCTGTTTGCGTTGACTAGTTCTTCTTCGTTCATGATATCGTCTACCCTCATAAGGCTGTAACCTGGAGGTTTTCTGGTTGATTTGGGTATCTGAAGCGTAAAATTGATTTTTGTAATGTGTAGTCGCAGGACTATGCTTCCTCGGCCACAGTGGGAAGAAGTCAGTTTGTTACGGTCGAAATCACTTGTTTTAATCTTCGTTCTTACCGAGTGCTGGCAACCCATTTTGGGTATCTTTCTCGAGAAAGAGTGCCCAGGTGAACCCATACGACCTTGGTGAATGGTAGCATCTGTATGCTACCGTACCTGCCTTAAAATAGACGAATAGTCTTGCTGAAAGATACGAACAGATAGACTGGCTTCCATTCACCATGGCCGTGCCACTGCTGATCTTGTCATTGCCTTCCACATTAGGCCTCCGGATCTTCACTTCGCCTTCTTGAACCCCCATTTGGACAATTCTCTTTTGTAACAAAAATAAGACGAAAGTTCAACAACGCACCTATGTCAGTCTACACAGATATAACAAGGACTCGCCATAGTCACGTCTTAGTCAGACTCATAGTCTGAATAAAGGCATTTGTGAGTGGACAATGTCTCCATTCTCCTGACTTTATATCACCACTTTGGCAAGTGAAACATTTTGAGACAATTCATGTAGTCCGGATAAACAAAACCACTAATTCGCGCGCTTGGGCGCTTGTTTGGCGACTGGCAGACCTCATGGCACCTTCCCTAAAGCTGGGAGCTGTGCCACCTGCCATAAGCTCCGCAAGACTCCGCACGTAGCTGTACCCCAACAGCTGCTTTACCATTTCGTCATCGCCTGCATGCTTCTAGCCTCCCTCGCTTCAGCTTCTCGGGACAAAGCTCGCTTTAAATTGTGTTTCTCCAAAGCTGGAGTTCCAACCCCTGACCTCAAACTGTCATACCACCATCCATCCTCATCCGCCTCACTCGCCTCCGCGTTCGTCCGTGCGGGGAAACCTTAACTACATACGCAGTCGGCCATCCGCTCGCTGCCATAAAGACCATGTGTTTTTGCTCCTAAGACTGTAAACAATATCTCCTTCGCTGCTACTCTCTTTAGGTCTCTGACGGCTTCATTGCAAAATGGCGCCGAAAGACTGGGATGACTTGGTAGAAGGGACGACAGCCTTGACTGCACCCATGATCTGGTGGATTATAGCAATCATTGTCCTCTCGCTGTCTATTCGACTGCTTAATACACGACAAGCGAAACCAGCGTATGATGAGAAGGGGAATCCAAAGGAATGGAATTCGAAAGAGGAGAATCGCACAGTGTTGCTCCGCGGATCCTTTGTCATCACAGCAGTAGCCCTCTTGGGGTTCTGCGCGATTGCGGGCTTTGCGGATATAGGACATCGCTTCGGAGAAATTCTTTCTTCACATACGGCAACCGATGCAGCTAGTGCTACTGACACTGAATTCATGGTTGCTATGGACTCAGACGTCGGCGCGGATCTCATCCCCAACGTCAAAGACCCCGAGGCGAAAGACCCCCAAAGTGTCTGCCCCGGATACACTGCCTCCAAAGTTCAAGAAACTTCTTACGGATTCACTGCAGACCTTGATCTTGCAGGCAAGGCTTGCAATGTCTATGGCAACGAGGTAGATGCTCTGAAGCTTATTGTAGAGTATCAAGCAGCAGATCGATTGCACGTCGAGATTCTGCCACGACACATCGGAAAAGACAACTATACCTGGTTCATTCTCCCCGAGGAGCTGATACCCAAACCCTCTCATGATGGTAAAACGCACACCGGTGGTTCTGACAGCGATCTGGAGTTCACATGGGCGAACGCGCCGACCTTTGGCTTCAATGTGACGAGAAAAAGCACTGGTGATGTGTTATTTACGACGGTGGGAACGAAACTAGTTTTTGAAGACCAATTTTTTGAGTTTGCGTCGCCCCTCCCCAAGAATTACAATATCTATGGTCTGGGCGAGGTGATTCACGGCTTCCGGTTGAACAGGCATCTCACCAGTAAGTGACTTCACTACCAAGTAATTCAATGTGTCTCTGGCTCATTTCTTACAGGAACGATCTATGCTGCTGATATTGGCGACCCAATCGACGGCAACATTTACGGTTCTCACCCTGTTTATCTTGACACCCGATATTATCAAGTCAATCCCGAGTCTAATGAGGCTGTCTATGTTGCAGAGCCTACAGACAAGACGGCTAACTATAAGTCGTATACTCATGGTGTTTTCATGAGAAACGCCCACGGACAAGAGGTCTTGCTTCGCGAATCGAACATCACTTGGAGAGGTCTTGGCGGCACCATTGATCTTTATTTTTTCGCCGGTCCAACGGCAGACTCGGTCATTTCATCGTATCAAAAGAGTGCTGTTGGGCTTCCCGCTATGCAGCAATACTGGACTCTTGGCTTCCATCAATGCAGATGGGGTTACAAGAGCTGGGATAACCTGCAAGAGGTTGTGGACAACTTTGCCAAGTTCGAGATTCCGCTCGAGACGATCTGGGGTATGTTACTTTAGTTTCGAGATAAAGTGGCCGTGTGCTAACTCACGAATAGCCGACATCGATTACATGAACCAGTATAGAGACTTTGAAAATGACCAAAACAGTTGGAGCTACGAGGACGGCGAGAGGTTCATTAACAAAATTCATCAGAACGGCCAACACTTCGTCCCAATCGTCGATTCCGCAATCTACTCACCCGACCCTAAGAAGGACGACGATGCTTATCCAACTTACGACCGCGGACTTGCTGCAGATGCCTACGTGCTTAATTCAGATGGCTCTCTCTACGTTGGAGCGGTATGGCCCGGCTACACTGTCTTCCCTGACTGGGTCGGAGCGGTCCTGAGCAAGAGCAAGACGTTCGACTGGTGGAAAACGGAGCTAGTGACTTGGTACAAGAAAGTCGCCTATGATGGCATCTGGATTGATATGTCCGAAGTTGCATCTTTCTGCGTTGGCAGTTGTGGAAGTAAGAGCCGTGCACAGAACGTTGCCCGTTCCCAATTGCCAGGTGAACCTGGCAACGAAGATTTTTCATACCCTGAAGGTTTTGAGAAGACGAATGCTACCGAGGCTGCAGCCATCTCCGCACTATCTCTGTCAGCGGAAGCTGCGAAATATACAGCCGTCAGGGATACAGAGCCTTCCACGACGACTTCATATCTCCGAACCACGCCAACTCCAGGTGTCCGAAATGTTAATCACCCACCGTATGTAATAGACCACATCCACGGTGACCTCGCCGTGCACGCCGTCTCCCCGAATGCGACGCATCACGGTGGCTCGCAGGAGTACGATTTCCACAATCTCTTTGGCCACCAGATTCTCAATGCGACGTACCATGCCCTGCTTTCCGTGTTCCCAGAAAAGCGCCCCTTCATCATAGGTCGCTCAACCTTTGCCGGCTCCGGAAAATGGGCCGGGCACTGGGGAGGTGACAACTACTCGCTGTGGGCGTACATGTTCTTCTCGATTCCCCAGGCGCTAAGCTTCAGCATCTTTGGCTTCCCCATGTTCGGTGTCGACACTTGTGGATTCGCGGGGAACGCGGACATGGAACTTTGCGCACGCTGGATGCAGCTGAGTGCTTTCTTCCCTTTCTACAGAAACCACAACGCGATTGCAGGAATCCCGCAAGAGCCGTACCGCTGGAGTGCAGTTGCGGATGCCTCAAAGAAAGCGATTGCGATCCGATATGCGCTTCTGCCATACATGTACACTGCTCTCTATCGGGCACACACCTTGGGGGACACTGCCATGAAGGCTCTAATATGGGAGTTTGCCGACGAGCCGTGGCTGGCGGATGCGGATAGACAGTTTCTCCTCGGCCCCGCTGTCATGGTTACGCCTTGCCTCGTCCAGGGGGCGACTACTGTCGATGGAGTTTTCCCTGGGGTTGGGAAAGGCACTGTATGGTATGATTGGTACAATCAATCTGCCATTACCGGTGTTACATCAGGGCAGAACGTAACTATTGAAGCTCCGCTGGGGCACATTCCCGTCTATCTCCGCGGCGGATACGTCATCCCAACGCAGGAAGCGGGTAAGACGACAAAGGAGAGCAGAGCTAACCCATGGGGACTGTTGGTTGCGCTCGATTCCGAGGGCGCTGCGAAGGGTACTTTATATGTAGATGATGGTGAGAGCTTGAAACAGGAGGCTACGCTGACTGTCGAGGTAAGTTTCCGCTTGAAAGACTGAGAAGTTTCAAAGCTAATCTTGTTGTAGTTTTCTGCCCTTGAGGGCGTTCTGAAGGCCAGACCAACTGGTGACTACAAGGACTCCAACGCCCTGGGTAACGTCACGATCCTAGGAGTTGGGCGGGACATCTCAGCTGTCACTCTTAACGATCATGTTCTGGACAACGAGAAATGGTCGTTGGACACGGCTTCTCGCGCCCTAAAGATCCACAGCCTGCAGTCGCTAACTGCAAGGGGCGCATGGAACTCGGAGTGGACGTTGACTTGGGCTTGACAAGGTCAAATGAAAGTCGTATAGCTTGTCTAGTCTTAAATCCATCTCACCAAACATTCTTCCCTTGAATATGCCCGGTTGTCTATTCTCAGCGGTGTTGGATCTTAAGTCACATCTGCTTCCGATAATCGATGTTCATTCTTGTGGGGGTTTCGACCAGATAGCCCGGCATGATTGAAGAACCAGACGAAAAACTCAAAAGATTTATAGTCATTGTGCCACAGAACAATAGCAGTCGGATAGTACTAAATATTGTGTATGTATGGTATGCAAATCTGTTGAGGCCTATCTAGGCTCGCATGTCTTTTGTGCCCGCACATTAGATCCTTTCGTCAAAAGATTGGATACGTAGCTTGTGAAGAACGTAACCACGTCCAAGCCGTCGTCATATGATAGTCAATAGTTGTATATTTGATTGGTACAATGCACTGGCAATCCAGTGAGATGCTGTTTAGATCCTGTATAGCGCAAAAGCTGAACTCTGTCTATATATATATGATCGACACATTGTTTCCTAATTCGACCCAAATCACCGCTGGGCATCATCGACGCTTCCATCCCTCTTGCCGAACCTCGCTCCGAACCCTCCGATATCCCTCCTGAAGAACTTGCCAAAGTTCTTGAGGTTCTCGTTCATAGTTGCCGGTCCGCCCGCGCCCTGTCCCAGGTCCCTCGTCGCGCTCAGCAGCTTCTCGCCCAGCGACGTGGCGTCGAACTTGGTCTGCAGGCCGGGTATGGCGCTGCTGGCTGTTGTCAGCGCTGTGCTCGCCGTGCCGATGGAACCGAGACCCGAACTGCCGAGGCCGGTCGTCACCATGAGGGGTGTGAGGAGCGGGGACTGCTGCACGAGCTTGTCGCTGAGGTTGCCCTCGCGGTGCATGGAGAAGAGCTCGACCAGGTGACCCTGGTCCGCCTTGCGCACGCCCTTTAGCTCGAGGATCTTCTTGAAGTTGGTGTCGGAGCGGTCGCCGATGTGGATCAGGTAGGCCTGCACCAGGCCCTCTGGCGGGGACGGGCGGACTTGGAGGGTCTTGAGGAGGGGATCAACGCGGTTCATTGACTGGTTTATCCGCTTGACGTATCCTGCGGGCGCAGTGTGTGGGGCGGAATCCTTGTTGTGGTACGACAAGAGATTCTCGAATGCCTTGGTCAGGACATACTTATCGAGCAGCATCTGTATTTGGTCAGTGGCTGTATACAGGCATCTTAGAGGGGGGGGGGGGTGCGCGTACCTGTTCAGCGCCAACTTCGGAGACAGGCCGGCATTGAACAATGTTGCTAATGTAGGCGGTAACGAGGTGGTCGACGAGGTTGTCGCAGAATGCCCTCGCGTACTGTCCCTTCTCTACAACAGCGAGGATCTCCTCGGCCTTGCCGTTCACGGATGACAGTAGTTCGCCAACATATGAACTCTGATCACCCACGCTCTCCATGGTGCTCCAGTTGGTGTTTCTCATCTCGCGCCAAGCTCCCTCACAAGCAATCTCAACGTTGCGGACCAAGGTCAGGACGGCAGCGCTGGCCACACCGAGGAACGCGTCTGCTTGGGACGAAAAGTCAACCTTTCCGGCAAGATCGTTGTCGATGCGCTTCTTGATGCTTTCTTCCAACTGGGTGGTGTTTGTGGACCAGAAGTCGGCAGTGTTCAAGACCAAGATGACATCTTGAATAGGAGGGCCTTGAGGACCGGCCCTTTGTAGTATATGCAAAAGAACTTGCTGCGCGTACTCGTCCAGGTACTTTGCCAGCGTTTTGGAAAGATCCAGCAGCCTATCACTAGTAGATAGCTTGGCGCATTGCGACAAGGTAAGCTTGTAGAAATGGAAAAGTTCAATGGCGGACGTCATTACGGCCTGTCTAGAAAACTCTTCATCTTCGGGGAGGAGAGGCTGAGTGCGGTATTTGGGTATCATGATGGCAAGCTGCCTGTCTTGGGACTCCACCCACAAGCTAAGGTAAGGCTCGAAGGCGGCAGAAATGGAGCCATGGAAGTTGGATGCTCTGTCGTCAGCGGAGCTCAGGGTGTCGATACTGGCTCGCGGGTCGCCTGCAAACCGCTTCTCCAGGCTCTGCTCAAAGTCGAGTGTTTCTTGGAGGCAACTCAAAAGGAGATTGACGTCAATCTTCTGGCCGTCCGTCTTTCGCATGCTTCTCTCCAGGATACCCTTGAAGTCGTCCCTCGTGCCGTCGCAAAAGGCCATTGCCAGCAACTCGTTCGCTCTCCAATGGGAGGGGAAGATGACAGCGTGCTCTTCCTCATGAGTCTTGAGCATGCGCTTGAACCAAGCATATCTCCGGCCGATGTTGTCGAGGTTCCCGGCTTCGTCGTTGCCTCGGAACACCTGTCGGTACTCTCGCAGCTCCGTGTTTACGTACCAGTTCATCAACCGCGTTCGCGCCATATCTCCCAGAGCATCCATGACCAGGCAAGCCTCGACCAGTGTGCCTCTGCGCTGGGCTACTTCACCCTTGGCGAAAGCAATCTCAAAATCCTCGCATACTTGCTCTAGCAACTCCCTCTGCAACTCCGAGACGCCCCTGCTCAGTGTGGCGATCTGCTCGATACTCCTGTAGCTATTGAAGTGCTTCATAAGCTGCAGAACAGCTTGTAGTAGACTCGCGCATTCCCTGTACTGTCTCGTCTTGGCCAAGCCTCGGAGTTGTTCATAGGCAGTCGTCAGCATCTGAAGTCGCTTCAGCGCCGTCATGCTCAGGGTCAGGTTCCGCTTCGTGCCATCGAGTCGCTTGATATCGGCTGTCATGGACGTAATGTTCTGCTCGGTCTGAATGGCTCGGGATCGCACAGTTTCAATCTTGCGGAATAGCTGAGCTAACTCGGCCTGGGCAGACTGCATGCGCTCGAGGCTGGAATCGGACCCGTAGGCTTGGGCGACTTCGAGCTCGGAAATCTCGACGGCAAGGTCATTTTTGTGGGTTTGGAGAGTGTCGGAAACACGACTGATTGAGGGGACGGTCGAAGGATGGGCGAAGAGGTGGTTCAGGTGGTCAATGGGATCATAGTTGGCTAGCTGAGGGTCAGATCGGAGCTGCAAACAAAGGTGGAATTGGGGGAGGTACCCGCATCGAGAGAGATTTTTTCGGTAGCTGTCGACCCATTCATGGTGATTTAATTGCGATTATAGAGTCAGCGCGCCGGCGCGGAATCGGTGTACTCGAGGTTGTGCGGATTACTGCAGCATGTCTGAGTCTCGGGAGCTCAATTGGAAGCTCCGTGTCTAGATGTCGTCACGTGTCATAATAGCTTCGCAGGGATCCTGCGACGGGATCTACCAGACCAATCGGCTTCCGTTCCGTGCATCTTATCAGCTTCTCGAAGGTAGCTCCGGTTCGTCTTTTTTCGGATCGTCCCACCACGAAAAGTCTGGGGAAGACGGGATTTCTCTGATTTTCGACCAAACTTATGGATCTTTTAAATGAGCACTACCCTTTAATTATGTCACACTTGGCTTTTTATTGCGCAAGCGCATGGCGGGTCACAACTGGCAGGATGTAGCCGAGACCTTTGTCGCGTATCCTACCAAAGTGTTTTAGGCAGTTGAATTTCATTTGAATCGTGCATTATTCTGCAGCACAAACTATCATGCAGTTGTGATGCCTGGTCCATCACGCTCTTTGCCGAGGTCATCACAGGCTTTACTAGTATCGTACAACATAGTGTCGCGTTGAAACCTGACGCAGTTCACATGATACTACGTAGAATCAATGGTGAGTCCGACTCGGTTCCCTCCTTGGAGCATTGGGAACGTTGCCGCTATATAATAATTGGCATCTCTTCTCAGGGCTGTCTCATTTGCAATCTTCACAAGATGAAGGATAAAATAACATGTTGGAGAGTCCTTCATCTGTAGTTCCATGTTGCAAGCAACGTGGTCTAACCCAGAAACGCCAACCAAACAGCTGTTGTATCCGACATTCTTGATGCATGTGGTATTGTTGTCGCTTTCCGCTTCTTTCGCTCAGCTAATCACAACAGTCGTTACTGGCCAGGTCTAAGCTTCATTTAGAAGCTCTGGCCTTTTTACCTTGGACACCGTCGGATCGCTAAACGGTTTGTCCGAGAAGTCGTCCGTTATCACCGTCATTTATTATAATTCGTTGGGGAATGCCACACCGTCTTGGTCCGGTGAAAACCAGAGCTGTGCATGATGCTCGGCCAAGCTACCGCTCGGGCTGGCAAAAGGCCCTATAGGATGAACTCGAGGTTTGCCAATAGGGAAAAGCGGGCGGAAAGCTTCAGGGTCTGCGGCGCCAGCCATTTCGAGCAAAATACACATACAGGAGGCGTTCTACCCTGTCGACTTCGCATGATAGTTAAATCAAACCCGACGGCAGTGCTCTCTATAGAACCGTGTCAGCCTCCATTCCCCCAGCATCAGACAGATTTACAGACTTTCTTATTACAACAGAACACTTTTCTTCTAAAATGCATTACAACATGATTCGCTCACTTACGAATGGTCCCCTCTGTAAAGTAAGCTACTGCAAGGTGATAGCGCAAATAAAACAAATGGCAGCATCCGGCCCTCCTCAGCCCAATATGCTCAGCAACCGATTGAGTCGTGTACAAGATCTGTTTTGTAGCCAATTCACCTGCGAGTCCCAACCTCTTCGAATTCATGCCAAACACCGAAACAAAGCATCGCTTCATAGCTGAACCCTCAGCAAGGGTGCCACCCTTTCGGACAACCAACCACATCTGCCAACATCGGATGACAGATAGACACCCTCAGAACTCTACTCGATCTCGCCACCCATCTCATCCAACCGATGGTCTAGATCAAACCTGAACAACCCCTGTGGCTGGTCAGCTTGTCCGGGGTCTCGGCTGAATCACCCCATCTTCGCCGACAACATCCGGTCCTTGGCCCAACCTCCCACAACTGACATTACATATTCTGACTAGTCACCAGTTGTACTTTCTGACATATCCCACCATTATGACCACGAGAACCCGTCATTGTGAGCACTGACATTTATACATCTCTCAAAAGCCATCAATATTCCAAGCCCAGCTCACTTCGGAACCCTCTCTCCCGCCAACCCCGTGACACCCTATACGGGCCCCGGTTCGACCCTGCCCCTATGACCCATCTCGGGCGAACGCAGTAAGCACGCAGCCCCAGGATACGATCAACTCGGGCAAGGGAACCGAGGCATTGCAGCGAGCGTAGTCCCGTACATGGAACCCAATAAGACCAAATGTCACCGGAATCCTGGAAAAGTGCCAAGGCCCAACTCACGATTTCGGGGGCATGTGAACTTATCACCTCCGCTTTAGGGGCCCCACCGTCAACCGTCAGCCAACCGTGCCCGCCTTGTTTCTTCAACACCAGGACCCCTGGCTATACTCACCCTCCAATATCAACCAACCAACAATATCACGACGTCGCCTCACGTACACCATACGTTCTAATAAGCATTATTGCCCGCCAAAATTCCATAAGCCAGCAGTCCTATCCCGGCCCCAATGACATAATTAAGTTGCATCCGATGAACTGCCTAACCCGATAGCCGAGTCATGCGGTCGCCTCTGCCTGCCCGGAACCCCCCTACCGCCGAAGATTGGATCGGCCGCCCGGCTGACGGCGCTTTCGATTTCCTACACCGCGTTTCAAGCAGCATGGAGAAACCCCCTCCAAGAAACCGGACTGCACCCGCTACCAGACACGGCCCGCCCGCCACGTGGAACAACTGATACCACACCCTTTTACTGACGACGGCGATAACACTCGAGTCAGAATCTCTCCGACATAACCTACATTTTAGCCCGTAGACTAAATCCACCCGTCTACCTCTAAACAGCTTGAAATGGGGCCTCAGAACACATCGAAGGGGTGGGGAAAGAAGAAGAAGAAGAAAAGATGGCGCGTCTTTGGTAGTGGCGGTTTCTATATCGGGCCTCAAACAGCCGTCCGCATCACCACGAGAGAGCAAACCGGCTCCCCTGGGTCTGAGTGATGGAGGGGGATCCTAGCACGTATGACGATCAAAGCCCCCAGCACACGTTGGGATCCAAAGAGGGACTAACCAACTTACATGGCGCTAAACCACACCGCACCCCCAAAGTCCATGCGTCCCGAATAAACATATGGATTATTACTAAACACACGGGGACATACACACACACCAAGCAAGAGAGTGAGGGTGGGTGCCCACACACCGCAAGATTCCGCCCCCATCTCACCTCATCTCACCTCAGAACAACGTATCCCATCCCGTCACCCTCACCGACAATGTCATTGTTCCCCGTATTAAGCCACCGGTCCCGTGATACTCACCACGTGCCAAACACACCCTTACCTTTTTTTCTTGTTTTTTTTTAGTTTTTTTTTTTTTGCCTCATCCTTTATTTTAGTCAGTTCTAGCCCGCTCTGCGAGACCGGGGTAACACAACACAACCCTTCCCCTCGCTCATTAGCATCTTCCGTACCCGCGAACCCTTGCCTTTCATACCCCCAGCTGTACCCTCCTCGAATCGTGTCAATCAAACTATGTGTAACCTCGAGTTGTGTGGGTGTAACCCAATCGTAGACGAAGTCCCCTCCCCTCATCAGTATCCCTCTGCTACGGTAAATGTCGACATTATACCCAACCAATCCATCTTTCGCGATCGACAAGCGAGCAAATTACCCCGTACACAGGTAACGTCTCAACCAACATCTCAAAAGGGAATTTCAAGAAAACCAAATCCGTCATACAGGGGCCCTGTCAAAAACAGAAACAAGTACACGTCCGCAAAAAACATATGCAGGCCAATGACTCTTATCAAAATGTCACCACCAGTAGTATATAGTAAAAAAAGGTGGGAACCCTCTAGAAAGAATAACAATAACCAACACATTCACTTCCAAGACTTCATCACCAAATTCCCAAGAACACTCTTGACCATAAACAGATGGTGCCAAGTTCCCAGAACCAAGTAAAACAACATCTAAAAAGAATAAACGATAAAAAAAAAGTCGCATCACCTCTACAGAAAACCTATGTCTCATCACAAATGCAAGAAGACCAATGCGACCAAAACCTACCCAAAAAAAAAAAAAAAAAATAAGAAGGAAAAAAAAAAGCAAGAGTAAGAATGATGGATCGCATGCCGAATCGGTCGTCTTACATGGGCCACCGACATCCCTCATTGGCTACTTGCGAACCTCTCTCTCTCTCTCTCTTTCACCAACCCACCACCACCACCACCACCCCCAGCATGATCATCCATCCCCTCCATCCATCCCTCCCTCCCTCCTTTACGCCGTAATAACCTGAACCCACCCCCCCGTAGTGTACCAAATCGTTCCGATCCCGTAGACTCGGAGCGAGCTCCGACACCCACCCCGATTCCAAGGGGTGCCTCCACTCCTCCATCAGCAGCGTGATACCCCCGCGGGATCTGCGTGGGTTACCTCTCAGCACACGCACACAGACACATACAAGTCACAACACACATCACACACATCACACACATACACACACACACACACACACACACACTTCGTCTTCCTATTGTTACTCCACCCGCATCAAGTCCCACTTTGTCGTCCACCACACACACACCCACACACAAAAGTCTCACAATGAAGAAGGGTGGCAGAAATTCTGAATTGAAAAGTTGTGTGTGTATGTCAAAGTTGCTCGGCTCCCAAAGAGCCTCGACTCCCATGGGAATAGATTCCAATGTGGCGATTCCCGCCTATTACGCCCCCCTAGCAAATACAGAACAATCAACGCATCCAATCCAAACCCCTTTAACCACCCTGGTCTTTACTCTTGCCCAACCCGTTTATGATGTGAGTCACGATCGAGACAGTTGTTCCAACAAAAAAGAGAATAATAACAAACAAGCTCAATGATGCGATGCAAAGCAACCTACACCGCCCCTATGCCTCCCTGTGTCCATGCGGGATATCATCAGCTGTCCAGAGAAGTTTTTTTTTTTCCTTCATGGTGCTCTTCCCCCCGCCCACCCGAAAAAAAAGTCTATCATGTCGCCAAAGATGCTTGCTTCTGATGCCCAAGTCGTTCAATCAATCGTGAGAAAATGCAAAATCGCCAAAGTGAACGCCACGTCGCGCCTTGCCAGATGCTGCTGAACCCTTTACGCCTTGCAAATGCGAGTATGTCATCGTAGCTGAGCTCTTCGGCCCGCCAGGCCGAGAATTGCCGGTACATGTCGGCAGACTGTTGCTGAAATAGTCGTGGGTGTATCCAGTGTGGATCGCTCAGATAGAGTACCGATCAGGAGCTATGCAAAGCTCTGAATCCGGTTGCGATGAGACTGCGAGAGCTCTCCTTGGCATCTAATGGACCGCTCCAGTAGAAGAGTCCCTATCAAAGACGTCAGTAGCTGCACCATATGCCACTTCATAAACCAGACACCTACCCCTAAGCTCTTCTGTTTGCAAAATGCCGCCTTCATCTTCACTGTGTCGGGGTTGTCATATGTCACAAAACCACCGTCGGCTCCGACGCACTGAGCTGCAATGTGCTTCTTGTCCACAGCTTCCTTCGTTCCACGACGTGGGAGTTGGTTGTAGTCAAACGTGCCGTTGTCTCCGCCCACTCCCTTAAACTTTTGTCCCGGTCCGGTCGCGTGCAGAAAGCTACGGCCGTATAGGGGGATGCCGAGAAGAATCTTCTGTGTGGGGAATCCTTGAGAAACGAGATACTGCACGCCCGATGCACCCGAAGTCTCGTCTTTGCTCATTGCGTAAAGTTGGGCGTGGTGGCCGCTCCTATGCGTCCATGAGCCGGCGAAGTCGTACGTCATCAAGTTGATAAAATCGAGGTAGTCGGCTGTTCGTCGCAGATCAATGTACTGAAGAATCGCCCTTCCTGCCGGTAAAGCGGCGGTGAGTAGGTAGTGGCTTTCCGGCATATGAAGGCGAACTGCGGCGATGAGCGCCAGAAAGTGGTGACCTTGCTGTGCATCACAGGGATACTCCCAGACGACTGGTAAAGAGCTGTTAGATACGCTTCTCATGCTGCAGAAGCGAGCAAACTTACTGTCAATGCCGTCCAAACCCGATGCATCCACCAAGCCTCTCGCAGACCGGGCGAAGTTGTCTCTGTACAGCGTGTTCGCAGCCACTGAGGGAAACACGGCAGCTGAGCTACCACCGCCAATTGATAAGACAACCTGCAAGTGTGGATGTTTCTGTTTAAGGTGCATGAGAGAACCAAGGCCGCCTTGAACGCCATCGACTGGTGCGCGGGCATCGGCCCACTCATCGCTCAGCTAGACGATCAACTAGTCAGTCCAAGTACGTTGCAATTGAATTTACACAACTCACAAAAACACCACCGTCCGGCGAGACGTTCGCAAATGCGTAGTACACGTGGTTGATGCATCCGTAATTCATCGCACCAGGCGTATCACCTTGGTATATCCTCTCATTGGGGAAGTAGACGGCGTTGGTGTACATGACGTTGGAGATGCTAGTTGTTCTGCGCGACTTGCGCGACGACGATGAAGAGCTCATCCTGACTCTAGTTGCCATAAGGCAACTGGTAGGCGTGGAGGGGAAAAAGCAGATAAGCAGGTTGAATCAAAGAAGCAACTCAAGGAGTCAGTGTGAGAAGGGGTTGGTGGTAAGGACTGTATATGAAGGGAAGGACTTGGACCCGAAGCTGCATGCTGGAGCAATGAGCTGGTCGGTCAGGCAGCAAGCGCGAACCTCTGTGGCCCCAAACAGCATGGAGAGGTTGTCCTATATATTTGAGTAGACACCGCACCACTAGAGAGAGAGGGAAGATGCGACGGTGAGCGAACGTGGGCAGGGTAGTATACACTTAAGGTCTGCCCGAGGCGGTGGAGACGACGGGTATCAAAATTACAAGAGGGTCCAGGATACCATCGATGCCATGATGCATGACATAATTGGGTTGGGGGTGGACGATGGATCATGGGGGGTGCGCCGCCAGAAGATGCGGTTATGGTTGCGCTTGCAGGGGTGGAGTGATGGCATTGAGACTTTTGTCGGGTCATATATGAGAGATCTGGAGAGGGTGATGAGTAGAAGAGGGAGAACAACAAGACTAGCAAACAGGTCCGCCCGCCACTACACCGGGTACTGGAGAAACAACCGACAAGAATGGGCGCAAAACATAAGCTGGAGAGGTAGGGCAACGGAGGAGGAGAAAGAAAAAAAAAAAAGAGAAACAAAACACAGAGAAAAGGACCTCGATGCAAGATTGCAAGGCATCATGGTCGGGCGTGTTCGTCTTTGCTGGCGCTGTTGCTTTGATTAGCCCGCTCGTCCTGACTCTCTTGCCCGTGAACTAGCCTGGCGCGAGTCTGTTCTCAACTTCTTCTCAGGTTTGAACCCAGCCGTCGGCCACGACCGCCCACCCTTGGCGGCAGTTGACGATCAGGGTTGCAGGGGTCAGGAATGATCCTTGCTCGCCGCACCGCTACTTTCGCTCCTTCTCTTCTCTTGTTCGTTCACCCTTTTTCTGCATCACCCAGCTGGTTTCTCCACGTCCGGCCGGCCGTGCATGCAGGTCTTAGCAGCGAGGTATGTAGGGAGCAGGCGTCTATGCCTTGGCCGTCGACCTTGTCTGTGTCTGCGACTGTGAATGTAGCTACACCGTAGTTACCAGCCGCATTCCGTGAGTGCTTCTGGTTGACCAATGCGAATGTAGCCACTGGACCTGCGGCTGCGGGAGACAGAGCATCCTGGACGGCACAGGTTGTTCAGCACATACAGTGCTTGCTGACGATTAGACGCCCGGCCAGCCAAGCCTGACGCACCTAAGGGCTGTTTGTTCCGAGTCCATTTCAGCGGACATTTGACCAAGAGACTCACCCAATGTTGGCTGCCCACAGCGGCGTGGCCTGAGGAGCCGGACCGGCCTGCCGGGTATTTTGCAGAGGAAACGGTTTAGCGACGCGATCTCCGTAACGCGACGATCTCAGTATGAAACTAGCAAGTGAGTTGGGGACGGGCTCGAGGCATGTTTCCCCATAAGGCTCGATATGCACCAGAAACAGCCACAAGGCAAACACGGGAAATGACGGCCACTCGAAGGGCGCTTGTGGCTTTGGGCTGTTGACAAGTACGTCCCTGCCTGGACGGGGAAGCGGCAGAGAAGCTTTGAGTCGGAAAAACGACCACAGCTCCGCGGACTCGGTTTTGAGCCAGTGGAATGAGATGTTGCTGTTGAGCACCAGGGCGCCATGGCAAAAGAAAGCGTACCTGGGGAATCCACGAGGCTTTCTCAGACTAAAATGAGACGACACGCATCAAGACCAAGAGGCAGGAATTCTGCACTGGATTGCGGAAACTCTAAAGTAACCTTCTCTGTGCTGGCGCGTGCCGTGCTATGCTCTATTCTGTTCTGGAATGCGACCGTTGTTAGTCGTGTTTTCTGTCGCCTGCATTCCGAAGAGAGTGAGTGAAGGGCTACTCTGCTGGCATTTGAGTCGAGCATTACGGACAGTGTTCATCACACTGACGTGCAAATTGTGGATCGATAGGGGAGTTGATATGCACTGAGGCCCTCGAGCGGCACAGTGGTGTCTGGTGCTATCAAGCAGGTAGATCCCGGCCGATGCGCTGGGGAACCGGGGGGCGTACTAATGAATCACACACGGACACGCAGGGAGAAGCGTCTTCAGGCGGTGAGGTTCAAGGCGAAACAACTCAGGCTGGGCAGAGAATGTCGAGCAAGGCTAAGTAGGGTATCCGTATATGGACGAAATCGTGGTGCTAGAAACCAACCGCCTCAATTCGCGGTGGGTTGAGCCAGTAACACAGCTATGAGACTCGGCGACAGGGAGTGGCCCAGTGAAGAGACATGTAGGAGCAACTTGGCTGCGTGGGCTCCACCCAAACGATGGAAACAGCCGACAGCGACGGAGGATGAGTGGAGGAGATGGGTGCAAGCGACTGCATGCCACGCTGGCATCACATCGTTGTACATGAAAGCGGTCCTCTCGTCTGGAAAATCCGACGATTTGGGAGAATGAGGTCATTGAGCGAGGGTCGTCGAGTTGGGTATCGATGAATAGCTGCGATTCCGCGTGGTGTGACGGCGGAAGCGCTTTGTATTGTTATCTGGTCATTGTCCTGCGGGAGGCTCAGGTTGTCTCGTGACTTGTCGGGAAATGACCAGAGGCGTAGAGGCCGGGCGGGAATATCTCTTGTGTCGCCGTCTTGGTCGTATCGGCCCACGAGAAGGAGAGAAGATCCATGGGTGCCCATACTAACTACGGCAGGTCGATCAACGATATCGACCTGACTGCTTGAGTGGTGATGTGCGATGTGGCTCCGTGGTCCGTACGTGGGCATCCACCCTATCCCGCGTGCCCGTGTCGCACCCTGGCGATTCTGTAGTCTGTACGTACGAAGATATGCGGGCATGCTCCGAATGTAAGTAACTCGCAGTAGTCAAATCCAATGATTGGATACAGGAGACAGATGGGTAAAAGAAACCCCGGCAAACTCTAGTCAGGGTTGATGCGCACGGCATAGCGATGCTGCTGACTCCTCTGATGTCCGCATCGGAGCAAATTATGCGAAACGATGGACGAGTGACACAATGCTTTGAAAGTATCAGTATCTTGTTCGACTAGAGCCTGATGATATTCGGTTTTTTTTTTCTTTCTTTTTTTTCTTCTTTAAACTTTGTTTCACTACTATGTCATTTTAATGTAAGAAGAAGTAGAACCCAAAGGAAACACGCTAGAACAGCCACGTCTCGAGAGGAGATGAAGGGGCAGAGGGAAGCTTGGAAACCGTTGGGGTTTATAATTAGAGAGGGGAAGAAAGGGAGACACAAAAAATAGGAACTAGAGGCGTGAAAAATAAGGGGGCGTAAAAAACTGAATAAAACCACACCTCGGATTTGTGACTTGATGAAGCAAACGACGACCGGCCGAGAAGTGCGGGGTCATGCCATTTCCCTCCATTCCAAAAGAACACCCATTGCTGGAGGGAACGTATCCGTACGAATACCTTGTGACTTGGTCCGACGGGACTTCAAGTCGAGGAAGGAAAGGTCTGACACCGTACGAATGAAAAAGACAATAGACGGAGAAAGTAGTCCCAGTCAAGAGCGGGGATGAGGTCTCGATGTGGGTTTGAAGACAGCCGAAGACGGCCCCAGATGCAATGGAAGGGAAAAAGAAAAGGAAAAGAACAGGAAGTGCATGTCATTCTGCAGCCTTGGCGAGCTAAGAAACCCTGGGAAAGCACCGTCAAAAGACCGTGGGTCTTTCCTGCCCGAGCGACTCTGCTTTCTGCATGTGTGTCCTGAGGGTATCCGCAAGGAAGGATGGATGGAGGGGAATCTGCAAGGACTTGATGAGGCAGGAGGAGCCAGTGCTCGACACATCGGAGCACCTTCCAGAGTCTATTGCATGCTAGCTAGGTTTGTAGGGCAAGGGCATCCTGAGTTGTGAACGGCAGGAGCCCTTGTAGCCCTCATGCCTCATGGCCATTGCCCTCATGGAGCAGAGCATGCCTTTACATAAGATGTAACACGACAAAACCGAGCAATGTTTAGAACGAAATACCCCATCTTGTGGTCCCGAGGAAGGAGACACAGGAACGTCGAAAAAAAGAAAGAGATAAAAAAAAAAGGATATCAACGCCCCAAAGAGGAAGGGCATCTCCACTTGTCAAAATACTACCAAGAGAAAAAAAGAACAAAAAAATAAACCAAACATGAAAAATGACACCAAATGATTAGATTCAAACCTATCGTTTTATCCGACCTCACATTTGCTATGGACACCTACAGTCCTACATAGTATACACACCATCTCCATCTTCCCTGTTCCTCACGGCCCGACCGAAGAACGGGAGGGGTCGTTCAGGGACTTCCCGCGGCAAACCCCTCCGACCCGTGTGATGCTTCCTTGGCGAGGATTGGCCCTGCTCTCCCAGCCCGGCACAGTTTCCTCCATGTGGATGGATTCTGCAAGTGCAAACAAAATACGCACAGAAAAATGTACGCTCGGTCCATCGCTAATTCGGCCCATTTGAAAGCGGTATGATACTGGAAAATGTCCTCTTACTCTTCTGGAAGGGATTCTCGCCCGTCAATCCACTCAATTCAACCCCATCATCCAGTAGAAGGAGCTTCAACATATCACCAATTGCTGCGTCTGCAACTTGACGGAAGACGGCTCTCAAGTCCAGATTCCAAGACACCACAAATGCTCGCATTCCCCCTCTTTGCAACTGAATCAGCAAACTTCATCTGTTAGCTTTGATAGGACAACCCTCCAGCCTCGCTTGGCTTCCAAGAGCGGAGACAGCCCATGTCTTCATCTGCTATCCGGCCAATCTGTGATCCCACAACTTCCAGCAACTGGCCAGCGGCCAATCAGTAATTTTTCTCTCTGGAGAATTGCCTGATGTTACTGTAACCTTTCAAGCCTTTTGGATGGACCCTCTCAAAACGGAGAGGGGCCAGCACTGCAGATGTTGTTCCTCAGGACACTTTCTTTCGTGCTTCTTATTCTGCTGAGTTCTCGTTCTTTCTCTCACGGAAGAACCTTTTGGTCTTGTGAATAAAGAGCAATTTGCCGCTCGCAAGCAGAAGGGCTCGTCCAAAAACAGGAAAGAAAGAAAAAGTCCCCCCAAGAACAGTCACCAAACCGCCTCAAGGAACCATCAAGGCACTGTCGCTTGCTTGTCCGTAAATGGTAAAGTTTACTCCGTCGTAGGCTGGTTTGGGACTGGGATCCCCCCGGCTCAAGCACCTCCGATATGCTTCGAGAAAGAGCCGTGGGCCTTGACGGAACTTAAGCTACGGCTACCAATAACACTCAAGCAGCTCAGAATCCAGTTGGCGCTGTCGAAGCCGCCTATGCACACGTTGACCATTGCGAATTTATTCCGCTGAGTGGGACAGTTCCTCTGTTCACTGGGCCCGCCCACCTCAAGAATTCACTTGCTGAAATGTGAGAGAGGGTGCCGATTCCACGGCTACCGCCATGGCTGCTAGCCCTTGACCAACGATGAGGTGGGGCAGAATCAAGAGTTAATGAGAATATCATAATGCTTGAGCTAACTGTTTGCCAAACTATTCAGTCGTGTTCGCACACTCCAAAACTAGTTTCGGTACAGGGTAGCAAGCTGCTTGACTTTCTATTTAAGGAAGTGGCCTAAACAATTGTACGTATCGGTAATGGCACTGGTAAGCTGGCTTGGTATACGATGCATCATAAATGATGTGATTCAGGCATTTGGGCAATTGAAGGCATGTGAACAGTCTCTATCACTAACATATTCCCACTCCAAGAGGTCTTGATAGACTTGTACTACAAATTCTGAATTTGTTGACCATTTTCTAATGCGTCTGTCTTGGACGTTGATTGTCTCCCCTTCAGCTGACTTAGATTCCTATCAAGGTTCTTGTTGAAACTGAGGAGGATGAATTGCTACGTGGGACGAGTTTGATTTCGTTCACTTCGGGACCATAAATTCTGTTTGAAGAAGGCTTGAAAAAGTTTATAGGCAAGTCTGTAAGTTAGCATACCATCCATAGAGGGCTTTCTGTCATCACAATATAGACATCCCAGAAAGATGTGAAGACTGATGGCTGGATTGAGTTTAGGAGCTTCACAACGGATTCATTCTGACGATGACACCATGCCAGAAGATGAAAAGACGAGGCTTTATGAGCTAGCTGTTGGGACTTTCCAAGGTCCCAGTTCGACACCCCCGCAAGGCATAGACTTTTAAGTCTTACCTTGACTTGTCACAAGGACCCGAATAAGTGACTGATTCAATGTACATCAAGAAACCCTTTCGCAGGTTGTGCTGGCGTTGCTGTTGCTGGCAAACCGTTTGAGGTGACGGACATCTTAAAGTTGGGTGCAGGGTGCGGTGTGCAACGGTGAAGAGGAGTTGATGGATAATAGCAATCACCACTATTTTCAAAATGTGTCTAGAGTGCCCAGAAGTCAGAGAATGAACCGCAAAACAAGGCAAGTAGGAGCTCGGCTGGAGATGAAGAGGCTTGAGAAAGATGTTTCTGATCTTACATTGTCAAAGACGATGGGACAGAACCAGAACTCTCTCTGACACTGAACACCGGTGATGCTAGAATAAAAGCTCCAATTATACTTGGTTTGTCCCACAGCCAATGGAGAACACTAACAAAAAGTAATGCATTTCTCTGCATTCTGTTACCAACGCAACAGAACAGTTGCCAAGAAGAGACCTTTAGATACCTTTGAACGGGGTGGATCTGCTATCCACCCAACATCCGAATTGGGGGCTAATTTTGACCTTTCCAGATTTTATACATCTTGCAGAACGAATACCGAGTCCGCGGCTCTGAATCTGCAAGGCAACTTATGCCAGTTTTGCCAACACCCCTTGCCCCGGGTTGGTGAAAGCGAGTGGATGGAGGGGTCTAGGCCGCGAATGCACCCCACCACAGCTCTGGGTTCTGCTGATTACTAATATTATGGGGCAACTATGCAGAGCTGCCTCTTGAGCCAATCCACGCCTCATCTTGACTTTCACATCGCGACTGGGAAATATTCCTTTCACATCATCAGTTCACAACGCTCACGGCTAATTGAAGCCACTCGACGTGAACAGCCCACTCTCGAGTCTTAGAGAACACTTGATAGTTCGCATCATCCATTCTCGACGGCTACCGTGTCCTTCAGCCACAAAGCAAATCGCAATCACGCGACATCAGCAATCGCAGAACAATCGCAACTCCCTGTCGACAACTGCTTGAGCAGCAACTCCCACAATCGCCAGCAGCTCTACGGAGCATCCAACCGATAAAATGGCAGTCGTTGCGCCTCGCCCCGAAACAAATCAGATCCTCACCCACGCGCCCCTAGCGACCTCCTTCTCCTTCACCCCATTCCTCCGCCAGACCTACCGCCACGAGCTCTCCTCCGACCGGCCGCAATGCAAGCCCTTCCTAGCGGGTCACTGCCCCCTCGGCGCCGCATGCCCGGACCGTCACACCTCTTCGCTCTCGTCGAACCCCTCCGGCGGACCCTCGCTGGTCTGCAAGCATTGGCTCCGCGGTCTCTGCAAGAAGGGCGAGAGCTGCGAGTTCTTACACGAGTACAACCTACGTAAGATGCCCGAGTGCAACTTCTTCATGCGCAACGGCTACTGCTCCAACGGCGAGGAGTGTTTGTATCTACACATCGACCCGCAGTCTAAACTGCCTCCCTGTCCGCATTACGACAAGGGATTCTGCCCGCTGGGACCGCGATGCAGTAAGAAGCACGTTCGGAGGAAGCTTTGCGTTTACTACCTGGTGGGATTCTGTCCTGAGGGCCCTACCTGCAAATATGGTGCGCACGCGCGGTGGAGAACGGATTTGGAGAAGCCAAGTGCCAAGGTCGAGGGTGAGGATGAGGCGAAGAAGGAGGGCGACAGAGAAGAGGGCGAGATGATGCAACACCAGCGCGACAGGATGAGGGATGCGCATGACGATAGGGGACACGGAGGCAGGCACGGTGGTCGCGGAGGCAAGTGGCGCGATCGCGGGAATAGGAGATTCCGCGGGCGCGGCCACTAGAAGATACGTCGTAGCGCCGATGGGAACATCATCGGGGTTTGGTTTTATACTTCCCGGCTGGAGGGGGTTGCAGGATATGTATGTACAACAGAAGGCATGGCCTCCTAGGCTCATGAAACTACGGCATGGGTAGACTTTGGACCGTACCATGCTCAATGATACCAAAGATCATGATTTACCGCGCTCATGTTATTCATCATCCACGCTCATCCTGGAAAAAGGTCGGAACAGGCGCGGTCAACACAACAACCTGGACAATTTTCCAACACAACCATATCCACCATCAACCCATTTCTAAAACAAACAATAAAAAAAAAATTTACTCACAACGGAGCAAAATAACTGCGAATTATCGCAGCTTCACGACCGAGGCAGGGCTCGAACCTGCAGCCTTAGGCAGAACCGAATCCGGAAGCCTATGCGCTACCATTACGCCACCCGGCCGAATCACATTGGATTGATGGTGATCCAGCGGCGAGACTATTCTGATATTGGCTGTGGTCATGGGTATGTGTGTGTGTGTGCGTGGGCGGTGTGGGAGCGGGGACGACATCTGGATGGAGTCGAGTAAAGCGGGTTATCGTGAGGGTTTGTGGATCCACTAACTGTCTCCTGGGCTAGGTCACTTACGTATGGAACTTTTCGTGTTATGGGGAGAATTTAAGTGAGAGTGTGATTTGGTTTAGTTTGGGGGTTTTTTATTTTTCAGAGGTGGGATGGGGTAGTAACACTTCTTTGGATGTGGTGGCAAGTTCGGGTTGGAGACTGTGAACATTCAGGCAAGGAGCTACTGAGAGCCAAGGACCAGTTCGGCTCCTGTTGATGACATCCTCACATGGTGATTTTCATATTTGATACTATGGCACAGTTGTGTTCACATGCTCTGTGCAGATTGAAAGAACACGGTGCTGTACAAAGACTCATCTTGTTGTAAATAGGTTGAACAGAGTTGACGATACCGTGCTATTGCTGTGGTATTTCATCAAGCTTAAGGTTAGCAAAGGCTTAACAGATAGCTTTGTTCCGCGATTGGGCTTGTGATATTGCGACAAGAGTAGTAGTCTAGACTATGTACATACTCAAAAATGGGAACATCATTCTAGACAAGTAGAACTTCACTCGTTAAACCAGACGGATAATATATGGTATCATGTTGTCATAGTTTACCATGCATACATTGACCCCGGGACTCTGAAAGACGAGGGGCTGGACACGGTATCGGCAACGTCCAAGCCAAGAGGATCATTGCCGATACTCGAGTACCTCCCTGTTGAAGGCAGCCTATGATTTCCAATACTCTGTCACAGGCGGGGAAAGGTAAGACCTGATGTAATGATTGCGGAACAAATACGCTTATCGGATGGGATTTACTCGTATCCTGCTGTTTCCGAGAGAATCGCCAAGGAATAACACACACTAGGCCGGCAAGAATACACAGTTACCCTGACCCAGTCCTGAGAGCAAGCCCATCCTCAACAGCATAGGACAGGACCTGAAGGAAAATGACGTCTTGACATCCTCGATCAAGGCCGTTTCCAAAACATGTAGAGATGCCACATAGAATCTAGAAAATCTTGACAAATAACTTTGACATGTCCGCTGAAGTTAATGCCACATAACTGTCATCTAGGCAGAATACAGTAGCTAAGGGTAACAATCCAGTTCATAGAGAAGCCAGCTACATTCTCCTCGTAAGCATTTGTAAGCACTGAATCGAGAACGATATACCCATCGTCCTGTTTCGGTCTTGTTCGCGGGTTTCTGGGTGTACCGGAGCTTTTTGTCCCGCACTGATAGCGAGGTGTTGCGTATGCTGGAGATATTTCTGAGTTGCGTTTCTATGTCGTATTGTGTCCCAGAAAGCAGACCTTGGTAGAAAACAGGCGTCAAAAGATTAGAGGAAAAACTCCTTGCCTTTAGCTTACTCAAGTGTCAGTTTGTAGTTCCTGTTAACTGATCTGTGTCAATACATTCACTAGTAAGGATCAGCTGGCGTTGCGTACGATCTGATATGAAAGACACATGCTTATCAGTTCGTGGAGAGCGTGACTTCAAGTGTCAGTTATGTAATGTGTTTGAGTCCCGGGCGAGAATGGGTGAGAAAGGTGTAAAAAGCCATCAAGTCTCCGCACTCGAGACGGAGGCCCGTGGTATTGGGCGAAATCATGAGAGGCGTCCCGACATTCTCATCAACGGGCCACTTCACGTTCGAAGTCCTTGCAGTAGACCCAGTTGAGACTTGACAAGGCGGGTATGCCCCCTGGCAGTTTGACCTCCTCGCTACCTGCACAGTAGCGTTCCGCATTTCCAGTTTCTTCTTTCTGGTCAACCTGTCGTTGAAAATGTCCTAGAATACAGAGTGCATGGTGGGCTTTAACACAGCTGCACGCAGTTTACTACGAGGCTAACAGGCACAAGTGCCTACGCAGACATGGCCATGATCCTAGGAAATCATATTGTGAACAGTAAAGTAAATGGAGTCAGACTCGTGGCGGTCTTTACTGATTTTGGCTACGTCCCCGCAACGGCACAATTTGGTATCACTGATGAGGTACGCTATTTGATCACCCCTGCGAACACAAGTTTAACCGGGACACGATAGAGTTCAGCATTACTATCGTGACTATTTACCAATCCCAAAAGAGTCGTGATCCTTTTTTCCTATGCAAGGGGAGTCGTAATTCATGCCCCTTCAGGTATGTTAGAGTGGCGTCTTCCAACCCCAACTACGGGGAGCAGGTAGCATCATCGGCATGGCATGACCGCTAGTCTATAGATTACCCCCAGGGCAATTCCTGCGGCATCGCACCCACTTGTTGCACATGACGACACATCACAATGTTGTGCCCACATGCTCATTCCTCAGCAGCCATGTCGTCAAGTTTGTGGCATCTGGTTTAAGAACTCTTCCACACGTTGCTCGACGGCTCGTCCGGAACAGCAACGAAATCTTGGGCTTCTCCGCTCTCACTTCCGTCCAACGAACCGTCGTACGAGCTAGACTGCCAAGCTGACAGCTCGTCAACACGTCGGATTCCCATCATCCACGACACAAGACCACGGGGCACCCATCGTCCAACAAAGCCGTACACGCTCGCGCCAAGGCCGACGCGGACGGTGCCGCTGGTGATGGAGCCATCGATGACGTCGAAGACGGCGTTGTGCAAGTGTCGCAGCGAGCTGCCCTTGAGTCCGCGGATGCGTCCTGCCGAGATGGCAGAGGTGCTCTGCATGACAAAGTTGCGGCCGTAGGCGTTGCGGGCGTTATCAGGCCACATGAGGGTCTCTGTGGCGTCGGCGTCGATGCCGGGTGCGCCCTCGAGAAGCCCTCTTTGAGAGGGGTGCACCTGCTTCGAGGGCTGGAAGCCGGTGAAGTCGAAGGTGCCTAGCTGGACATGTGTCACAGGGATACCGAGGGGACGGAGCTCTGCCGTCAGGACCTCGGTAAAGGCAGAGAGGGCGGAGGAGACGGTCGCCTCCGGGGCATGGAACGGAGGGTTGATGGATGAGATGATGGACGGTGTGAAGACGATAACCTTTGCCGGCGTCCATTTCTCGCCAGGCGGGCTGAGGCGTGTCGTCAGGAGAGGAAGGAATGCCTGGATCGTGAGGATAGGGTGGAGGAGGTGGGTGTTGAAGAGATCTGCAAAGCTGGATGGTGGGATGGTGGCGATGGGTGAAGTCTGGTAGTTAAGAGAAGGAATGAGGATGACGGATTTTAGCTGCAAGAAGTTTGGTTTCGTTCGCGGCGCGGGAGCGTGAGGGGATTGGAGGTATTGCGCAAAGCTGTCGATGGCTGCACCTGCTCTGGGAGGCTTTTGCCTGTCAGTATCTCGTAGTATCGATAAGCTTTTCTCAGTACTCACATCCGTAGTGTCAATCGACAGAGGGAGGATATCCGGTCTTGACAGGCTGTGAACCATATGCTCATCCTCCTCGGCGTTGCAGACAATGTAAACGACAAAGCCTCGTCGCTCGAAATCCAAGGACAGGGACCTCGTCAAGGGCAGGGCCGGCGATCCAGCGATGACGACAACCTCAAGACGGCCTCCGTTCCTCGCTCGTTTCGCACGCCGCGTCTTGCGACAGAACCTGCTATTTCTGTACGAGCGGTACGCCACCACTCCAACGACGGCAACGATGGCGCCAGTCAGGACCTTGTGCTTCGAAACCCAGTCCGAAAGTCTCTCGTATCGACTGATGGCGATCACCTCGATGGGGGTGTGGCGGACGGGAGGCCGTGGCCGTACAGAATCAGGTATCCATTCCGTGGCGGAAAGCGTCTCCCTCACAGCCTCCGCGGCCTTCTCGACGTGCGGGTTGATAAAGCCGGCGAGGTCGTCAGAGCATCGGCGGAGCTGGTTGGGCAGCGAGGACAGCTGCGGGCGATTATGGAGTCAGTCGAGAGCTCGAAATCAAAGCTTTACAACTAAGAAAGAGACGAATACACTTACGACGTCCAGAAACTGCTGGTCGTCCGCCGACATGTTGGCGGTATTGACCAAGAACTAATGAGGGGAAAAGGGTATTGGTGTGGGCGTTGTGGCTCTGAGCGGTGAAGTTGAATTTCGTTCACCGCAGCTTAGATAGCTCGAGGTAAGGCAAGTCGGTGACGGGAACTTCGCGTCGGCAAAAAAAAGGTGAGGGATACAAGATTCCGCGTTGATGTGGGGAAACCTCCGCTGGAAAGGTGGAGTTTCACTGGCGGTAGCTGTCCCCGAAGCGCCCGGGCTTGATCCGGCACCCGGCGCTGATTGGCCGGCCGCATCATGGGCCACCCCCGTGCTCCTAAGGTTTGTTTTGTTTCTTTGGCCAAAACGTCATCGCCGTCGATGTGCCATCTAACACATTGATCTCCATTTCAAGTTCCTATGCTTTGGCTCCAGCAGCTTTTGAGTGCATTTTGGTTTACAATCATTAGGGCTGTCATAGTGTCTTATCAGTTTCGGAGGTCGCCTGTCTTGCATATTGTCCACTCTGTTGCATGCTGAACTTTTATCTCATTGGCCCTGTTGCAGTTCTCATCCTGTGCTCTACACGTACATGCTGATTATTGTGGGCGCAATGAAGAACTAGCTTGGCGATTAGTCAAAACGGAATTTGTGTGGCTGGAAAAGCGGGATCTTACACTTCTCCGTGCACGCTTTTCGACCCTCGGGCAGTTGACAATATGAAGACGTATATACTAGGCATCGGCAACCAGCTTGCTTGTCTTGTTGTCAGTAAGAACGGTGTTTTTTTACGGAAGTGACTTTTGAGCGTATGAGTTATTTCTATCTGAGGCCTGTAGTCGAACCGCTACGTTCCGTTTGGTCGACCTACTCGGCTACCAAGATCAACATTTAACTAAGACTTGATTTGAACTGGCACGAAGCAGAAGCTTAGATACGACAACAGGTCCCTATCAAGATTTGCCACTGACTGGAAAAGGAAGGTGCTACCTAAACAGCACTGCATCGAAGCCAGCGTTTATAGAAGCCCAGTTCGTGAGCTGGAACACACTTTCGAGGCTAGTTCGAGTGAAAGAATTGAGCGAGTGGGGGAAAATGTTTCTGTAACGGAAGTTTGAACAGATGCAGAGGAATTCAAGAGATATTTGTTGTTGTATCGTGAGCTTCGGCTTTACTTTCCCCTGTGCAACCTCTTCACGTCTGGTTTTTATACATTTGCAATGTCAGATAACGTGAGATTACAACGACAACCAAGGATAGTCTCAGAGCATGCCAAGGCCTTACTTGACGCTTCACACCGGCCTTGAATGGAAGGGACGCTGTTACGTGAGACATAGCTACCCGAGTGTTCATAAGTTTAGCTTTATTGCTGTCAACCTGTATCATAGGAGGTCTCACGGTTAGAGGTTTTATGTTTTTCTGTTGTCGTCCACGTAACCCGAACCCTCCCCGTATCTCATCAGAGGAAGCATCGCATATATAAGGGGGCTCAGCTTAAGAAGTAACGAATTTTGAAAGTTCCATTTCACATAGCCTGCTACGATAAACCCGCCTTGGGAATGTCCATAGCCTTCGATTTCCAAGGCCTACTAGCAGCGAAGAGGAATTATAGTTGAGAACTTAAAATTTATTCTCTTAACCTTCCTTCTCACCTAGATGTGGCTGCTTTCCATATGGTTGAATAATGGTTTAGGTGAGCAAGGCATATAGGGTAAGAATTGAGTAGTAATACTATACTATATTATAAAGTGATTAACCATTAACCAGGTCATTACTACCACGTCACTGTTCAAGTTTGGATTTGAATTCAGCTATACGACCTTCAACGCTAGCAACAACCGGGAGATTAACACTTTGGCTGCAAGGTCAACTGCTGCACGAACCCCATCAGCACATCTAATGGATGGGAATGCAGTTGAGGCCATACAATTATCTATAGCCTAGAGCTATAGAGCTATGACTGTTTTCAATGGCAAAAATTACTAACATGGGCAATGTAATGGGGGCAACTGTAGCGCAATTACGCCTCACTGTCCCCAACATCTCCGCTCCGGAAGGTACCCCAAAGCAGGTCCTCCTCGGCCGAGTCAACGTTGGTAACTTATACCTGAAAGCTCGACTATATTATACAGACTCTTTCCCCACCCCTTCTGGTTCCGTTTCCACTGCAATTTCATCGGCTTGTTTACCAAATCCTCGGTTTAGAAGCGCAACAACCTTGCATGATGACCAAATCAACAGACAAGCCTGCGGTTGAAACCACGAGGGATCTTCATCCTATGGACTCCCACTACGAGGACAATATCAAGCCAGGCGACATTGCTGCCGAAGAAATTGACCGAGGTCAGGGCATCTCTGGATGTGAGGCTCTTACAGTTGGCCAAACCATCAAGCTCTTCAAGTTTGCCACCTTTGTCTGTGTGGTCGCACCTTTCACCGCTGGCACAGAGGAATACTAGGCCGTGTAAGTTGACATCTGCAACGTATCACCGTTTTGATTTGACTGACTTGTCATCTTCTAGCATGAATGGAAGTACCCTTGCTAATAAAGGCTTCGTGCAACAATTTGAAACCGAAGAGAATAGCCAGGGTGCTCTGACGATGTTGTACCAGCTCTGGTGGGCTCTTGGATCTTTCTTCGGCCAGATTGCTCTGCAAGAAATCAATGAGAAGACTCCATACAGGTATCTAACCGCAATCTATTCGCAATGGGGCCATGTAGGCGTCATGCTTATTATCTTCCTCTTCTTGCCTGAATGAATCGCCCGCTTGGTAGGTTGACGATGGACACGAGGTCAAGGCCAAGAAGACACTTGGATGGCGCTACGGCGGCGTAGCAGGGTGCGATGTTGATCACCAGTACAACTTCTTAGCTCTCTTATTAGAGCACGAGCGAGCTGTAGCTATCGAACAGAAGCGCGAGCTGACGGTCGAGGAGCTGGATACGCTTTTTGTAACTACGGGTCAGAATTCACATGCTTATTGTCTCTAGCATACCAGCTTCCACAGTTTTCTGCCAGCTGGCTTGTTGGCCGAGATTCAGATCATGCTGATTGCGGTATGCAGCCCAAGACTCGCAATCCACGGATTTCTGCATGGAAGAACTGTAACCTAACTTTTTCAATCAGAGAAGGCTTTACATCTTGCACCAGATGCCGCGTTGGGAGTCGTATGCGACTGGTATATTAATGCGCAACTGTGACATATCTTGAACTCGCTAATCAACCTCCGTTAGGTACCCATCTCATCCTTCACAATTCAACGCACTCCAAAAGAAAAACCTGGAAAATTCACGGTCCAAGATCCCCATCATAGTCAACGGAGAGTGTTTGCATGGAGTCTTTTCGAACAGACAATCTGTCTTTCCCCAAGCTCTCTCTATGTCATGTAGTTTCGATGCCCACCTTATTCGTCGCGTTGGGCGAGCTCTAGGCAGAGAATGCCGGGCGACGGGTGTCCATGTAGGATTCGCGCCGCTTTTGGATATTGGAAAAGTGCCTCGTTACGGTAGAAGCCAAGGTAACGAAGCATGAAATCGCATATATGAAGTCGCCACTCACTCATACTTTCACAGAAACATTTGGTGAAGACTACCTGCTGGCCTCACACCTAGGAGTTGCCTATTGCTCCGGGCTTTCAAAAGACGGGCACTACTCCGACCACGATGCCGTCATCCCCTTGCCTAAGGTAAGGACAGTGTCCTCGTACTTGAGTTTATGGTACATACGTGATTGAAACTAATGTATGGACAGCATTTTGCTGCGCATGGAAGCCCATCCAATGGATTACACTCCAACTGGTGTGTTGGGCGCGGACTTCGTGAGCTCCTGGGTGAGACTCTAGTCCCGTTTAAGGCTGTTATTGATGCAGGTGTTGTCGGAGGCATGATGATGTACTTTGAACCCCTTAAGCATTTGTGATCGTTGCTGGTTGAGTAGGTCTAACTTGATGCATAGGTCCTATACCGCAATCGACGACATTCCCTCGCACATTAACCCATTCTTGTACAAACAACTGGAGGACTGGGGATTTGATGGTGAGTATTTACCACCCCTGGATTGTAATGAAGATTAACAATTGAATGCAGGATTCGTTATTTCCGATTGAAGTGGTTTGTTCTCCGGGAAACTGAGAAACCCTGAAGTTACTAACAATTAACAGGATTTGCCGAGACGGTAACAGGTTACCAAGTAGAGGAGACGCCAGCTGATGCGATCAAACAATGGCTTAATCTGGGCGGAAGTGTGTTCCTCTATGATTTCGACCCTGATACTATAATCAACGTTAGTCAAAGTTATCATCGGAGTCCGATGAACCTTCTAACTTACTCCCCAGGCCATAGTTGAACTCGTCGACAACGGATCAGTAGCACTCAAAACTCTCCAGAAGAGAGTTCGAAAAGTGCTTGAGGCCAAGTATAATATTGGGCTGTTTCACAACCCCTTCCTTGCTGAAGACACCGACCACACTGCCATAACTGAGTCTCACATTCCTCTAGCACTAGAGGTCGCACACAAGTCAGTCGTGCTATTAGAAAACCGTGAGAGAACCAATGGTAGAACACTTCCAATTGCGCCAAGTGAACAGAACATCAAGAAAGTAGCTCTCGTAGGGCCTTTTGCAGATACCTTCAACTTTGGAACCTACTCCGGAACGTGGGGGGCTGCACCAGCTGACCGGGCGAATACGATTCGACAAGGCATATTGAAGTATGCTGATGAGCTGAACCTCGAATTGACAACTGTCTGGGGAGCCAACAGTTGGAATTACAACGCGCAATATCCGATTCCAGGTTATCTTCTATCCTACAACGACACGCCTGGTACGTTGCAGGCTACTTACTACAGCGATACCGAGTTCAAGGACCAAGTCTACCAGAAACGAGAGATGCCAAACCGGGACTGGGGTCTATATCCTCCGCACGGCCTTCCCTCCAACAGCTTCAGCACTGTCTGGGAAGGCGACTTGGCAGTACCTGTCAGCGTTGATACTGACGGCTACATCGGAGTTGCAGTCGCAGGGACGACATCGGTGCGATTGTTTATTGACGGAGAGCTGGTTGCAGAATCGGGCGTCTCGGAGTCGCCGACTATTCTGGGCGAGGTGTTACCATACACTTACACTACTTCGCCCAAAGCCAAAGCCTGTCCTCCCGGGGGGGCCAAATTCGTTTTCAGGCCAAACTCTCGGCACCATCTCCGCATTGAATATCAGACCTGGGTTCATGAGGCGCGAAAGAAGGCTGCAGGCGTCTACTCGCGTGTACAACTTTGGTGGAACTTGGTTGATCAGAAAGATGCTGTTGCTCAGGTAAGAGTAAATAAGGACCTTACTCTGCACAGATACTCATATTACTTTGACAGGCGAAGCAAGTCTCGTCGGATGCCGATCTCGTCATCCTTGCTGTGGGAGCTGCGTGGAACAGCGATGCTGAGAATGGAGATCGTGCTACTCTCTCCTTGCCCAAAGATCAAGGTAAGTAACTCCACCTTTCGGGCTTTTATATTTTTGATTATGCTGATGGGTCACAGAAAACCTTGTGCATGAAGTCTTCGCAACAGGAAAACCCGTTGTTTTAGTGATAGAAGGTGGACGACCTTTCGCAATTCCTGATTTCTACGCAAAGTCTGCAGCTGTTTTGAGTACCGTGAGTTGTTGCAACTTCTGTGATCCATACAGTCCTCATACTGAAGCTATATTGCAGGGCTACCTTGGTCAGGCAGCGGGCCAGGCCATTGCAGATGTCCTATTCGGGAAGTACAATCCTGGAGGCCGGCTGACGATGAGTATCCCCTACGATGTCGGGGCCATTCCGGCATTCTACAAGTGCGTTGAGCTCTTCTTGGGTTAAAATCACTTGCTAATTACAATCTCCACAGCCAACGTATCACCAAAGATCCACTGCATATTCCCCATCATATAGACATTCCGAAGCCTGTATCGGTGAGTGACCACTCCTGGACCTGTCATTCCGAAGCACATCAACAGCCCCAAGCAACTGAGTCTTTTTTTTGGAGTAAAGTGGTTATTTTACTTACCAAGTTTCCAGTATCCTTTCGGCCACGGCTTATCGTACACCGTCTTATCCCAGAGCCTCCTGCGCACGTCCACCAAGACTGGCACCATCCAAGGACGATTCGGACAAGGCGATATCATCACCTTTGACATCTCCATAACCAACAGCGGTTCTATCGATGGTAGCCTTGTCCCCCCAGGTTCGTCATGCATCCACTTGACCTTGGCTTCTCGTCGTCCGGGGTGGACGAAAGGATGTCACTCGCTAACTGGGGCAACACAGATCTATCTTTTACGCCGGAACAACTCATCAGTGGTCATGGCCAACAAGCAGCTGGTAGCCTTTGGGCGGTTTTATGTGGAATCGGGAAAGACCGTGGATGCCACACTGGAGCTGGATGTGGACCGCTATCTCCCTACCATCAACCGCCAATACGAGCGAGAGCTCGAAAGGGGAGAGTATAGATTTGTGCTTGCGGAGGACGGATCACTTGACGCCCAAGTCTATGGTGAAGCTGCTTTGAGGGTCGTGGGATCGCACAAGTATTAGAGAAGTATCGTTAAGAGGGCGCACTTGGAAGACATGAGACACCCTCCGTAGGCCTGATCAGAGAGAGACAGCATGGCACACAATTGAGTCAAGTTATCCTACAGCTGAAGGGAGGTTTACGTGTGACGAAGCAGAAATTCGTGCAAAGTCTTTCACACGGAGATCGCTAACCACCGAGCAAGGTATATCAAGCCCATTTCGAGGACATGTGCGAGGGTTCTCCCCAAGGGAGGCCCACGGGAGGCCCCGAGTCTGTTGATCCAGGCCTTCAGAGGTTGTTTGTAGGCCATAAGTCACTTCCGCGGACCCGCGAAAGGGAGTTCATGAGGCGATAGGTCCGCAGCTCTGTGTGGTGCTGTATGGTAGTCTGCAAACTGTCTCTCTACCTCGTCCCAAGAATTGAAATAGAAGATAACAAGACTTTGGTAAGAGTTATGTTATTTTGTAAACTTACTAAAAAATATGCTGAGAACGTTATGCTATGAAACACCGCCGCGTGCAACATACTTGTGAGCAATTTACCAATCGGCTCATGGCCGTTTCAATAGTTTAGAAGCTCAATGCTGACAGCTCACCACGTGTCGTCGTCGTCGTCAAGTCACTAACAATAGTTCACATTAAGAGCCTCTGATATCCCCTAAACCATCGAGCATCTAGTCCGTGTAAGGGGGGGGGGGGGGGGGGGGGGGGGGGGGACTACATCACAGGCAAGGAACCCATGACCGGGTTCTCACAATATCAAACCCGCGGGACATCAAAACCCACAGTCTCACAATCCAGCCTTGCAACACTGAGACCAAACCCATCCCTTTCTTCAACTGAACGCCGACCACCAAACGTGGTCAGTTTACACTGGGTCTCAACCAGCACGCCCGTAGTGCTCTCCACGTGTCCAACATCACGCAGGCAAGGTCAAAATGTTGAATTGCCAACATGCCCCCGGGGGTCGTTATCGAACCCCCCCTGGATTTCTCGCAGCACATGCAAATCTCGGCAGCATCCGCTGTCCCCAGGGGGTGTTCCCCGAACAAGTTATAACATCATCTCGCCTGCCCACCGAGGACATGGTTGATGGAAATTTGCAGCGTCGAAAAAAAACGGGGGGGTTTAAAAACACGAGTAGACAGGGTTCCGTGTTCCCTTTCTCACATTCGACATCCGTGGTGCCATCAAGCGAGGCCTGGCTGGGACCCGAGACCAAAGTTCCCTTTCTTACGCCGCCGTGCTCGGGCACCTGGCCGGCCGGCTCCAACAGGACCGAGGTCCCCGCGAAACATAAAAAAGGCCACACTCACTTGTCTTGAACCCTGAAAAATAAAAATAAAAATGAAGGCCCGCGGTTAACCGCCAGATATATGTCGCAAGAGAGACGTAAGAAAAGCGCTTGCTTTTTTCCCCATCATGCGTGTTTCCCACTTCCAGCCCTTTATTTTGGGCGGGGAGGGGACCGTCGCGGGGGGCCAAGTGGCCTCCTGCGGAAGAGTTTCCTGGGTTTAGGTCGACTCAGAAGGGGGCGCGGAGATGAGAACCCGATTCGACCGCCGATGCTCGCTGTCGGGGAAAGGCTGGGCTGTGACATGGGTTGGAGGAGAGGTCAGGACAGCATTTTGTCTCGATGACCCATCGCGATCTGCCGGGGGAGGTGAGAGCAACGGCCGAAGGCGAGGAAAAACAAAAAGGAGCGCGGCCCCCAGCAGGTGGGAATCCACTTGGACTCACTCCTGTTGGTTGAACACGATACGAAGTGACGAATTCGAATCAGACGGTTTGGAGGGATGGCTCCGTGAGGCGTCTGCTCCTTGTTTGATAATCCGTAAGCACAGTAGTAAGCAAGCAAGCAAGCAATGACCTTTCTTGAGCGATGAATCCACTTTTGGTAACCTCACTTCAATCTCATAACCTCCGTGTTCGTTAGAGTGCTCTTTTGGGCTCAGGCACGAACGTCGGAATAGCTATTCGTAGATTTGACCAGAACGAAGTCTCCACCCCCTCGTTCGATGGCCGTAATGCATCGCGCAATCGGAGAATTAGAGGCGGAGAAGCGCTCCTTGTGGTTGCAGGAGGTTTGAAGCCCACGCGATTGAAAATGGATCCTCCCATAAGGGGGCGAACCAATTGGCCACAGTATATCCGTTTCGGTAGAGCCGTTTCTACTCAAAGGGAGCTTCGCATATCTTTGTGGAAATGGGTGTATCTCTTGAACAAGACGAGGAGGCATGCTGTTCGCGCGAAATCTTGTTTTGCGTGCAGCTTACGGTGGGGGAGGGATCCGGGCGTGCGTGGTGGCTTGCAGATGCGAGAGTGCGCAAATCTGCCAATCCAGCCCCAAAAGACCAAAGGGGAGCCCGGTCGGCGAGCCGTGTCGCGTGGGAGGAAACAAGATAGGGACGACGCGTAAAGTGGTTGTGTCATTCGTCAAATCGGTTCTTTTTGTTGGTGCCTCTACACCCCTTCTTCTGTGAGATTGGGGGTGTTTGGTCAAACTTAGCGTTTTGGTTGGCGTGCAAATTCGATTGTGGAATGGTGTTGTCGAGCTAGTTCCAATTTCCATCCGCGATCTCGAGGGGAGACCCCTGGCAATATTGAACAACTGGCAGACATGACAATCAAACCTGCCTGCTTGCGGCAGAAGCATGTGTTATGTGTGTCTCTCGTCTATTAGAGTTGTGATGCTTGCGAACGCTTCCTGTTGAACAAGGAGGTAACACGGCCTGGACGCGCGCGAGGCGTCCCAGATGTTGAGTTGGGCAGCGATTATCAAAGTTGATGGAATGTTCACGTCTCGGTTGATGTAGCCTTGATATCACCAGTCTCACACGTGCAGAACGCCAGCTAGGCGCCCCTTTTCTTTTCTAAGCAACCTGCTTCAGCAACCATCATTGAGCCTTGTTCCGCCCGTTTACGTCTGTGCGGCATGGCATCAGAATGTCTTACTTCCAGACAATTGGGATATTGCCAATTCGGCGAGTGAACGAAATGACGATGCGGCATGGCGGGAGCATCTCAGCGCGGTGAGCTTTGGGTGTTTCGAAACGTTCCGTTTCCAACAATAACCTGTAAATAACGCGTGGAAAACGCGACCTGTTGAGTAGCGATATAGCATGTGCATGTACCATTTACGCCGCGCCTGGTTGAGGCGATGAACTGCGCATCTTTGTTTCCGCTTGAGGCATTCAGCTCCCCAAAACCTACCATGACCAGTGCCGAAAGTGTGCGCTCTCACTGCTGATTGATCCATTGCAGCCGCCGGGGCAAATTCGCCCAGGTGTTGGCCCCAGCAAAGGCTTCGCAATAGTGCTGCAGCTTCGGCTGACACCCTCCACGAAGACCCGGATTAGGCAGGCCGGTCGGTGAACCCGGTGTCCCGCCTGTGGGGGATAGGTCGGGGATGTAGTGGGTCGTTGTTGCAGGATTCAAGCCCCCCTGGAGACACAGTCACGAGGAACTGGAGTCGCAAAATAGATGGAGGATTCAGAATGATGTCTCTGGCGAAAGACGTGCAGCTCGTGGAGATGCAATTTGAAGTTCAAAAATTAGTTGCATAGACGGAGGGTGTTGCGGTATGTCAAAGCAAAAGCCCGGCTTGCCGGTTGCTGAGGGCAGTGGGTCAGTTCGTGATAGCTTCTGCGAGGGGGATGCGTGAGAGCCGGGGTAGCAAGATTGTCGAGCTAATCAATTATGCCGACGGGCAAAAGGGGCGCCTCCTGTCCCATAGCAGGTGGCACGACGATGACAAGCTTGTACTGGAATATACTGAGACCGATGGCGTACATGGCCATGATCGAGGCATCCGGTAATGTTTCTGCGTGATTGTTAAATATCATGCTCCGTATTTGTCCAGCCATTCTCCACTGCATGATAGCATGTGTTTGTTACCCAGGCTTTAGTGGTCGGGATGTAGCCCCTGGATTCTTCCACGACCGCAGGCATGTCTGTTGCCGGAACACTAAGAATATATCAGACAGGTGTCATGAATTAGATGACGGACTTTGCGGATGTCCACTCATAAAAAAAAGTGAGGTGGCTGGAGGCTTAAGGCTGAGATTGAGCGAGGCGCCGATCGCTTGCATGCTTGGCAGTTCACGATGGGACAATACGCGAGCACGGAGCAGACCTCATCTACGGTTTCCGTGGTGAGTAATGAACCATGATGGATCGGCTCCTCCAAGTTGGACCTTTTTGGAGTCGTTGGATGGGGCGCCACGCCATTGACGCCTTGGGTGGCATAGGCAACGGTCGCAGACTAGAAAAGAGCATCGCGCTTTTGGTCAATAATCGAAAGTGTTTCCTGACGAACCTCTTCCGAGCACCCTGATCCCAGGAAAGATGGCTTGAAGAAGCTCCGGAAAGGCGTCTCCATTGGAAATCCCCATGGTTGGCTGTCCACCAAAAGCGTGAATTCGGCATGGCGTTTCCACATCCGACCTGCTCTCCCCGGCGACAGGCCGCCCGATCTCCACCGCAATTCCCATCCTTGGAACAAACCAATAGACGAACGGCCAGTTGCGTGAACCTCACTGACATCCTGGCATAGTTTCGTCGGTGCTACGGAAGCTAGGCAATGGGTGGATAGAAGCTATGCAGCTTCGCGTCATGACCTTGACCTTTTCAAAGCCTGGCTATCTGCAGCCCGCCAACTGCACAAACTTCCATCGCAGCCAATCTTTTTGAACTCGACGGGCCGAAGTATAGCAGTTTTCAGGGCAGAGAAGCCTTGGAAGCTGGAGGTTTCCGATGATGCCAAGGTGATGGTGCTGCATGGTTCGTCAGCCATCACGAATTGCATGTCGCAACAGTGACAGAGAATCCACTGCTGATGGGGTGCTGAGATAAACGCCAGCCAGGGTCGATTGGCCAGTGACAGGCACTGGAACGCACGTCTAACCCATCAATCAAGAAAAAAAAAGGAAGGAAAAAGTTACATTGATGGGCGTCCGAGCGGCCTACCACGGTAGTATAGCGTGGGTGTCTCTGATTCGGGGGGCGCTGGGAGGATCGCC